CCATAATGATCCCATCTGTGTTGCTTTTGGAGGTAACTCCCTTGTTTCTGTATAAACTGAGCTCTGCATTATCTCTTTTGCTTCTTTCATGCACATTAAATTTATCTGAAAATATGTTTATTTTCCCAGGTCCTGTAATGACAAAATTCACAATTGCTCTACGAGAAATTGGGACATACAAGGAAGTTCTTCGTTCCCAGGTACTAAAGTCCAATGCCTCTTACAAAGGATGGCCCCGTTTTTTTTATCTGCCTATATTTTGCTGAGTCGCGTTTCTTTTGTTGAAAATCATGTATTTGTAGAGAATTGTTTTATTTTTGTTCGTCCTTCCATATAGTCGCTGTATGTTGAAGAAGTGCATAACTAACCTATGATGCCTTGTGAACACTTTTCAGGTAGAACACATGTTGAATGATCGGTTACTTCAATTTGTGAATGTTAATGTCCAAGAAGTTAAGGTATGTTTGTAGTAATACATACCGTGCGAAAGATTTTGGAAAATAACTCTGGTTAATCCTTTCAAATTTTTGCGCTATGTTCATCATTTTCTCTGAATTGCTCCGGACTTATATATATCTTTAATTTCTGTCACTCAGGAAGCACGTAAACGGTTTGACAAAGCTTCCATTATATACGATCAGGTTCGTTGAATGGCGTCAAAATATGTCAACTGATTAAATTTATGGTTTTTACTGCTTGAAAATTTGTATGTATCTTCATTTATGTGCATCTGAATGAAACAGGCACGAGAGAAATATCTATCGTTAAGGAAGAGTACGCGATTGGATGTAGCTGCCACAATTGAGGAGGTATTTAAAATATTGTTACTTTTAAAAAGTCTCACTGAGTCACAGATAACCTTCACTTTTTATTTTTTTCTGGAAAAACTAATCTTGGTAGAGAGACATTTCAGGACCTACATAACGCAAGAACGACGTTTGAGCAAGCCCGGTTTCATCTGGTAACTACCTTGTATTCTAATGCTACCAGAATAACGGATTCTATTATATAACCGTACATAATGTTTGCTTACGTCTTCTTGGCCAGGTTAGTGCACTCTCTAATGCGGAAGCTAAAAAGAGATTTGAGTTTTTGGAAGCAGTAAGCGGGACAATGGATGCTCATCTTCGTTTCTTCAAACAGGCAAGATTTTTCTTAAAAACAATTTTTAGAAGCATGAAACACAAATAATTTTCTTTACCTGGAACCAGCCAGCTTGGTTTTACAAACCTATCTACAAGAGTCTCTTTTGCTGTTTCCTGACATGAATTACTTGATTCTCTTTCTCACAAGTGATTCCTTCTTACAGGGATATGAGCTACTACATCAAATGGAGCCTTTTATCAATCAGGTCTGATAATACAAGACTTCTTGTAGCAAGATTCTTGTCTTTTGATTTAATACATCAGATGGAGCCTTTCTTATCCAAGCGATAGTCCATGGATTATCTGTGTTTAATTGAAATTGTATGGCAGGTGTTGGCTTACGCACACCAGTCTAGAGAATGTGCAAACTATGAGATGCAATCACTTAATGAAAGGATGCAAGAGTACCAAAGGCAAGTTGATCGAGAAACTAGAAACTCAAATGGTTCTCCAACAGGAGATGGCATGAGACATAACTCAAGAAACTCACAGAAAGTCATAGAGGCTGTCATGCAATCTGCTGCAAAAGGAAAGGTAACGAAGTATCTTTTGTACTGAGGCTATTTCAGCGAACTGCTCTCATATCTTGATACAGTTTTTTTTATATATATATTTATCTGTTGGCGGTACTGTCCTCCAGGTTCAGACCATAAGACAAGGGTATCTGTCTAAACGTTCCTCAAACTTGAGAGGTGACTGGAAAAGAAGATTCTTCATCCTTGACAGCCGTGGGATGCTATATTATTACCGCAAGCCATGGAATTGGTCTTCAGTAAGTTGCAAAACGAAAAACAATTGTGTTTTTGATCCTTCCTTGAAAAAACATATCGATAACGTTTGTAATATATCATATCTTTACTGAATTTTTGAAGCTCGATGTATCAGGGAAATGGAAGCCGGTCTGTTGTTCATAGGAATATGACTTCAGAAAACAGTCCTGGGCTGCTAAGTCGGTGGCTGTCTTCCCATTACCACGGTGGTGTGCATGATGAAAAACCAGTTGCGCGTCACACTGTGAATCTGCTGACCTCAACGATCAAAGTTGATGCAGATCAGACCGATCTAAGATTCTGCTTTCGAATTATTTCGCCAACAAAAGTTTATACATTGCAGGTATATTAGGGAGAACATGACTTTAAAGTAAAATGATCATTAATTTCGTCTCCTATGGAATAGTCAGTACACTCTTACATGAGGTGTTCTCTTCCATCCCGTCCGACTGACCAGAATTTCTTCAATGTGTTATTGATGTAGGCAGAGAATGCGCAGGATCAGATGGACTGGATCGAGAAGATAACTGGAGTAATTGCTTCTTTGCTCAGTTTCCAGACACCTGAAAGAGCAATCATGGTACGATTTCATATGCTATTACAGCTGATTCTTTCTTGGGTGACCCGTTATCGGTTTTCACTAAAAATATCATCACTTGCAACTGCATCAGCGTCTTTCTACAGTGGACGGAGGTGATACTTTCTCTGCAAGTGATTCCGGTTCTTTAGCAGATCCATATGATATCGAGCAGGCAGAAAGTGGAGAATCCACACTTGACAATCCCATGACAGGAGGAAACCGTTCGAGGTTCTCAGGGTGCTTGCAGCAACATGATATGGCAAAGACTGAAAAGCCAATTGATGTCTTGACAAGAGTCTTGGGGAATGAGAAATGTGCAGACTGTGGGGCTCCTGAACCCGATTGGGCCTCTTTGAATCTCGGAGTCCTCATATGTATTGAATGTTCTGGTATACATCGTAACCTTGGTGTTCACATTTCAAAGGTAAGCCATTAAAATCGAACACTTTCAATCTCTCAGACTTCTCACAAGGAGGTAGTCATGATTTTCCCATTTTTAAGTAGCTCTACAGAATTGGTATAAAGTATTCAACCTTGTCGTGCAGGTCAGATCGCTCACTCTTGATGTTAAAGTATGGGAACCATCGGTCTTGACCTTATTCCAATCGTTGGGCAACGTATATGTAAACTCAGTGTGGGAGGAGATGTTGAACTCAGAGAGTAGATCTTCAAGTGCCAGTAGGTCTTCGGGGTAAGTGACTCATCAGTCATCAGTTGTATTTGCAAGAAGACGAAACTACTCCTTACGTGTATTTTCTTAAATATTTTTCTGTGTTTTAGCACTCCCAAGTCAGATCGACCACGAAAGTTTCTTGCAAGGAAGCCTGGTTTCAATGATCCCATTTCTGTGAAAGAGCTCTTCATACACGCAAAGGTATTATATCAGTCTGTGAGTTAAATAAGCTAAGTGTTTGAAGATCTCATGTCTGTCAATTGCTTATTTCAATGGCTAATTACAGTATTCAGAGAGGATTTTTGTCCGCAAAGCAATAGACAGTCAGCATTTCCAGGCAGTTTTCCAAGAGATATGGGAGAATGTCCGTGCCAACGACAAGAAATCAGTTTACAGACACATTGTCTGCTCTGAAGCAGATGTGAATGCCTTACGTGGACAAGCATCGTACACTGTGTCTTTGCCCTTAGCAAAGATGATGCAACTGGAAGCGAAGGAGGAAACCCTTGAAGCCAAGTTCAAGAGCATTGAAGAGGAATTTCAAGAGAATCCAGAGGGATATTCTAACTCGAGAGGGAACGGGGAAAGTATGGTCCGAGAAGAAACTTCAAACGACTGCTCTTTGCTTCACCTTGCTTGTCTTTCTGCGGATATCGGTATGGTGGAACTATTGCTTCAGTATGGCGCAAAAATAAATGCAACAGATTCAAAAGGTCGGACTCCACTTCATCATTGTATCATCAGCAGGAGATATGCAATTGCAAGGTTGCTACTGATGAGGTAAACTCCATATAAATTCTTAGTTCTGGTTTTATCAATCATGGAGGTTGAATTGGAAAATCATTATAAGTCTGATGCAATGATTCAATCACAGGGGAGGAGATCCAAATGTTGTAGATAAAGAGAATAACGTACCAGCTAAATATGCTTCAGAGACAGACCTCAACGACAGCGAACTGATTGCTTTATTAACAGACTCCAAAAGATGATAACACTGATGAATCAAAAATAACCATCTGATTTGCTTATTGCACAGAAAGCAGGATGGTATAGCACTAGAAGAGTGATGCTCTACCTGAACTCTTTTCGCCTTTTTTCCGCCTTTTAGTTCGTTTCGTTTACTTTTTTTTGGCCCATATAATTGGCGATTTGTTCATGAAGAGCGTAGAGAATACATGTAGATTTTTCGTTGGTGCTTGATAGGTTGATATACTGGTTTATACTCTGGTGTACATATGGTCGTTTTATGGGGTTGTATGTTCTATAAGATGACGCCTTTTGTTTTGGTTTCACTATGAAATGTTTATTTACATTGTTTGGGTAATGAAAAGACAGACACCATTGTGTGTTTTTCTGTCAGCTGTGTTTTCAAGTAGAATTTGTGGTTTTACCCATCGAGAAAACCTGCTTTGAATCAGGCAGACAGATTTACATTCATCATTATCATTATGACAAATCAAATCCTTAATCCATTATGTTGTCATTTGATTCTTCTGTATTGTCACCTTTCGAGAAAAAAAGTTGTATAATACTCCTTCTGTTTCATAAATAGTGTCATTCTGACATTTTTCACACATATTAAGAAAATTATTAAAAATAAATTTTATCTCTTATTAATATATTAAATAACTTGTTTTTATCTAATAAATACATTAAACTAATAAGGTTAAAACTGGAATATTGTTTAAAATTTTGCATTGAAAATATAAAACGACACTCTTTGTGAAACAAAAATAAAACCTTAAAACGACACTCTTTATGAAACGGAGGGAATATAGGATTATAAAATGTTCTTTGTTTTTTGACCAAAAAAAAAAAAAATAATGTTCTCTGTTCATCAATATGACCATCAATTTTTAACCCCAAAAAAACTGTTAATGACTTCATTGTAACATCAAATATTTTACAAGCTTTAATGAAGATTTATTGACGCTAGACATGATCAGGAGTAGTCAGGAGGGTTCATTTGTTAAAAACCTGCTATCTCTGGCCTTAAATATCGAAGAAATTGCAGTTTAAACAGCTCATATGTGTCTCCCATTCGTCGTCAACTTCCTAGTGTCATCATCATGATGAAAACTGCAGAGAAGTGAACCAAGGCAAATCCGTTCTCAAGCAAATTGAATTGGTCCAGATGAGTTCCTGAGATGACCCAAGCTCTTCCAGGAACAGCAATCGTAATGGTAACTCAACAAAAAAAAAACAATTACATATCCATCCCAACCAGCTTGCCTTAAGTTTAGGTAAGACCTATATCTGGTCAGACAGTTTGACAATCAGAAGACTGAGACGGAGTAGATTCGTCTGGTGATACCCAGTTCAAGACCATCAAAAAGTGAGAGGACAAAGCTTTTAAAGAATAATAGATCAGGTTAGGATCAATGTTACCTTTTGGCGCAACCCTTCAGCAATTTTCAAGTCGGCCAAGAAATTTGCCGTAAACCAGAGGTAAAACCAGCTGTCTCCTATTTAGCCATAACGAAAAAGAAGGAAGTCTATCTGCTTTTGGCTTTTCTTTTACAATCTATGGAGCAGCATCCGCTTCCATCCTTTGGTTTGGGGAGATGCAACCCTCATTAATTAGCTCAATAACACTCGAAGAATCGGGAATATATTTGAGTCGAATCATATTCTGCATAACCTTCTCAGCTGCGTCCATTTTTCCCACTTTAGCAAAACCAGAGAGTAGAGCCCGGCAAGTTGAATCACTTAGCTTACACCCGTCCACAACAGCGTTCTTGGCAAACATCTGATCCATGAACATAAGTGCTTTTGTCGTCATCCCTTCTTTCACGAAAGCATTGATGATCACACTGTACATTATGTTGTCTGGTTCAATTCCTGAGGCAATAGCCTCGTCGAATATAGCAAACATTTCAGATCTTCTACCCATTATATCATACCCGTTTAGAAGAGATGTGTAAGTTACAACAGTAGGCATCAGGTTTGCCTTCTTCATGTCCTGCAAAAGCGCTTTTCCAGCTTCCAAATTTCCTTCCTTGCATAAATAATCTATCATAATGTTGTATGTTACATCATTGGGCTTGCCATGCCTATCAAGCGACCCATCTATGAGCAAATTTATCCATTTTGATTTATCTTCTGTTTTTCCAAACTTGAAAACCCAATTGATCAAAGCATTGAAGGGGCCGGTAGTAGAACTACAACCCTTCTCGTTTGTCTCAAAGATGGTGATAGCTCTTTCCACATCGTTCCATCTGCAACACCCATCCACAAGTGTTGTGTACACAAAACTATCAGGAACTAATCCCTTTAGTTTCATCTCGTCAAATAACCGAAAAGCCTCCGCTAGATCCCCATATTTGCAACATCCATCTATGATTGTACAGTAAGTCACTGCATTAGGTGGGAAACCTTTTCCTGACATTCCATTAAAAAATTCCTTAGCTCTTTCGATTTCACCAGACCTGCAGAAGCCACCGAGCAACATGTTGTATATGATGACATTAGGAGTCACACCTTCTTGAACCATCTCATCAAAAATACGAGATGCCATCTCTGTATTTCCCAACTTCGAAAACCCATCAATGAGTGTACCATAAGAGAACACATCGGGTGTAATACCCTTTCCACGCATTTCCTGGAAAATCTCCTCCGCATCATTTACTTTACCGTTTTTAACAAGACCATTCATAAGAACAGTGTACATCTTAGCATCCCCCGGAATCCCTTGTTCAACCATGGATCTGAATGCTGTACACGCCTCTATTACTTTACCCTTTTTGCAATACTCGTTGATCAGACCCGTGCAAAAGACCTTATTTGGAATCACACCAAATTCCAGCATCTCTTTCACATACTTATCTGCAGATGCAAAATCCCCTGCCTCTATATATCCACTGATAAAAGCCCCATAGGTGAAAGCATCAGGCTTTAATCCGTTCTCTACCATTTCAACCAGATAAGACCTTGCTTCGTCCATTCTTTTGGACTTTGAAAGGCCAATTATAAGGGAGTTGTAGCAAAAAGTGTCTGGTGCAATTCCTTGTTCCTTCATTTCTTTTAAAACCCTCACCGCACCTCCAAACCTACTTTTCTGGAGAAAGGTTTTGATCAGTGTTGTATATATAACCACGTTCGGTCTGCAACCGCTTGCACCCATTTCCTTCACAATGTCATAAGCTCCATCAAGATCCCCAGAAGAACACATACCTTTTACCACTGTACCATAAGTATAAGGAGAGACGACAATGTTCTTCTTTTGCATTTCAACAAATAACTCATAACCCTTAAGTACATTCTTTTCTCGAAAGTATCCCTCAATCAAACTACCATAAGCCCGAGCACCTGGTATCACTCCGGATGCGATCATCCCATCAAAGAGAGCCTTTGCCTTCTCCATCGCCCCATCCTTTGACATCACGCAAATAAAAGAATCATACATCTTAGGATCAATGTTAATTCCATGAGAAACCATCTCATGGACTAGCCCATTTGCAGCGTCTGCATCTCTGCCTTTCAGTAAACCCTCAATCAGTATACTAGAAGCAAAATTATCAGGAAACAAGCCAAAACTTTTCATCTCTACCAGCAACGATTTAGCGTCTTCTAGTCTCTTTCGCTTACACAACCTATCCATAAATATATTGTACGATTGTTTCGATGGCACCAATCCTTTGCAAATCATCGACTTCTTCAGCTCAAATGCTTCATCCAGATCTCCTTTTTTACAAAAAACTTCAACTACCAAACTATACACAGTCACAGTCACCGAATCGAATTTTTCTTCGGTTCTGAGAAGAACATCTTTTGCCATCTGAACATTCCCAGCTCTGCAGTGTGCAACAATCAACTTTTCATAAGTGTGAACATCAAATACTACATTTCTCTCAACCATTCCATTATACACATCCCAAAACAAATCCAGCCGATTCCTCTTCAAAAACGCATCCAACAAATGATTACACCTTGCCGAATCAGGAACCAATCCCAGATTCATAATGCTAGAGATCACAAAAACAGCTTCATCTAAAAACCCTTTCTCAAAATATCCATCAATCAAGATCCCAAATAGAACTCCTTCATCACTCGTTCCCGAAAACTCTCGCGAACATCTCACAACTGAACTCCAAACCTCAGCTACAGGCCACTTCCTCTCAATCATCCGGATTACAACACAGTGAGCTTGCCCAACACTACCCAAACTACACAAACCCAAAGCGAGAAACGAAAACGAATCTAGCTTCTGCTCCGTAACTTTTTGAGAATCGACCCAATTGAAGAAACTCAAAAGCCTGGCGGGATCATTGACGCGCTTGGATCGTAAAACGGAGAGAACAACGTCTGGATTTATCTCCACCGAGAGATTCGAAGATACTAAGGCGTCACGCCAGTTCGCCTTGTTGAGGATTCCCGCTATTTCAGCTGATGCGTCGGAAATTTCCCCAACGTTAGCGGAAAACGATCGGAGAAGTAAACAATTCCCTCTCAGAACTAAACAGCTCTTCCTGAACAGCGTTGAGCCCATCATCTCCGATACCGGAGAGCAACAACCTCGTCGGAGAAGATGATTAAATCGAGATACGATCAAAGAAAAAAAATCATTAAAACAGGTAATAGAAATATAATCATAAGGCCCAAATTCCCATTCTAATTTGGGCCTATAGGCCCAAATACTTAAGGGCACATAACATTAACAACCTTTTAAATCGCCGAAATGTTTATCCGATTGGTTTAGAATTTTAGATAATTGGTAGGTTTGTTTTGGGAAGATTAATTTATTTTTGTTTAAATTTATCGAGAAACATCGAATTAAATAATATTGTGTAGGTCTCAAGAAATTCGTATGGAGAGGTTATGGGAGAGATATGATGAAGATCCCCACTAGAGTGGGAATTTCAAATGGTGCATGAATGTTTACCCAAATACATAGTGTGTGAAATGCATGGTTTGACCAAAATTTCTTTCTTATTTTGTTTTGATATGCGCCAGAAAATTTAGAAAAGTCGACGGGTATGGGTAAATATAAACTAATGCTAAATCATTTGTTTTAAATTATGGAACGTGTTCTAGTTAATTCCACAACATGTGGGTGGATATATTATTTACATGTAATCTAGATGATTTTTCTTTTGTATGAATCCGTGAGGGGTAACAAGGAATCGTTGGTCTAATCTCGTCGGTGTTAAAGAAGTTTTATGAAGGGATAATCTTGATTAAAAACATCTAAAAATATGTATTCAAATTTCAAAATACAATTAATTCTTTCAAATTTGATAAAATAAAAAAAGTATAAATGTATTGTTTTACTCAAATTTTGATCAAATGACATATTAGACAACTTCTTTGATCATTAAAACCACTGACTATGATTGGGTAAGTTTAATGTTTATTAACCATGTAAAAAGCGATATGCTATTGATGAAACTTGCGCTTTAAATCTGTAAATATGATAACGTAGATAAATAATCATAGTTGTTGTATGGTCTAGTTGGATGCGAATCCACAAGTTAAAATTGTCAGTCACCAAAAACCAGCTTGAGATAAACATAGTGGCTAAATACTATACTGAGATAGTTTATTATTAAATGTTAGCACTTTTTACTATTGTTACACTTATCCAAGTTGATTAAGTTTTGCACAAGAAAATAAATCGGATGATTGTGTTGGAAGCAAGGAAGCAGTGACTAAAGAAAAACAGCTTAATCAAGCACGGACTAAAATCATATTAGACGGAGTCATCGTCATTTGATACAATTAATTATTATTGTTTATGACCCATCGACCCAAGTTGGCTCCTAAAACTAGTGCATTCCATTTTAAAAACCAACCCATTAAGTTGATTGATAACATAAAATAATAATTTGTGTTCTATGGCGGTCAAAGAAAACGATTAAAAGTAATTAGTTTATTAAAGTGATGTTTAGACAGAAATAGTATCTCTTCATTGAGAAAGAGAAGTTTTCCAAATTCTATTAGCAAACAGTTATATCATGCAAAAAGATTACTTACCCTGTCTAACCAAAAGAAATACTAATAAAACTTTTAAAATTACGGGATTTGTTTTCCGATTCGCATAATTTATAACAGTTGTAAAATATAATAAGAAATATTTTGTATTATTAATTCGAACTCAAGTTCAAGTTTCTAGCGACGATTTTAATACCATAAGCCGACAGCAATGAAGCACTGTCGGTGGGGGAGACTCCGTATTTAAGATTGTTACAGATAATTAAGAAAAATAATTTTTTTGTCGTATTTTCTTTATAATTTGACCCGATCAAATACAAATTTTCTTAATCTGTAATAAAGAAACTATTCTTAATTAGTCGAACCAAAGCACGAGGACAGGAGGCTCGACACGTCGAACATGGACAAATTAATAAAGTCCGGTTAACTGAAGCAAAGATAAAAGAACAATTAATAAACATAATATCGCTAAAAAATTTCAGTAAAAAGCCAAATAAATTTGAATTTTTTTTTCAACTTTTCATAGCTAAAACTTCGCTTCAGTATTGGGGATATTAAGACGGTCCAAAATGTCCAGCGCAAACGTTTTTTATGCTGTCTCGGCAGTTGCCATCGATTTGTTTAACCAAATTGTTGATTGATCTTACTTAGAGATAATCAAGTATGTTATCTATGGTTGACTTGGTAGGAAAGTTATCTTCTATGGTGGAGCCATATGCGATTAATTTAACATTAGAAGATAATCTATATTAATTATCCTATGATTATAAGTCCATTTGACGTACATGGGCGGCTATAATGGGTCTAGTTTGTATTTATATGGAACTTTTTTGAGTTTAATGTTATTGGATTCCGAGGAAATTATCTAAAATGGTAATATGGTATTAGTATTATGTTCAAATCGCATAATTCTATGTTTTATCTGCTGCAAAAATACTATGCTTTCACATGGATTGCCAATCAAAACAGAAATATGTAAACTAGTATTTTTATTTAACATAAATTGAAAAAAAAAAGGAACCTTTTTCTGAACAATTAAACTAATTGGGATTTGTTGCAGAGGATAATACATGTGATTAAAGATGCAGGTAGGTAGGGCGCTTTATATGGCTGGACCGTTTTAAAGTTCGTGTTGTGTTTTTTTATAATTTTTCCAGCTTTAAGATATGATTCCCACTTTTTCCTGCGAGAAAGATAGAAAAGTCATTAATAAAAATTATAACTCAATAATAATATAATTAGCTAAAATAAAGCAAGTATTAGATATGACGTCATCATCTGTAGTCTAGCCTAGCCCGTTTCTTCACCAAAACGACTGTCACGCAACGTACGTGACTAGACGTAACCGAACTTGATAAGAACAAAACTTTTAAATATAAATTTAATACTAAAAAATAAAAAGACGAGTAATTCATTCTGGCTTTTACCTGCGAGACCCACGTGCGTTGGAAAGGGAACTGCTCACCACGTGGCGAATGTCCATTCGTATCCCGGATAACCGACAAGTCACTCAAGCGTTACTCCCTCCCAAATGTAAAAAACGAATCGCAATAAACCCCTTTGAATAGGATGGCTCGAGTCCGCCAATCAAACTTCACGAGCCATTTTGTAACAGACCAGACTACTTCCGTGAGCGCGTGTGTCTCACTCGTTGGGTAATAAGAAAGTGCAATATGACGTGGCATGTTGCGATAAATATCCAAAGACCATAAGTTTTGTTTTTATAACACCAAACAACCTGAGTTTAAATGTTAATTTCAATGTTTCCTAATTAGCTTTACTAAAAGGTTTTTTTCTCCATAACATGTAAGAGCTGAAATTTAATTATCTGCCAATAAAAATAGTTTATGAAACAAAAATAATGATAGTTTAAGAAATTAATTAAGTAAGGGATATTATTAATTTATAATAACCAGGGAAAGTAGGGGTTGGTCTGTAGGTTAGGGTTCAAAGATGGGAGAGATTAGGAGAAAGGAAGCATGAACGCGTGACCCATTTCTTGAATTAGTGCTCCTTAATCTGGCGACACGTGTAGGTCCCACAGGTAATCACTTCACGTTATTTTTAAAAATAAAATCAGTATGTACAACAACAAAACACAGGCCACTATTAATTAGATTAGTTTGATAATAGTATATGCTCTCTCCCTTTTACAGCATAGATTCAATCCCACTCTATTTAAAAAATATGTATAACCCGAAAGCATCTTATCATGGGTTAGTAATGACACATTAACTGTGTTAGAGAATGATACCTTTTCTTTTCTTTTTGCCAACAAAAAAAAAACATGTATCCAATAAATTATTTGTTACTGTATTGGGTTTCTGCTTTCTACAGTTAAGTGTCGCATGATATTCTTCTACTGCATAGGAAAATACTTTATGTCTTATAATTTCAAAAATGGACGAATATGGTTATAAATATTTATGGATACCAAACAAGAATTCTTAACTGGAAAGACAGCAATAAAAAATAGAGCACATTTTGCTCGTTTTCCATCAACCCTATTTCTCCATTTTGCATCATGGACCGATCATCAAGAAATAAATATAAAAAATTAGATTTTTTTTTTGGTTTGTGCAATTCAATGGCTATATAGATTTTAGGTATTAGTAATAGAAATTGACAATAATGGGAACATTCACGTGTGCGAACAAATGAGCATGTACTACTTACTACGCATATCTCGATAGTTGTTTATATATCCGTTAATATCAGCTTCGACGAGTTTTATAATTAGTATTCCGTTCGTTATAATTGATTTTTTGAATATTTACACACAGATTAAAAAAACTATAAATGCTCAATTATTTACTGTTTATTTTTATTAATTAAGTTAACTGATTTCATTATTTTTATTATTACTTTTCCTTTTTTAATTATGTGTTAATAGAGTAAAGCAATATGTATTAATATTATTTATTCAATTTAAAGAAGAGATATGTATTAATTAAATATAAGAAATCAAATATTATGAAACAAGAAAAAAACCTAAAAAATCAACTATAATAAAACAGAGAGAATATTTGTTTTTATTCCAACATCGAATTTATATCCTTTTACCAAATTTGAGACTAGTGTACTATTGAGTCTATTTTCTTTTGCCAACCTCTGTATTTAATATTGTACTGTTAGTTTCAATTATAGGTCTATCACTACGTATATGTCCGATTATTATATAAAATACATATTTTGATTTCGGTAAAAGATATTTGAAGTTTATATAAGGTTGACCGTTCTTCTATTTTTTTATCTGTTAAAGATTTCAAATAAGATTGATAGTTAAAGATTGCAGGATTTCTACCTTTTTGTTAGAAGAGATGTATGAGCTTCTAAACTTTTCTTAAAATTTTGATAAATTTATATAGTCGTAGTGGCTGCAGAATACATATATTGATATATGTATGGTATTATTTTGTTTTATTTTATTTTGGTTTAAATGGTATTTTATAAATACTAACCAAGTATGGCAATTTATAAGTCCATCTATTTTCTTTCAAATATATATATATATATATATGATTATATTTCGTTTCAATTTTTTTTTCGACCTGAAAAAATATATAAGGGTTGACAAAGACATCCAAAAGATAAAATTGATCAATCAGCTCTGTACGACAGCGTATGAATAATAAGTGGTAAGAATGAAACTTATTAATCAATTTATCAACAAGCTGAACACATGCTTTGCAAAAGCTGTGTCTACTTTTCGTGTTGTTTGATAATTCAATTGACAAGGTATATAAACTTAGTAGGCTTTCAGGACATAAAAATAAATATAAACGTAAATTTTTGTATAATAAGTGGTGATGGATGGACTTTTCTACCCCTTTTATATATCAAAATGGTGATAATACCCTACGTTTAAAGACTCCACACACACATATTTGATTAATGGTAAGAAACGGATTAATAAAAAGAAAGAAGAAAGAAAATAAAAGGGTTTTTCTTTTTAACGGACAAAGATTCCTACTATGGTTGCTTTTAGACCACACACAAATGCTCTTGGGTCCCACGCCAATAGCAAGTGCGTTACCAACACGTGAATTTTCTCTCCCAATTTCTCCCCCATTTCTGTTTCTCATCTCGTCTCCTCTACATATCGCGTGTTACGTGTTAATGCTGAACACTTGTTTGTTTAAAGAAAAACTGTTTTTTTTTTTGTAGTTGGATTATATATCTTTTCCAACGTTTTGATGATAAAGAATGAAAATTGGAGTATTTGTTTCTTTTAGTCAATTTCAACGTTTTGATTACTCATGCTTTAAGTGATTTTGAAAAAGGAAGAGAAATAGATTATAGTTGCGTCGATCGTTAATCATACCCACAGATCATACCATATAGGCATATACTAGTACTTACTATATTACTAAGACAACATTTTGAATGCATTGGTGCAATTTGTGATAGTTTTTTTTTGTCTTGCTAAAATGAATTTGTGGTAGTTACATGCCTAGATCAAAAATCATATGAATTTTAATCCAGAAAACTAAACAATATAGTATATCGAAAAACCCAGGAGAACAAAATAATAACACAAGTATCAGTTAAAAACACTCACCCATAAACAGTAACAAATATTTCTTATTATAAAACACGAATGCGATGCAATACTAAATATATTTTGATGTCTAAATAACAAAACGATCATATTCTACTAATAGAAAAAAATTGCTTGTTAAGTGCTCTAAATAACAACATAAGACAAATCAAATTCAAGTAGTGAATTACTGTTTTTATCATGTAACAGACACAATGTTGCAATAAATTATATGATTTAATAAACTTTTCTGTCGATATTAGTATCTATTAGTAAAAGTCTACCACACGAAATCTCTAGTGTAAAATTTACTGTTGAATTTCTAATCCCAAGTGGACATTGGATGACAACAATATTTTTTAGTTTTCTTAACATCAATAATTAATAGATACTAGAAATAGAAAAAGCTTTCTTAATTCATCTATAATTTGGACAAAACTTTTCTTAGAAACACTAATTAATCCTATTTGCCAGCTGTACGGGAGTAGTTACAAAAAACTCTCTATCTTTTTTTGTTTAGTCGAAAAAATCTTATACAGTATATATTTAACAATTTTTTATAAACAGCAGCCTATGTATTTATGATGAAACACACAGAATACAGAATAATTTTAAAGACTGAAATTTTATTCTTTACTTACTAAATCATAAAAATAAATAATTCCTATAGTAAAAATGATTTTAAAGAAAAATAAACTAATCTACTATTTTTTTCTTGTTCGAAAAAATTGTATAAAAGTTTAGATAAATTATAACTCGAATTCTTCACTTATTTGTTAGAGTTTTTCTGTTCTGGTTCGGCCAACGGAATATTTTAATTTTAGTCCTAGTTGAGATTATATTCGACGACTTTTCGTAATTTAATTAAGGAATAAAAAACAATAATAAAACGTCTTTGTTTTTCCATAAAAAGAAAAACAGGGTAAATTAAGTACCAGAGATTCACGAGACGGAAATTCCCGAACGCGCACGTTAGCCAAAAGAGCGTGGAAAATGACACTCGAAATATCTAGATAATGCTAAAATGCACTATCTTTTTGGTGCCACGTTGCTATTTCAGAAAAAAAAAAATACCCATCCTCTCTTCTCTCTACGTCCACCCAGACCTGCCTGTTCACAGCACGACAAAGCCACTTCCCGATAAAAACACAACACCTTTCCCATTGACACTCTCTCTCCACAAACACCGTTATCTTCTACCACCAATCTGTACACGACGTGTGGTCACGGCGTGTTGACGCCGTTAGTCCCATCTAAAAACGTAAAGCTGCCTTTATTACTTGCTAATCTGTATTACTACCATCTTGACATTAATAATTTTTTTTTTATCTTTGTCAAACCATGCATCTAGACATTAATTATTATTTTTCTTTATCTCCCCAAATTTTCCGATGGTTTAATGTTTTTTTTCCTTACCCTTTTTATCAAAACAGATGGTTAATTTTCAACTAAGATTTCTCAAACTTTTTCCGTTTGTTTTTATATTGGTAATCATATTTTTTTTTTCTGAACAACTTCAACATTACTTAACTTGCAGTATCTTACTATTTTCTTTATTTCCCTCTTATTGAAGAAATTTAGTTTTGATGTAGAAAATGCGAGGACAATATCTTTTTAGGAAAGGTTTGTATATTAAAAAATAATAATTTATTAAATGGAGGAAAGAAAAATAATTTCGTCACTTGTCTTTCGCTTTGTGAGGTCGCAGACCCTGGTCCCCCGGAAATGGTTACAACCGGAAATAGCCGGTGTGAAAGGGGAATGGTAACCGGTGAATGCCGGTTGTCGGTATGGTTAGAAGTTCACCGCGGTTGAAATGATTGAAGCAAAGTTTTGACTACTCTGGTTAAGCCTTTGGTCGCCTCAGACCCAGAAAACAAAGATAGGAAAGACGAAGAAAAAGAAAGAAAAAAAGAGAGAGAGAGAGAAAGTAGAGAGAAGAAGCAGAGAAAAAGAGACTTGTCATCGTCGATGATGTACAAGAGTCTGTGAATCCGGTAAAGCCATAAGCGAGTAGATAAAGAGGAAGGCGAGAGAGAATACGGAGCTGTTGTATCGCTAAATCGAGCTAAATTTGAGGTGAAATTGGTGGTTTCTCGTATGATTCTAGGGTTTATCTCTCTGGTAGCTGTATCGAGTAATGTTAAGGAGCTAAACCGGTGGTGATTGTTTTTGCGACAGAGATAGAGACATTCAAAGGAATCAAGTGTAGTACCGAGGCGAGCTTTGAGGTTTTTTGGGCGAGGTTTTTGAAAGAGAAGAGGTGGATTTGGAGATTTTCTTGTTGATTTCGTCTGCTTAGAGGATTCTTTGATACCAGATGAAACAGATCTGAGCTTTGAGTTTACCGAGGTATGGCGAGTTCAGAGGTTTCAGTGAAAGGAAGTCGTGGAGGAGAAAACTTCTCCTCCGCCGGTTACAGTGACCCAAAGGAGACAAGAAATGTCTCCGTCGTCGGAGAGGGGCAAAAAAGTAATTCCAACCGATCTGTCGTCGCTGAGCGTGCTGGTAAGCCTCCGTTTCTGACTTTTCTTCGCTTGGTTTTGGTTACAGACTGAGTTGATCTAATTTCTCCTGATTTTTAATTTTCTCTTCTTCTTCTACATAGTGGACCCTGAGGCTGCTCTCTACAGGGAGCTGTGGCACGCTTGTGCTGGTCCGCTTGTGACGGTCCCTCGACAAGATGACCGAGTCTTCTATTTCCCTCAGGGACACATCGAGCAGGTGAGATTTCATCACTGAGTTTTTATTTTATTTTCCGTCTTGGATTCCGATTTACCGAGATATTTTTCTTATGACATTTTTTTCAGAATATTAATTATTGTCGTTTTCTTGCTGAGTAGGTGGAGGCATCAACAAACCAGGCGGCAGAACAGCAGATGCCTCTCTATGATCTTCCATCGAAGCTCCTTTGTCGAGTCATTAATGTAGATTTAAAGGTTTGCTTCTCTCACTTCATTGTGATAGCTTGCTTTCTGAGTCTTGAAATGTCCGCTAACGAAAGAATTGTTTTTTTATTTTACAGGCAGAGGCAGACACCGACGAAGTTTATGCGCAGATTACTCTTCTTCCTGAGCCTAATGTTAGTTTGTGTTTTCTAATTCTATGATTCTTCCGAGTAAAGGAACGTCTTATTCTTATAGGACCTCATTTCAATTTCTGCTTTGTAACAGCAAGACGAGAATGCAATTGAGAAAGAGACGCCTCCTCCTCCGCCCCCTAGGTTTCAGGTGCATTCGTTCTGCAAAACCTTGACTGCATCGGACACAAGTACCCATGGTGGATTTTCTGTTCTTAGGCGGCATGCGGATGAATGTCTCCCTCCTCTGGTTTGTGTTTCAATTTATTTAGCTCTGTTGTCCTATTTTCCTGATTTTTTTCCCAAGATTGTCTCTAATTTATCCTTTTTTATCTTGTCTCAGGATATGTCACGTCAGCCTCCTACTCAGGAGTTGGTTGCAAAAGATCTGCATGCAAACGAGTGGCGTTTCAGACATATCTTCCGAGGTACAGGAATGTGTATGAGTCATATTTTTAATATCTTTTTTAGTTTCAGTTCCTTGAGTCTTTGTTTCATCAAACTCCTGTGATCCTTGATGTTTGTGATGCTGTTATACCAGGTCAACCACGAAGGCATTTGCTTCAGAGTGGATGGAGCGTGTTTGTTAGCTCTAAAAGGCTGGTTGCAGGCGATGCATTTATTTTTCTCAGGTTTGTGGATTTTTATGTTCATGATATTTTTGTAGTGTATCAATTTGTTTCGTTGATGTGATATAATCTAATTTATCTGTAGGGGGGAGAATGGAGAATTACGTGTGGGTGTAAGGCGTGCAATGCGACAACAGGGAAATGTGCCATCTTCTGTTATATCGAGCCACAGCATGCATCTTGGAGTACTGGCCACCGCATGGCACGCCATTTCAACGGGAACTATGTTTACAGTCTACTACAAACCAAGGTTTGTTTTGGTTTGGCACACTAAACAACTTTTAGTTTTGAGCTCGTTGCTGTTTTTGTCTCGATTTCTGATGCCTGGCAGTGTTACATTACTAATTGTTCATATGTTGTGTGTTTGCGGCAGGACAAGTCCATCTGAGTTTATTGTTCCGTTTGATCAGTATATGGAGTCTGTTAAGAATAACTACTCCATAGGCATGAGATTTAAAATGAGATTTGAAGGCGAAGAGGCTCCTGAGCAGAGGTAAAAAGGACTCCTTTTCCGATAGACGATATACAGTTTTTTGGTACAATGTATCACTAGTCTTGAATACTTAAAGCTTTCAATCTAACTTCCTGTGGAAGGACAAAATTCTCATTTTGTTTTGATTTATATTAGGTTTACTGGCACAATCGTCGGGATAGAAGACTCTGACCCCACGAGATGGGCAAAATCAAAGTGGAGATCCCTCAAGGTATATCACTAGTTCCTAGATAATTGTTTTTACATCTGTTCAAGACTGTTGTTAGTGAATAAATGTTAAATGTCCCTTATCTTTTAGGTGAGATGGGATGAGACCTCTAGTATTCCTCGACCTGATAGAGTATCTCCTTGGAAGATAGAGCCTGCTCTTGCTCCTCCTGCGCTGAGTCCTGTTCCCATGCCTAGGCCTAAAAGGCCCAGATCTAATATAGCTCCTTCGTCTCCCGACTCTTCCATGCTCCAGAGAGAAGGTAAAGTCGCTCCCTTCCATTGCACTGCGTCTGGCTTTATAAGCGTGTCTGAAACAAAATTAAACTCATTTAAGATTGGGAGACTAATTCATTGTCCACAAAACAGGCTCAACTAAAGCAAACATGGACCCTTTACCGGCAAGTGGACTTTCAAGGGTCTTGCAAGGTCAAGAATATTCGACCTTGAGAACGAAACATACTGAGAGTGTAGAGTGCGATGTTCCAGAGAATTCTGTTGTGTGGCAATCCTCAGCGGATGATGATAAGGTTGATGTTGTTTCGGCTTCTAGAAGATGTGAGAACTGGATGTCCTCAGGCAGGCATGAACCTGCTCCCTTCACGGATTTGCTTTCTGGGTTTGGGGCTAACATAAATCCATCCTTCGGTCAGCGAATACCTTTTTACGACCATTCATCATCACCTTCTGTGCCCGCGAAGAAAATCTTAAGTGATCACGATGGCAAATTTGATTTTTTTGCTAACCAGTGGCAGATGATGCACTCTGGTCTTTCCCTAAAGTTACATGAATCTCCTAAGGTCTCTGCACCATCCGATGCCTCTTTTCAAGGGCGAGGCAATGTCAAATATGGCGAATATCCGGTGCTTCATGATCTGACGACTGAGAATACTGGTGGTAACTGGCCAATACGTCCACGTGCTTTGAATTATTTTGAGGATGTGGTTCATTCTCAGGCTAGGGAGCATGTAGCGAAACGACCTGCGGTAGTACAAGAGGAGACAACAAAGGCAAGAGACGGGAATTGCAGGCTTTTTGGCATTCCTCTGGTCAACAACATGAATGGGGCGGATTCAACTATGGCGCAGAGAAACAACTTAAAAGATGCTGCAGGCCTTACGCAGACAGCACCTCCAAAGGTTCAGGATCTCTCGGATCAGTCAAAAGGGTCAAAATCGACAAACGATCAGCGTGAACAGGGAAGACCGTTCCAGACTAATCATCCCCATCCGAAGGACGCTCATACAAAAACAAACTCAAGTAGGAGTTGCACAAAGGTGAAGATTTTGCTATTGTTATACGCACATATTATGATGAGCTTGTGATAACCCTTGAAGCAAATTTTTGACTAACACACTACACATTGGTTGCTTGGTTTTAAAAGGTTCACAAGCAGGGCATTGCACTTGGCCGGTCAGTGGATCTCTCAAAGTTCCAGAACTACGAGGAGTTAATCGCTGAATTGGATAGGTTGTTTGAGTTCAATGGAGAGTTAATGGCTCCCAAGAAAGATTGGCTAATAGTTTACACTGATGATGAGAATGATATGATGCTTGTTGGAGACGATCCTTGGCAGTAAGATTTTGCAGTTTCTCCATCTCCTCTCCCTCAATCTATATCGTCGTGAGTGGTTTTTTTTAACATTGCACAATGATCTTCTATTCTGCAGGGAGTTTTGTTGCATGGTTCGCAAAATCTTCATATACACGAAAGAGGAAGTTAGGAAGATGAACCCGGGAACTCTAAGCTGTAGGAGCGAGGAAGAAGCAGTCGTTGGGGAAGGATCAGATGCAAAGGATGCCAAGTCTGCATCGAATCCTTCATTGTCCAGCGCAGGGAACTCTTAAACAAGAAAAAGCAAAACCCTTTTGCTACAAGCCCGAGGTATGTATATTTGTGCTTCTTAACTAATATCAGGACAGACCACTACACACAAGTAGACACAGAACCAAGTTTTTACCATTACATACAAAATGACATTTGGTATTTTTTGTAATGCAGGGGAAGAGAGGTATAAAAACCCAAATGAAGAGAGAGCTTGATGGTCTAGAGAGCAAAATTGGATTATAGGGGGTTTTCACGAAATGATAAGCAATTTTTGAAGTATTTTGTTGGCAACTTAGATTATTAGCTTCTTCCACCTCCTATTATATCTAATAATAATCGATATATATGTTATAAAGTAAACAAGAAAGGTTACAGGTATTATATAGTAGAATATGAAATGCTCTTTTATAAGTAGAAATGATGGTGTGGAGTTGTAGATGGAGGCTAGTATCGGTTCTTTGTTATATGTGTTCTTCATCTGTTGAAAGTCGTTTATTGTTTATATATTAATCCCAATGTACATAAGTTTTTAAGATTTTACCCTTTTTTATTACTACTCGATCTACATCTTCTCTACCTATTAAGTGTTCCCGGCTTTTGGTGTTGGTTTTGTAATGGTTTTATATGTTGAATGCTGCTCTTGCTTTTATGAATTGAAGAATTCGGTTGGCTTTAGACATAAAGTTAGTTTTTTAGATCTCTTCTTCGTCTTTACTCTGTTGCAAGTATTAGACATAAATCTTACCGTTTCCGAGAATACCCTGTGGAGACAGAAGTGTTCTGTCTAGTATGAACGTACTCGAAAATCACCAATCGATTCAAGCTCTCGCGTAGTTTGGCGATCCTTATATCGTGGAGCTAGAAATCGTCGAACACTGTGTGCCATCTATATTTCTTGTCAGCGATTCTAGTTTTCTTGGTCAAAAGCTCAAGATTCATTTGGAATTCAACTTGTTTGTACTTTGATCTAATCCAAAAGACTCGACACTATGTCTTTTTGTCTTGTTAACATTTTGTCGGTTTTCGTCTTCAGAATGATGATAAAAATATGAGCAAACTATGAGACCTATTTAAACAATCCGACTCTATTTTAACAACCTTACATTTTTTTTTCAACTTTCTATATATAATTTCGAGAACCAATTTGTGAGTTTGACCCAAAAATAAATGCAATTTGTGAGTTTTGGATTCGACTTGATGCAGTAAAATATGAGCCAAACTATGAGACAACTTTTAAACAGTCTAAAAATATATTTGGGAGTGTGCTAAATTTGATCTAAAAATCATCGAAAAAAAAATCATCCAAAAAACAATAAAAAATTACGGTTTATGTGAATAAAACATTTGTAGTGGTAGGAGAAATATGGTGTTACTTGTTCAAAGCAGACTTGCCATAAAATAGAGCTCTGATCAGGACTTTTCTGCGTTAGACAATCAGCAACCGTAAATCTTTTATTGCCATAGTGTCTTAGTCGCTTAAAACTCGAATGTTTTTACCCGATGGTTTTGAGATCAGATTTTTTGCGTTCTTCAAAATATGTAATGACTTGCTTCTCAGATATTCAGGTGAAAAGCTAAAATGTACACATTTTCATGAAGGTGTGTTAATTCAGGTGAACAGTCCACCACACCCGATTTCATTGTTTTTTTGTTATTTCACTAGTATAAAGTGCGAGAAATAAAATGTTTCTCTTGTTCCCTTCTCTTTGTTGTTCTACACCATCGACACATATCAATATGCTGAGTCTGATAACGATTGACACATCAGGCAGACATCTCTACAATTATTAATGCACAAATTCCTAAATTTCCGAAATAAATTATACAGTATAGGACAAAGTGACTTGGTGGGGCCCACCACTTGGAGACTGTATATGAAGGAGGAATAAACATGCAGACGAAGTTTCCTGAAAAGCCCAAAAAAACATTACGCAGCTTCTCGATCTTCGTTTCCCTTCCTAACTATAATTTATTTAACACACATTCCTTCTCATTTTACTTTTCTTCTTTCTTGACTTTTACACAAGACGCTTCGTTTTTGGTTTTGAATCTTCTTCTAACTTTTCCCGATTGAAATCTAATGATTTCACCGCCGAGCTATAACGGTGACGCGATGGTTAACGGCGAATCTCAAAGATCTGTTCCGACGCCGTTTCTCAACAAGACTTTTAACCTCGTGGAGGATCCTTCCATCGACGATGTAATCTCGTGGAACGAAGATGGTTCCTCCTTCATCGTCTGGAACCCGACTGATTTCGCTAGAGATTTGCTTCCTAAGCACTTCAAACACAACAATTTCTCCAGTTTCGTCCGTCAGCTCAACACTTACGCAAGTCCATGGATTACATCTTCGAATTTCGTTTTTTATGCGTGTTGATATATCTTCGGTTCCTGATTCAATTAAATTTTCGCAGGGATTCAAGAAAGTTGTACCGGACCGGTGGGAGTTTTCGAATGATTTTTTCCGGAGAAGAGAGAAACGTCTTCTCCGCGAGATCCAGCGCCGGAAACTAACGCATGTTGCTGCTCCGCCGTCGGAAGTGGTGGCTGTGGCTGCTCAGAGAATCCAGACGGCGAAACCGGGTGTGTCTCCGTCGAATTCAGGGGAAGATCAGGCGGTGTCTCCGTCGTCGTGGTTTTGTCAAACCGGGAACGGTGGTTTATCGGTTGAGCTATTGGAGGAGAACGAGAAGCTACGGAGTCAGAACATCCAGCTTAATCGTGAGCTTACTCAGATGAAATCTCTCTGCGATAACATCTTCAGCCTCATGTCAAACTACGCCGGATCTCTTCCCGATCGGAGCTATTCCTCGGGAGGTAGTAGCAGCCACGAAGCGATGAAACCGGTGGAGTTTTTACCGGCGAAGACGGTGGTTGGGGAAGAAGAAAGCCCGAGGCTGTTCGGTGTTCCGATTGGGCTCAAACGGACGAGAAGCGAGGGAGTTCAGGTGAAAACGGTTACCGTCGCCGGCGGCGGAAGCGACGGAGGAGGGGAGAACGAGGACACGCCGTGGCTGAGACACTATAATCGAGCCAATCAGAGAGTCTGTCATTAGACGGCTCAGATTTTGCGTGTGTAGATATGTTTGCGATGTAGAGGATTAGAGCTTTCCTTAATGAGCACGTGTCCCATCTGTTTCAAGAAGTTTCATCAATCTTGACTTCTTCTCTGACATTTTGTCAATAAATAATGCTTCAATAAACGCTCTCCTTTTCAGTTTTTCTTCTATGGTTTTCCTTTTTAATCGACTTTCCCTTTTTGACCTTTTTCGTCTCTATTCATTTTTTTAAAAAAAAAATTTCTTTCCGATTTTAAAATTACACAAATACCTCTTACGGACAAGGCCTAGATATTGATTATTAATTGATATTATTAGCTGGAACAATTATTTTTTATTTGATTATTAATGATGAAAGTGAAATTTGTAATGATTAATAATGATGCATCTGGAATCTCCGGTTTGGTGGGGGCGGATCGTGTAACGACTAACGTGGACCCAATTGTCGTCGAGTATCACAAAGCAGTTGTTTATGATCCATAATTTATGTAAACTGCCATCATAACTCCGAACTTAGTAAATTTCTAAACTCAATGACATCATTGACATGTTCTATATATAATATACTCCTTAAATTTGTTGGTTTTTTTTATTGTGGGACGATCATACATAATAACAGCGACAAGGACTTGGAATCAAATTCGCCCACGTAAAAGAGAGATTTATGGAGTTGCATTACATGCTTAGCTCAGGAAATATCTCGATTATTATTTATCACATAGTCTGCACTCAAAAACGGGTTATTGACAGGTGTTATGATGCGTAAATGGGACATAAGACATGTTGGGAACAGTACACGATGAAAAACCAAGGACCACATTTTCTTTGCATATATCTTACACTTATATGGTTTGAATATCATACACATACACTTGTGTACGAATATTTGTAAACAACCTCACACCGAACTAGCCAGTGACTATTTATTTTCTCCAACATGCATTGAGCAAGTTGGACATAATACTGAGTGCGATAGTTTAGTATACTGAGTAAGATAGTTTTTCAAAACTACGCATTGATTACCACAGTTGAAACTTGAAAAGACTGTAATAGTTTTCCTTGGTTACAATGGTCAACACAAGTTCAAAGTTTTTTTTACATGTAGTTTGCCACTCGCCATTTGCTTTACCACTGATCGATGACGCTAATTCTTGTGAAATTGTCTTTGCTCCCTTAAGAATAAGAGAATCCAACCATTGGTTTTAGATAAAATTTTGAAAAACTTTTGTTCTTATCATTCTTCTGTAAATAATTGCTGTTTAATAAATTTATAATTTCCACCAAAAAATAGTAACCAGTAGATTACCATGATGTTAAGCCCAAAATCAGACGCATGAGTTGCAAAGAAAAATTGAGACAATAACGTCTGAACTACGTATTTGATTTTTCCGTCGAAGTTGAACGACACTAAGATTTACTAACAAATTTCTTTTTTATTGTTTTTGAAACTATTATTTGCGGATAAAACTATCTTGAAAAGTTGAGAGCAGGCACAAACGACCAAACACTAACTTAATCGTGAGTTTGACGAGGCCCTGACCAAAACTCAATACTTGTCACATCCACTGATTTTGAGGCCTCAATTTTTAACAAATCACGGAAAGAAAAACAAAAATACTACTATGAGAAACAAAGTTCTCTATTAATACGAACAATCCGGCGAGAATGAGTTCCCGAGAAAGAGACAACAAGTGAAGAAAAAGTTTAATCCGGCACTGACAAAAGTTGTTTTAATCAGGCGGTTAATACATTAGATCATGTAATTAGATTATAAAAATAAAACAATACTCGTGGATTAGATTTTGGGACTCGTTAAACCCTAAACCCCTGTTAGTTTCTTCTTCCTGAGCTCTCCGCCGCGTTCTCTTCTCTCTTTTCTCAAAATCCAAAGTTAATTCCTCGAAACCAATCGATTCGATCCTCCTCGCTTTCCTTTGTTTGGTCGTTGTCCTCTCAGAGCAATCATCTCGTTCTTTGTCTGGATTCGTTTCTCAAACGTAAGTAAGTTTTCTTCAGAGTAGACATACAAATTGAAACACTCAATTGTTATCGCCTTGGATCGATTCTTAGATTAGTTACTAAAGGAATCGATATTTGACTGTTTTAGCGGTTCTTGTTTAGGACCTTTAAGAAAATTATGGAATTGAAAAACCCTAACTTTTGTGTGCGATTGAATCTATAATTCTTTTCCCAGATTCAATCGTCGTCTCTACTATATGGAGCTTTCTGATGTAAGCAATGGAAAGAGCAACAAACCGAAGCAGCCTCCAAAACGTTTCGTGAAGAACCAAATCCCAGAATCGATCCTCGGCGACGCATCGCTAAACGCAGCAATCTCCCTTTTGCCATCGATTTACCAGTTCGAGGTCCATAAATGCGTATGGCGTATCAAATCATCAAACGCCAAACGCATCGCTCTCCAGCTTCCCGAGGGTCTTCTCATGTACGCACTCACACTCTCCGACATCTTCACGTCTTTCGCCGGAGCGTCTCACTGCTTTGTCCTCGGTGACGTCACTTATGGAGCTTGCTGCGTCGATGATTTCTCAGCCTCTGCTCTTGGTGCTGACTTACTCATCCACTACGGACACAGTTGCCTTGTCCCTATCGACTCTACAAAGATCCCTTGTCTCTATGTCTTCGTCGAGATCCAGATAGATGTCAAATGTCTTTTGAACACTATCCATCTCAACCTCTCGGCTGATTCCAAGAACATAATCCTCGCTGGAACCATTCAGTTTACTTCTGCGATAAGAGCCGTGAAGCCAGAGTTGGAGAAGCAAGGTTTCAACGTTTTGATCCCTCAGTCAAAGCCTCTCTCTGCAGGGGAAGTTCTTGGATGCACAGCACCAAAGATCACGAGGGTTGATGAGGATAAAGACGCAGTGCTGGTGTTTGTAGCTGATGGGAGATTCCATCTCGAAGCGTTTATGATTGCAAATCCGAAAATCAAGGCGTTTAGGTACGATCCGTATCTTGGCAAGATGTTCTTGGAGGAGTATGATCACAAGGGGATGAGGGAGACGAGAAGGAGAGCGATTTCACGTGCTAAGGATGCAAAGACTTGGGGGATTGTGTTGGGGACATTGGGAAGGCAAGGAAACCCCAAGATTCTCGAGAGGTTAGAGAAGAAGATGATGGAGAAAGGGATAGACAGCACAGTTGTGTTGATGTCGGAACTTAGCCCTACGAGAGTGGCGTTGTTTGAAGACTCGGTGGATGCTTGGGTTCAAATAGCATGCCCGAGACTCTCGATTGATTGGGGTGAGGCGTTTCTTAAGCCGCTTCTGACAACTTTCGAGGCTGAGATTGCTCTTGGACTCATCCGAGGTTGGTGGGAGAACGGTTCTGGTTCTGTTTCTTCGAGCAGAGTAGATTCTCCGTCTGGCTGCTGCAAAGAGGACAAAGAAGCAAGCTGTGCGTGTGGGAATGGAAAGGTGGAAGATGGTAACAAGAAAGATGATGATGATGATGATGATGATGGGGTAATGGATGGAGACTATCCAATGGATTATTATGCACAAGAAGGTGGAGAATGGAACTCATCATATCTCAAGAAGTCATCTCGTCCCATTCGAAGAAACCCTTTACCTTCTTCTTCTTTAGTTTAGAATGCTTTTGAGTTTTTTTTGATAAGAGTATACTCACAGACAGATATCAAATTGGAATTATTATTGAAAGAATCCATAGTATTTGGAGTAGTTATTTACCAAAGTAGATGTATATGTGAAAATGACTCGTGAATATTAGCAAATTGGAACTAGCACAGAAATCCTCCCTTACAATGAAAAACAAATAATCACAGCTTATAGTGTAAAACATTGAATATTAAAACAAGTCTCTCTACTTTAGATCTATTTCTTCCTTCAATGAGAGATCTGATATTAGGATCGCAGACTTGGACATCATTTCTTTATTAATGTCGTTTAAAAATCTATGTTCTAATATTATCGAATATATCTTTTCAAGAAAATATCACTTCAATTCCACCACCTCTCTGTCCCTTGACCCACTTTTTTGAAAAACACATTAGTTTTTCTTGTGGCATAGATTTTCTTGAACCAAATGTTAATTAGAGTTCATGCTTGCGATATATACTTAACTGAATACTAAAGTTTTGAGCATTTCGTTCGCTGCAAGTAAAAACTAAAAAACTGCTACTACAGAAAACAGTTTTGTAGTAGTTTTGGAGATTGGGGAGATTTGTTTGTGAATTGCATTATGAAAATTGGTCATAAATCCAATCTAAGATATCCTTTTTTATGAGATGTAAAAGAACGTGATTTAATATGGAGACAGTTTCAACTTTAATCTATTTATGATCATTTTTGTCTTCCAAAGGACACATATATTTGCGACAAGGAGGAAACAATCAGTGCTCCCTTTCTTTATACAATTCCTTTTTCTAAACATTAGCCTATTGATTCCCTAGAGAATCCCAGCGCAGAGCAAATTTCTTCGAGACTGGTATTTACAGTCCTTTAATTTTAACTTTATAACGACACGAAGAAACTTTCTTTTACACTGTTTGAGTTTGGCTAGAAGTGATATGTTAGCTCCAATCAAATTATCGACGTGTTAGATTCCATGCAGACAAAAATTTCGGTTGTTCTTTTTTTTCCTCATCGTCAACTAGAATCTATGTGGTTGGGCTCTTACATTAACGTTATATATGCAAGCTTTTCTTCAATTTGTTAAAATTATTTTTTATTCAGACTGAACAACTTATTTTATCATTATTATTTATTTGTTTGTTGAAAATCTGATTATTATTGTTTAGTTTCTTACTTATCCATGCCATTGTAAGAGATGCAATATTGAATGGTCAACCCCGAACAAATTTTGGTTATCAAGAAGACAATAGTTTTGCTTAGCATCTTTTTCTATTTCTGTTTCGAAGGAAGTGATTTGTTATTGTCTAATTGAAAAGTATCTAATTGTCTGTGGTTTGTCTTTTCTATTGAGTTTGAACTCGAATGAAAACAAAACGATGATCTTAGTACAAATCACTAGATTTTATATTCTGATTAGAGCAAATACGGTCAATGCACAAAAAGGCGACACGATCGATACAGAACAAAAACACTAGATCTATTCACTTATACTAACTTATAAGATTGATAAACAAAGTGAAATATAATAAAGCATTCGAAATTAGGTGCCACTGTGTTTGCGCCACGTTTTGGATTGAGCATATGTAAATATTGATGAGAAAACTCATGTGGGGATTCGCTTTAACAAAAAAAAAACTAAAAAAAAACCTCATGTGAGATTCCATGACTAGAAACTACAAATGAGATTCTCAGTCTTATAAAGCAGATTCCTTTCTTTTCTTGTTTTTATCTCTTCTTCTTATTTGCTTCTTATTTGCAATATCTACAAATCAATTTCTAAACCAATCATCGCAATATCTGGTTTTCATTTCTTAACGACACGCGTACGTATTCTTATATTCGAATGTAATGGAGAAGAAAATTATTGAGTAATAATATATGTGTGCTAATAATCGTGGACATAAATTCCTGCATTTCATCTGTATTTTCATATCTCTGCCTTATACAATTAATTTTCTTTTCTGATAAAAACTACTAAAATGTAATGTTTTCTTAACAATAGTCTCGTACGCGAACATACATACAAAAAAAAAAACCTGAAGAAATTATCGTAACTTACATCTTTATCAATATGCTTTAGAAACATAGTGTAGAACTTACATGATATATATTCTACATATTTGATGATGACAATGTCAAATAGTAAAATAATAGAGAATAATGGAAAGGTATGTAAAATATATATATTATGATGAAAATGTCATAAAATAAAAAGATATGTCAAATATATGTCGTGTATTTTCTATCCATATTTGTGCCAAAGTCCTGATCAGATTCTTTAGTGAGCCTATAAAAAGCTATCACATATGCATGGTTCATTCCAAAAGAAACGAGAATCAATTACAAACACAAACACACACAAAATTGAAACACTCTGAGCAAAAAAAAAAAAAAAAGGAGTAATAATGTCAAGAGAAATAGAACCACTAATAGTGGGAAGAGTGATCGGAGATGTTATAGAAATCTTCAATCCAAGTGTGAATATGAGAGTCACTTTCAATACCAATACAGTCGTCTCCAACGGTCACGAGCTTGTGCCTTCTCTTCTCCTCTCTAAGCCTCGCGTTGAAATCGGTGGCCACGATCTGCGTTCATTCTTCACCTTAGTAATAACTAAACTTTATTTCTTGCTTTCGAACCCAAAGTATAGGTAGTAATCATCGTTAACTACTTAATTTTGCTCCTGTCTTCTTACACTAATCTGTTCGCTTTCTTTTTTCTTTTACTTGGAAAGATCATGATGGACCCTGATGCCCCGAGTCCTAGTAATCCTTATATGCGTGAATATCTGCATTGGTACGTCGAAATTTTTTATCATTAATATTAGCACATTTCTTCACATATATAACAAAACAATGTATAATACACTTTATATATTTAAAAAAAAAAGAAATGTACAATATGCCTTCTTTATGATGTGTATTAAAATTCAGGATGGTGACAGACATCCCCGGGACAACCGATGCTTCTTTTGGTAAGATTAATCACATCGTAACCTATTATACATCATTAATACTAGTTAAACTTAAAACATGAACAAAAAAAAGAAATAAATGTATAAAAATCTCCATTCATTCAAGGCCAAAGTATGTTGTAAAAGCGTTGGACCAAACCGATTTGGTCTTGGCAAATATATGGATCTTTGGTCAATACACATTTTTGGAAACAGCAAGAGATAATGAACCTATCATGAATGGTGATTGATTGACTGTTGTAGGGAGAGAGATGGTGAGATACGAAACGCCTAAACCGGTGATTGGGATACACAGATACGTGTTCGTGCTGTTCAGACAGAGAGGGAGGCAAACGGTGAAGGAGGCGCCAGCAACAAGGGAATGTTTCAACACAAGAGACTTCTCTTCTTTCTTTGGTCTTTCTCTACCTGTTGCTGCTGTTTACTTCAACGCTCAACGTGAAACTGCTCCTCGACGACGTCCTTCTTATTAATTTTAACTACTATCTATATAGAATAAAGTTCACTTTACCTTTATGTGCCCAAATAAAGTCCAAATTAATGGTGTGTGACTGTGTGTTGTTTTTGTATGTTAACCCAAGAAGATATGAAGTTTCTATAAAGCAATCTTACTTTCCAATTGATAAAAAAAAACTTACAATATCGTTTAATTAAATAATCAAGAAAACATATATATAATTTCAAGCTGCCTACAGCTCTATATCTGGCTCTCGGGATAGTTTCATCAATGAGAAAAAAAAATATCTGTGTAGTATTATTGGTTCACACTTTCGACTCAAAAAGCTTTTATTATTTTTTCCTCTACCAACAAAAAGTATCACAAAATAAAAAATCATTTCTTCTTGCTGCTGTTCTTCTTCCTGCCCTTAACTTGACTCTCCAAAGCCTTGAGCCTCTTACTAACAGGACTCAACGATGCTGAAGAGATCCTCGGGTTTACTGTGGAAGGTGGTTGTGTCTGGTTCTGTGTATGGTCCTGTGTCATGGTTTTCAATTTCTTGAGAGCTGAGAACAGGTCAAAGGAAGGTTGTTGACCTGGAGGAGGTGGAGGCAGATCAGGTATTTTTAACATCTTCTTCACTCGAGGACGCTTAATCACTGCAATTCATCACCAGGTCAACCATTCATTGTTATTGTTAAGCCACAAGTATGCATATTAACTACACACTCACACACTCACTTACCAAGTCCATACATGAGAGAGAATAAATTGGATGTGATCCAGTAACAAAATATGGCCTGCATTATTTTGCAAATACGTTAGAAAATCCATTGCAAATACGTTAACATATTAGGGATTTTTCAATCAACTATAATAACCTGAGGAAAACTCATTGTCATTGGGACTGTGAGTAGAGCAAAACCCCGACAAACGTTTTTTACAGTGCCTGCCATTGGATTCCCTTCCATGCCTTCTTGTGCATTACACTGCGAGGCGACGGATTCAAGCTAAACTTAGTAAGTCTGACAAATGTTGAAGATGTCCAACTTTTTAAAAGTTTAGCAGAAACTGTACCTCAACGGTTATTAAGAATGTCAATGCTGTTATAACCGGTAAGATGTATAAGCTGTCAGGGGTTGTAAGATCGGTAAACCATAATGCACCTCCGGTTTGGAATGAAGGTACTTTCTCTGCCATATTTCGAATCTGGGGGAAGAAAAGTAACTGACTGAGACGAAAAGGCTATATCAAACAACACAGCCAAAAGGCATCTTAAAGATTAAAAGGTCTTACAGCAAGGAAAAAGCAGATGAACAGAGGTCCCTGAATAAACATCCCTTTCATTGGGGTGAATGGAGTGACACCATATCTGTAAATTATAAACACAGTGTACTGTCATGTGGACAAATCTAAAAAATATACTCAAGGTCATATGGTTCTCGGCCACTACAATAGCCGTTAGAACAGACAAGTTATGAAATGACATATAGAGCACTCGTTTTAGTACACGAATTCGAGTTTATGGTTTGGATTCTGTCACAAATCTATCTCATTTACTCTAAATTTAAAAGCAGCTTACTCTTTGAACAAATTCTTCATCTTTTTTTGACCTTCTGCCATCGTAACGGGGTCCATTCCCTGAGAAAGGAAATGGAGAAAATCAAAAGAAACATAAAGACAAAGAATGAGGGACATGTAGTCAGTGCGAAAGCTATTAGCAGAATAGCAAAAGTGAGGATGAAGTACATGATGTATGGCTGGTGATAAGAAACTTAGCGTACCTTATTTTGCATTTCCTCCCGGATGGACTCTAATCGCGGCCTCATCAGCTGCATGATCATAGAACAGACTACTGATGGATGCGGCACAGGACAGAAAAAAAAAACGAAATATAAATGACAACAAATTTTAAATGCGCATTGAGATATGCTTTCCTTTCATATGTCATATTTAGATTCATAACCCGAAATGTAAAAACTCAAGAAGCAAGAAGAAAATGTAATACTTAAAAAGTAGGAATTTTCTCATGACGTCCATAAGTACCTCTTTTATAGTAGTTTATGATTAATGCAGACTTGTGTTACTGACGACAATGATGTGGATCTCAACTTTCTATTCTATACAGTAACTATATCCACATGTAACATTCCAGTGTTGACGGTAGCTATCAAATATCTTGCATCGATGGAACAAGAGAAAGGGGAAAAGATGCTACATTCTAAATGGTCTCCAAGTTGCAAAAGAAGGAGTACACATACCGATAACTTTGTAGTGTCTTTCATTTGTTTAATCAAGAGAGGAACTGTTGACGATCGGATCAAAATTGTTGCTACAACAATGGATGCCCACCTGTTAATATCATGAAAAGGATATAAGGAAACAATAATATCTTAATCCAGATCCTTTTTCAGATTTGACTCATATATATATATCCAGATTTTGCATTTATAAAGAGACTACCCCTGATTGCTAGACCTCTTCTTAAACATTATTCAACACAAAGGTCATAGAGGATAATGAGATAAGGAGCCAATGGAAAACAACATCAACAACAAATATTCTATCTAATCTAGATTCTTCATTCTGAGTTAGAGAAGCGTGAGGTATTCGTTGTGTAACAGCACAGTGATTTAAAGAAATGCAAACTAGCTGCTATGCTAACATTGAACAAACTGGATGCAATTCATGGCGTGCCAGCAATGAAATACTAGACAGGAGTATTCAGCTAACATGTGATGTATACTTAAGATCAAAAAACAAACTTTCAAGTTTCTTACCACTCAAAACCTGTGAATGAATGCACCATATCAATGCAATGCTGAAGGGCGGCGATAGGCAAGAAAGATTCACTAGCAGCAAGTGAAACTTCACTGACAGCAGCAGCAACCTGAGCTGGGGCATCTTGCAATGTCGAGTCGGTTATGACTTCTGCGATGTCAGACATCACACCAATCTTATCTGAACCGACACCATGTGCACTTGACATATAACGGTAGAAAGCAAAAGCAGACGTAGGAGCCCCCAGAGGCACATGTAAGCCTCCTCCCGAAATTTGGGAGAAATCTGAGTTGATAGAGGATCTTTGGTGAAGTAAGCTATGGTAACTTCTTTGAGATGTGAATGAATCCTCTTCATGATCATTCTCACGAGGGATAATATGATAGGCTAGCTGCTTCCGTCGACCGATAAGTGTGGACCTTATAGATAAGGCTCTCCTGAAAGCCATTGCAGAATCTAAACAAGATCCTGCAGAAGTAAGTAAAAGTTAATAGCCAACGATTTTGCTGATTGGTGAAGATGTAATTTTGGTCACAGGCGAATGGGAGATATGTGATCTTCAGATCAAAGAGTAAAGCTTTTGACATAGATCTTACTAAAATGGATTCTTTTAAAAAATCTTCTTCTTAATTCTTATTTAACAACTAAAAAGCACACGAAATCAAGTTTTCATTTAGAAAAAATGAATAGCAGAATAATAGCGATTCCAAATGGAGAATTCTCATAGACGAGAAAATTACAAGATTGAAGAGGACATAGATAAACTGGGAACGAAACTAGATTGGAAAGTAGAGAGATTGCATAACAGCGTCAACTCACACATTTAAACATATATATCCAAATCTGAGCTTGGGAATGACAAACAGTACGAATAATCAATCTTAGCAGAGTAACAATAGAATAAATAAAAAGCCTACTTGACCGAACAGAGAATCAGCAGAAATAAACCTGGCTATGGAAGAAGAATACGGTGACGGTGAGAAGAGACGATTATGGAATACGGCGAAACAAAAACGGAGAAAAATGACGATGAATTGGGTTGCGCGAGTGTGTATGATTGGAAGTGAAATTAAGGGTTTTAGTTTAACCGGTTTTTAATTTGGGATTGGTTCAAAACCGGACCGAATTCACTAATGGATCACTAATGCGTCAATAATGTATCGCTAATGGGCCACTAATGAATCACTAATGGGCCATAAAAGGATTACTAAGGATCATAAAAGGATCACTACTGGGCTATTAATGGGTCATAAAGGAACCACTAACGGATCATTAAAAAGGCAATTAATGGGTCGAATATGAACATAAACCAGGCCATTAGTGGGTCATTAAAGGTCACTAATGGGCCGATAATGAGCCGTTGAAAAGCTCAAAATGAGTTACTAATGGGCTATTGAATGATCGGTAATGGCCATTAATGGGCCTTTGAAGGATCAATAATGGGCCATTGAAAGATCGGTAATGGGTCTTTGAAGGATCAGTAATCGGCCATTAAATGGGCCTTTGAAGGATCGCTAATGGACCATAGAAGGACCGTAATGAGCCATAGAAGGACCGCTAATGAGCCATTTATGGCCCATTACTGATACTTCAGTGGCCCATCAATTTGCGTTCACACAACATCTATTGGCAAACCAACTTTAAACACACACAGAAAAACGAAAATAAGCCTTCGCCTTTGTGTGTGTGTTGTCTATAAACCTAGCTTGTACAACAATCAAAAGCGTCCTAGCTTAGCTAGTTTGGGCAAATAAAGTACCTATTATCCTATTAAATTAATTGAAAAATATGACGACACCATTCTCTCCGGTGGTGATCTCTTTCTTCATATTTCTGCAGGCGATATGTTCAGCGACCATTGAAAACGCGGCGGACTGTGCGGCGGTTGGAACGTTGATTTCATCGTGCACGGAGTTTGTGAATTACGGGTACCCGGATCCGATACCCGGTTCGAGCTGCTGCGACGCGATGACGGTGCTCGGGACTTACTCTGATTCGTCGGAGAAGAGACGGTGGCTCTGTAATTGCTTCATGGCTCTCATTAATGTCTATAGTTCAAACGCCACCGCCATTTCTACCTTGTCTGGCTTCTGCGGCGTTGTTTTGGGCTTCACCATCGACCCTAACACCGATTGCAACTTGTATGTGATATAGATCAACCCTCTCTCTTTCTCTCCAATCTCTCTGTTTTATAACAAGATTCCTTTATGACTAATTTGTTTTCCCTTTTTTAGCATACAATGAAGAAGGCACTAAAATCTTTCAAAAGGGCAAAGAGACTTTGAAGGCTCAGCTGGATTCCAGAACGACGTCGTTATCACTTATGGATCAAATTTAGCACAGTATGAGAGTTTGTTTAATCTCTCTGAGTTTCGGTTAGTCCAAGCAAGAAATAATTCCTCTTTATCCTAAACGCGATGTATTAAACCCATAACTCTCGTCTTGAAAAATTCAGTAACCCATATCAAAATTCATCTCAGTTTTTTCTTTTTTCTTTCCAAGTTAACTTGGATCGAGTAAGTTTGATGTATCTTCTTTGATTGAACACTTACAATCAACAAAGATATAAACAGAATTTTGTTTCTTCTCTTGCAAGCAATCGAAACTTGTTAAAAACAATTTACACATACAATGTTATACTCTTTTTCTTTTCTCCTGGAAATTTTCACAAACTCACAAAAAAAATAAGGAAAAAAAAAAACTAACCAAAGAGAGAAAACCATAAATCTAAACAAGAAACGAAGAACGCATCCTTGATTTGTCGCTTTGGTTCCGATTCAATCGATCAGAAACTCCTCCTCCTCCTCCGTAGTAACCGGGGCTTCCACCATCCATACTCTGCTCTGCAACCGCCGTGTAGTAATAATACTGTCCCTGAACAGATCTCTTGTAGCCACTGGTCTCATTAGACACCTCAAGCCTCTGTTTCGGTGCGCTCTGTGACCGGACTTTAGCTTTGTAAGACTCCGTGTTAGCCATGTAATTCGGATGATAACCCGAGTAGTAATAGTTATTACATCCCCAAGAATACTCGCTTCTTGTCGTCGGCGTAAACGGGGTTCTTCTTCTTGAACCACTAGACCCAACTTGAGGACTGTTCTCTGTACTTCTCGGACCCAACAGAGATTGTTGTCTTTTCCTCGGAGACTCATTGTTTCTGTCTGAACGTAGCGGTTTGGCATGATAATGAGGCTTCCAAGTATCGACCTCTAGGATCTTGTCGTCTTCCTCGGCTTGCCAATCTAACCGTTTGGAGCCACGGTGGTCCATGGGGATGATTTCAGCGTTTGAAACGCAGCGCGTGTGGAGAGAACGCGGAGAAGAAGAGGAAGAAGGGAACAAGAGAGCGGTTGAGGAGTGGAATGAAGCAGAGGAGTGAGAGGAACGAGAGGCTCGAGCACGAGCTTGAGATTGGAGACGAACCAGAGTCTGCATCCTTCGAAACATATCTGCAGTTTGTTTTCTCACTATGTGTCCTCTCACTAAGGCTTGAAGCTTCACTAATGCCTTTAGTGCTCTTAATGCTCTCCTCGCCTGTAATTTTCCACATTGTCCCCCAAAAAAAAAAAACGAAAATGCTTAATCCGTTTTGATGATTTGTCTGCGATTGCGTTTAGTGTAAGCATTTCAATCAAATATCTTTTGTTAGTTGTAAACGTAAACGCCAAATTTAACACGCGATTTAACTTACAACACGCAAAAGGAAACGCAGAAATCGCGGTTGAAGCAATAGAGGCCATAAGGCCCATTTATTGTCTTCTATAGCCAATAGAAAGTGAAAATTCAATTTTAAGTAGAAATGGGCTCCACTAATAATTTAAAATTGAGTTTGCTTGAAAGTGAAAAACAAAGACAAGGCGAGTTTAATGATTTGTTGAAGACATGATCATCGTTTGGCCAGCTAATTTAAAACCTAAAGAAAAAAGGAAAGAAAAATGGTGAATAAAGGGAATTGTAGTTAGTGAGATTATTCTATTTTGCTTTTAGTTTCCCAACCACTTCCACTTGTACCAAAAACTAGATTTAGTAATTACAGAGCCCACCATTTGCAAAAGTATGTCTCAAGGTCAAATGTACACACACACACACACGAGTTCTTCTTTTCACATTGGTTGAGATTTTAGAACCTTAGATCTTGGAAATCACATACAAACTTAACTCGAATCAGAGAATCTCCAAGTCGGTGTTACGAGCCATTTATTGATAAACTATTTACCGATAGGATCATAGGAGCTTAGAAAAGTATGGTTAAAAAACAAACCTTTACAAGTAAAGGGAAAATAAAAAAATGCAATTTTAACAGATTTTTTGGGTTAAAGAATTCAACTTTAAAGAATAAAGTTGCTCCTAAAGCAAAAGAACCCATGTGAGAAATACTAATCAGTGTTATTTATTTTTTATAGATTTAGAATTTAAAAAAGATCAGTATAAGGGTAAAAAGAAGGTGGCTTCATACAACTAAAATCAATGATTATCACCAAGAGTAATGTAAGTTTTATTTCAAAAATCTAAAAAGCTATATCCTGATCAGATCCTTGAATAGGAAAATTTGAGTGATTAAAATTTGATATTTTTGGGAAGAAGTTGGCTAAATAAATTATAACTATTCACAACCACTAGAAATAGTGTCGGCAGAGTGTATCAAGTTTCCAAAGAATCTTCTTCGTTTCACATTTCTTTGTCTTCTTCTATACTCTGTTTCGTTGGGACCTTTTTTTTTTTTTTTGAACAGCTCTGTTTCGTTGGGACCAAGCCCCCCCAAAACAAAACAAATTACGCCCATTGTTTCCATTTTCAAAAATTTCAGTAGAAAAAACAAAAAATTTGAATTTGGAAATGAGAAAACCAAAAAAAAAAAAAACAGATTACAGCTAATTCACACTAGCTAAGAGAATTTAGGGAAATTTTATTTGTCGTGAGATTAACTAAGGAAAGAACAGTTTCGAGTTTCAAAAAAAAATTTGAATTAGTGAAAATTCAAAACTTTATGTGGTGAGAAATGAATGAACTAACCAGATAACCACGGAAAGAGGATTGAATCTTCACCGCCGCGAGATACTCCTGAGCCCACCGGCGATTACTCCCTCCGCCTCCACCACCGTTTCTCCCGCCGGTGCCGCTGGTGAGTCTAACGACTTCCGCCGCAGCATGAGCAGCAGCTAGAGCAGCCTCCGCCACCGCGGCGGTCGCAGCCGCCACTGCTATCGCATGTTTGTCGGCGTTTTCCTCCTCCACCGACGACGCTGCCTTCGTCGGATAAGAACGTTTCTTGGTGGATTTCGAAGACGCTGGATTAGAGGATCTTGTGGTGAAGCTCCATCTCCGTCTGTCACTCGACGGAGCCGATTTATCCTGCTTCTTACTCCCGAAAAGTCTCCCGAAAAAGCCCATCTTTCATCGTCGGGAAATCGCCGGAGATTTTGGTGAGAGTTTATCGGAGATTTCTCCAGTAAGACCACACTTCATTTAATTGCTGATTAAGAAGAAAAAAAACATAAACTATGGAAGAAGCTGAGCTTATAAACGGCTTTTATACTAGATTGAAGAGTACGCTTCCACGCGCCTGACTGTTACTTGTTTTCTACACGCGTTTGCTTTGCTTGACCTTAGGTAGCGTCGGTTAAAGTCAATGGGCCTGACTACTCCTAACCGTACCAAATCTGTAGTTGTGGTTCGGTTCAAACCTTTAACATTAACAACGTCATTTTTCGAATTATTATTTTGTTAATGTGAATATTAGTAGTCTATTAGGGGATATTTCAATTAAATAGAGTACAACAAATAAAAAAAGGAGAGAATAATTGGGAAAGACGACGTGTCATTCTTTGAAGCCCATAAATTCACTGCAGAGTAGTAGTGTCTGCGACTTCTGCACAATCTGCAGCTTTTTCTAGGCCTTCTCTTTTCCTCCAATGACTGCAAACTTTACAGTTATGTAGAGAGTATATATTTTAAACCAGATTTGTCTCATTTTTGTGTGTTTGTGGATGTTGGTGTTTTCTTTTTTGACAGACCATATTATGCGTATATTAACTTGTTAGTGTGGTGGCATTAGCATATTCAAACTTCTATTTGCATTAAGGATTTATGACACAAGACGAAGTACACGAAGTTGATACATGGGTTGTACCTTAACCTACTACCTAGTGTGCTCCAAGAGATACAGACAAGCTTTTAAGTTTACTGTGCTCCTAGCCCTTCTTGCCAAATCATCCGTTGCATCAACATATTGTAAATTTGTAATCAGGACTTAGAGTTCATCCTCTCAGTATTAATAACGTAAAAAATGAGTGGTTAATCACCAAATTAACTCAATTTTGAAAGTTTTTTAGTTTCTCTGTGCCCTCGTTTATTCGTCTATTTCAGTTGTTTAGGTATACTTTAATTAGTCAGTTTATAGGGTGCAGCTTAGAAGTAAGTCTACTACTAAAAGGAAAGTAATAGGGAATATTCCAAATTAAACTAGCTATGATAACGATCGTCTATACTCTCTATATAATAGCCCTAATAAATGCAGTCCTGGTGTCGTAATCAGCAATCAGCGTTAGTGGCAGGTGCAATTTATAATTTTTCGAGCATTTAAAACCCACATAATTATCTTGTTAACAACCATCAATATGCACTTACATAAATTCCCATGCATACTAAGCAAGCCACTAATGTAATTGCTTCCGATAATTAAACTTACATACACGATCAAAAGACTTTGTTTTGTTCACTGTAACAGTCAATGAAAGTTTTTATTCTCATAATTAGTTTAGCTTTAATTATTACAGTAGTATATAAATATCGAAGCAAGATTACCAGAACATGACTATAAAAACGATAGAAGATAGAAAAACATAAATTGAAAAGAGAATGTTTCTCATTATTCTTGATTTCTTCCATTTCCCTGGATCATCTCGGAAGTGACTAGCTAGCTCTTAGCTAAATCAAACATTTACACCTGCATTGCATATACCACACACACACACAAAAAAAAAAACCATTAAAATGAAATACAAGCCTATCTATCAATATATCAGTTAAGAAACACATTGGCTAAGTTAACTTGAAAAAAGTTGTAGTATTCGATAGCCTGACAAATTTTGGACTTTTACTTCTCAGACCGCAGTTCATCGAATCTTAGTTTTAAGTCTTTTGGTATGGACGTTTTTCTCTTCCCCAAAGTTTGGTTTGGTTTGGCCATGTTTTTTTGGTATTTTGTATAAAATCGAATAGATGATCTTTAATTATATAAAAGTCTAATCTAACTCTTAATATTTGGTATAGATAAACTCTAACTCTGTATGAGATTTTTTTTTGGTCCAAATTAAAAACTTATCATGATCTGAGAACGTGCCAAATATTTTTTAAAAAAGAAACAAAACCGTACCACAATTGACAGGAGGAAGATTACAAAGCGAAGGAAGAGAGGTGGCTGCACGGAGAGCGTTGCAGAGACAATCTTTGTTAGTAGATTGGAGAGCGACACAACACTCAGAACTCGGGCTGCCTGAACCGGGCAGAACCATTGCTGCGCACACCTGTACATTTGCCAGATCGTTGCCACATTCTTGGGCTCGAACCACTGGTCCGGTTTCTATAGCTGTTATGGCTAGAAACAGGACACCGAGAAACGCCGCAAAAGACTTGAACGATTCCATTTTTTATTTTCAATGTGTATATTTGATGTAGCTTTGTCTATATATGGTTTTAGATACCACAGTTATATATGTATATTTATATAGTGTTCGAGTGTGTATTTTTGAGAGACGTTTTGCATGGCAACATGGTCTAGTTACTTCATAAGATTTACATGAGAAAAGCTAAAACATGAAATAATAACAATGAAAATTAAAGTTTTTTTTTTGTTCATAACCAGATGTCTAAATCCACGATAAGTATCAAACTCCTTTTCCTTTTTTGTATGACCGAACGGACCTGAATGTGACTATATATAATATGACCACAGCTATTGTGTACCAGACCGTCATAGGTCGGTCTAGTGATATGAATGAAGATGAAAAGTATATTACCCTGAATCTTTTTTCTTCATTAAAGGAAAATCTTATCTATTAGAAGTTTAACAAAGATCAGGTACAATACAAGGAAACATACTACGGCTATGTTATATTACAAAAGGTTAAACATGAACATTAAAAATGTAAGAGGTGTCACTTGACCCAGTATCATTAGGCATGATGAGTCCGCCTCTGGTGTTAGAGACCATCCCTTCCTGGTTTTGGCTCTGGTCTAAACCCTTAATCCCTCTGATTCTGTTGGAGGTGCTTGGTGTCTCCCCTGTGAGCCCATAATCCGTTCTGCTTCTTCCCATGTTGACGTTGCAATTCATGTTCTGACTAGAAAGTGACGTTTGTTGTTGTTGTTGTTGCCCGGAGCCTCCATTGCTGTTTGCCATCTGTTGCCATATTTGGTGAATCATCTGTTGTTCCAATGTTTGGTTACTGTTACTACACGAAGGATGTTGGCGGTATTGCTGCGGCGAGCTGTTATAACTGGGACTTGGCATTTGCCGCTGAGGAGACAGATGGGAAGTGACACCGCTGATTGATGGGCTCTGCACAAAACCAGGCAACAAAGGACTAGTAGTTCCTTGATAGCTCATTGTCGGGCTCGGGTTTCTTGATGCTTCTTGTTGGATTGTGGCGTTGGTTGGCTCAGAGCTCAGATGATTCTGTTTCATTAGCATGGTCTGGTAGTTGGTAAGCGCAAAGCCGCCGCCGGGAAGAGATCCTTGACCGCTCATATTGCTCATCGGCAGGTGTATCCCGGAATTGCGCAAGGCCATTAGCTTGTTGAGACTGTTCCTATCAGGAGGAAGTCCTCGAGCAGCATTTGCTATTTGCTCCATCTCTTGCATCTGCAATTTACCTGTCTTCATTTGATATGGATAGCTCTTCAAAGCCTCTGCAGATGTAAAAGACAGAAAAGCTTTTCTAAGCACAAAAAAAAGACGCTTTAATAGAAAAATCACAGGGAAGCTCCGGGGTTTATCTATGGAAATTACCTATCGGACCAACTTTCTGGTCACGACAGAAGTCAATCATATCTTTCATGCTGCTGACAACCTCAGAAATCTGTAATAATTAAGTATTAAAAAAAAAACAACAGTTTAACAGAAAGGAGGAGAGAAGCCACGAGGATGATGCAGAGAAATTAGGGGAAGTAAGCAGACAGATACCTGCAAACATCGAACATATCGTTTGGAGAAGCCCAAGTCATTGAGTGAATGTGACTCCAAGCTTTTCGCTAGTTGACGTCCAGCAGCCATGACCCTGGAGAAAAAAAGACTTAGGCATCTATCAACATATCCTTTTTTGCAATTGCTTTAATTTTCATTGCATAGGTGAAGAAAGCTTACCTGATCACCGAAGAAGATGCAAGAGATAATGAAATAGTATTGATTGAAAGAAAAAAAAAAAGAAAAGAAAGAAAGGTAGAAGTACTCTAGAATGATCGACTCACATGTTGCTATTGGCTTGCAAATCCTGCTGATGAATTCCATCTGATCCACTTTGATCGATTGTGCTCTGGCATTTCTCAGCAACCTGAAGCAATTGGTTCACCTGCGAGACAAGACATTCCAAAATCTCAGGACCATGCATTCCAAATTGAGCTTCAAAGAATTGCCAATGAAAAAAAACGAATGTTACCTGTGGGGCTACAAGGCGGCGAGGAAGTAGCTCTTCATGTCGACGAGTACAGAACTCCCATGAGAGAATCTGGTGAAAAGCATAAAGGATAAGCCTAAACTACTCTTCTAATCCATAAAATGAAGAATAGTAGTATTGGAATCAAAAGCTCGTTGAACCAACCTTAAGCTCTTGGGAGAATATAATCCGAAGGTGGCCTTCACGAACAACACGGATATGTTCATACACACTCTCCTGCACTGCTTTGGGATATTCTAACATCATAATTCCAGAAGCGAACCGGCGTTCAGACGGCACACCCAGATAAAGAAGCTCGTCAAGTACACCACTAGCAAATTTGATTTCGTTAAGCCTTGGCAAGACATCAAAAGTTGCTTCTGCAGAATTCATAAGAAAAACTTACTAAGAGAAGATTTCTCACTACCATAAACATTTTTTTTTATATTTTCCCTCTTCTTAATCAGGGGATAAGTACAATGTTACAAATTCTTGTAACTTACCAAATCCTCTTCCCGATTTAGAACCACAAAGATCACACTGCCATTCATCCTGCAAAAACGCAAAAAGAAATACAACACGAATAAGTTTGGATTACGCTAATATCATATGATAGTTACACTGTAAGACCCGAATATAATAAGCAAAGAAGATCAATATGTAAAGAGTTGCAAACTATGATACACTTGTAAACTCACATACATCTATATACTGTCTTATTCACGTTTTTTGGAGTATAAACAAGCACAAACCGGAAAAAAAAAGGTGGGGAGACAAACCGTGGCTGCGTGAGGAGAAACACCAAGCGCGTTATGGCCAACATTATCGTAATGAGAGAGACACCATCTTTTCTTTGCACGGGGAGAAAAATACTCCGTCACAAATTTCCTCCAATAAACAATACTGCTCTCCTACAAAATCAGCAACTGGAACCTGTCAAGAGCTTTGTTTCTAGTATACACATAGAACAAAAATCCTGAGGAATGCATGTATACTCACAGAAGGCCTTTGCCGCTGATGATATAGGTACTGCATTAATCTTCGTGCACAGACGCTATTATCATAAGGTCGTTGCCCACCAGATAGTTGGAGCTGCATTCCTTGCTGTTGCAACTGTTGCTGTTGGTGCTGCTGCTGCAACTGTTGCTGTTGCTGCACCTGTTGCTGCTGCTGCAGCTGAACCCGCTGCAATGGTGGGAGGGACTGGATATACTGTTGCTGTTGCCTAAGCTTTTGTTGCTGAAGCAAGAGCTGGAACTGTGGGTTCTGGCCTTGTTGTTGTTGCTGCTGTTGCTGCTGCTGCAACATTTCCTGTCTCTGAAGCCACTGACGTAAAATCTGCTGCTGCAGAGCATCATCCTGTTTTGAGTCTAGTCGAGGTTTTTTCCGTGCTTGTGTTAGATTGTTTGGGTCCTGAAAGAATGATTCAGAAGCACGACGACCCATGGAAAGCGGGATTTGATTAGTTTGAGACGTGGGCAGTGATGTAGCACTTGAGCCTCCTCGCTGAACACTCTGATCATGATGAGAGCCCCTTTGCACAACAGTCGACCCGTCAACAACAGATGATCCAGAAATGGTGATATTGTTAGAGGAGAATGACATTGGTGATGCCGGCAAACGCATATACGACTCGTTATTGATGCTGGCACTACGCTGCAGATGAGGACCGCCTCCAGAGAGCCCTGAATTAGCATCTGTCACAAGAGAACTGGCTCCTGCGCTTGGACCAGGGGTTGAGACGCTCATCATAGCCGGATTGTGCATCTCCCCAGAAACCATACTGAGATTATGATAGCCAGGTCCACATCCAGGGACGGAGTTAGATGAATTCCCATAAGAGGAAGTGAAGTGAGAGTTCATGAAACCTTGGGATTCATCATCGCCTTGGAAGAAAATCCCAGAGGTTGAAGAAGATGGGGTTATTCCACCAGCCATCAAGGTTAGGTCCCAAGTTAGTTTGAAGCCAGTTTACTCCCAAATGCGACACAAATGTCCCACCTTTACTGGAGATATCTGCAACATAATATAGTTATAGATGAAATCAGATCAAGAACATTGTCTTCTATCGCAACATACACTCGAATCTGGCGCTCTAGTAAGAGAAAATAGAGTCATTCAACTCCAATTCTGAATTAAAAATCCCAACTTTTACACAACACCACTGAGGTAACTAAAGCTTTATTAAGCCCATAGAAATAGCTAAAGAATCAACTTTTACCCATCCTGGAAAACATGAATTTCTCGCATTACGAAAGGATCACAAACCCGAACAGAAATCAAAAACCCTAACTTTTGTAAGTTCATTTACATCACAAAAACTAAACCCAGAAACTGAACCCACCCATCCTTAAACAGCAAAAAAAGAAAACACATATAATCCGGTGAGCTAAATCAGAAACTAAGAGCAATAGAGAAGAGAACAAAAAATCACAGAAATTACTCAACGAATAAAAATACAAATGAAAAGCATCAAAAGAAGGCAGATACAACATACCAAGAACTGTGTAGTGGAGCTTCGATCAGCATAGAAGAACAAAGTAAAATCACGACTAGATATATCAAACTAAACCCAACCGAATCGAAAACAGAAAGAGGAAGAAGAGAATTAATGAAAGGGAGTTTCTTTCTTAAAAGAAAAAAGAAATATAAAAACTGCTTCGAAATTTCAAGCTGGAATTACTATAAAAAAGAAAAAGAGATTTATTTGATGCAATATATGGGGAAATACTTTTTGAGAGAGAAAAAGGAGAGCTGTAGTAGGTTCTTGAGGCCGCGTTATATACTTAGTGGAAATCGCAGAGCCACAAATGACCGGCTTGCCCGGTGACCATCACCTAATATTACAAGTACATTTTATTTACCTGTTGGTCAATACTGACACGTGTGGACTCTGTAATAACAAGTAGCCTTTGATCGATTGCTAACCTTTAGATCTTATGGTTACGTGGATAAGGTATGACCTTATGATCAATAAAGGTAGTTTTTATTTGTGATCGTCCGATTGAGAGGCGGGATCTTCTGCGACGCACGTAGATTCAAATACATTCTGTTGGTCATTGACCAAATAAAATCCATAATTTTTCTTCGATTTTTTTTGGTAATAACTGTACCAAATGATTGCAGCTGTAAATGAGTGGGCTACGACAAATACCCGGTTTTTTTTTTGCTTTGAGCACTTATTCACCCAAAAAAAAACGGATTTACCCCAATACTACTCACTTTGACAATCTAACCCCCAAAATAATTCGTAACGTACACGATCCAATTGTGGAGGGAAGACACAAAAAAATCTCTACTAAGGAGAATCCAAGAATTTTAATTAGGGTTCCTCAATCACATGACAAGGCTAGAGTACAAGTGCCTAAACGAACAATGAAACACCTTACACTCAGTTCAAAATTTAAGCAGACGATCTCTTTGACTTGTTGCTCGCAGCCAATTGCGTCTCAGGCTGTAAATTCAAGAAACAGCAATCAAATGAGACCACTGTATTAAGACGAAAGGTAGATGAAAAACACTAAATAAATAAAAATGGAAACTTACATCTTTCTTCACTGGCTCCTCTTTCTCTGACAGGATTAGCTCAATGTGGCATGGGTTTGACATGTAAGCTGCAAAACAAAAGATGATAACTTGTTTTTCAACAGAGCAAAGGAAAGACTGTCTAAGAGTGTAAAACTATATGGTTGTTTAAGGAGCATACGGTTGATTCTTCCATGAGCACGGTAAGTCCTACGCCTTTGCTTCTGTGCTTGGTTCACTTGTATGTGAGATATGAAGAGAGCATCTACATCCAAACCTTTCACCTAAAATAGTTTGACTAAGAGTCAACAGTTGCTCCCAGAAGGGTTTCTCTTTTCCTATAATGTTTGATTGTTTCACATACCTCAGCATTGCTCTCGGCGTTCTTGAGCAAGTCAAGAATGAAATTCGCAGACTTGGCGGGCCAGCGACCTTGACCATAAGAATGCCTGTTTTTAGCTTGAGCTGTTCGTCCCACACCACGGCAAAAACGTGTGAAGGGTATTGCTTGCTTGTGAGCTATAACATCTTCAAGGTATCTTTTTGCCTTCAACAATGGCAACTTCCTGATGGCGTGCGCTGTTTCTCTAGTGTTCTGTTCGAATATAAAACACAATTGAGATTCAGTAACCGGCAAATAGACAAATGAACTGAGACGAATTTGGAATTTGGATCTTATTCACAGAAACTGGCAACAAAAATTGAACTTTCAAGACTCTTTAGACCGCAACTCGCCTTATGACAACAATGAGGACCAGCAAATCAAATATGTTTTCTTAAGGTTTCGAACAAACAATAATTTACTCCAAAATATCTAAAATCAAAAGAATACCACACTTCTTTTTTTTTTAATCACAAAACTTAAATAAACTGAGAGATTATACATGGAGTAATAAAAGTGTCACACTTTGAGATGCTAAATTCCAACATTTCTAGCTATCACATCAGAAGCAGAAAAGAAGGGATAAATAAACACCTTGAAATGAACCCTGAGATCAGCACCTCTAGCCTTGCAAGCTGCGAAATCAGTAGAAAAAAATTAATCCAGGAAGATTAAAAAATATACAGGGACATGGACTCATAAGAAAGCGATGAACTTTGAAACGTAGCATTACACTTGGTCGAATTGTCGGGTTCTTGCGAGTACTCACCTAAAGTAGAGAATAACGAAACAATAAAACAAAGCCAAATACCTTAAATTAGATCAATAAAACTCTTAAGAGCATAAGAATCTTCAGAAATTACAGAATTCATGATAAAATCAAAGATCTTACCATGGTGGCCTGTAATTCTTCTCGCTCCCTTCACCTTTCGCCGGTGCCGGAGAAGCAAAGAGAAAGAGAAGGAAAGAGTTTAGGGGCTTTTCAGAAGGGAAAACATATGAAATCAAGCCCTGGCTCTTACAGTTCCTTTAATGGGCTTAAACCAAAAGCCCAATTTTTAGAACTAAATCATCACTTTAGGGCCCTAATATTCAAGAAATAAGAGAAACAATTAAAACACTCCATCCGTTACACACAATCTCTGTTCGCGTGTGTTTGATCTGCCAAGGTCCTTATGGATGGGTCGAATCTTGGCGAGAGGACACCAACATACGGACGAAAGTTTGAGACAATTTGGATCTGCGACTGCGAGAGAGACCTTTTTTTCACTTCTTTAGGTTGCAGAGTTTGTCGGAGCTGAGAGCTGACGTGTGATGCAAGTTACTGTTTCAGTTGCTTCAATTGGATTACCTGTGCTTAGAAATGTAGAACACGACTTATACAGAACCAGAGATGATAAATAAAATTATATGATGTCTGTGTGGGGACATTAGTTTTTCGTTATTTATCAGCAAATTAAATATGTGGGGTTACGAAATATTATATTTTCGCATTTTATATAAGAAATTATGTATGTGTCTGTGAGGACTGATAATGAGACATAACAACAATCACATTAGCTGTCACTTGTTTATTCACTTTTTTTCTTCTTTTGCTTTTATGATCTCTTATAGCTTTCTTCTTCCACGAGAGCAGAGAGAGAGATAGGAGATTTAATTATTAAGAAACAAAGTAAATTTACTTCCCTTTGTTCAGACGTTTCTTTATTATTCATTCTTCTTTCTTCTTTGATCGTGTTCAGAAATCAAGTTCATCTCATCATTTCACTCTTCTCTTTTCTCTCTTTCTCTAGCTTCTTTTTCTTCTTTATTTAAGATCTTTGATTTTGGAGTTTTTTCTATCAGACAAATAGAAAATGTTGCAAATGAGAATTGGAACAACCGCGAGCACTTCCGGTGGCGGCGACGGTGAGCTGGAGCTCCGGCCTGGGGGAATGGTTGTACAGAGACGAACGGATCATACCTCCAACGTGACACGTGTCATTCGGGTCCGGGTCAGATACGGGTCGGTCCAACACGAGATCAGTATCAACTCTCAATCTACTTTTGGTAAACCCTGAAACAAACAAAAATTCCCCTAAAGTAATAATAAAAACATTTCATATGCTCTGTTTTTGACTTTGGTTGTTACCCTTTAATTTAACAGGGGAATTGAAGAAGATATTATCTGGTGAGACAGGAATCCATCAGCAAGACATGATGATTCTATACAAAGACAAAGAAAGAGATTCGAAGATGTTTCTTGATCTTTCTGGTGTCAAAGATCGTTCGAAACTTATTCTCAAAGAAGATCCTATTTCTCAGGAGAAACGTCTCCTAGAGTTGAGGAAAATCGCCGCCAAACAGAAAGCCATTAAAGCAATCTCCGAAATTAGCTTCGAAGTCGATAGACTTGCCGGAAAAGTAACGGAAAAAACATAATTTTTAATTTTCTCTCACCAAAACACTCTTGTGTTGTCTCGTAAACTGAAATTATAAAACTTTTGTTTTCTTTAGCTGTCGGCTTTTGATACAGTGATTGGTAAAGGAGGCAAGGTTGAAGAAAAGAATGTGGAGAATTTGATGGAGACGATGATGAATCAGTTGGTGAAGCTCGATGCGATCTTAGGCGATGGAGACGTTAGATTGAAGAAGAAGATTCAGGTACTTAAATTTACATGGTTTCGATTGCTTACAAAATACCGTTTTTGGAACCGACAGAATTCATTATACAACAAAAAAAAAAACAAAGTTTTTGGCGCGATTTATAACTAATCATTTCGTCATTATGCATCTCAATTATAACTGCGTAATCTCGTGATGTTACAATCATCTTTCGAATAGCGGTTAGGAAAGTGATTTTTTTTAACGGTTAATGACTCGGAGAAATATTTTGCAAGGTTACCAATCAAATGTCTTGATTTAGCTTAAGTATCGGCAAAATGCCATTTTAATTTACGACCACTAAATTTTGGAATTGCGATATTATTCCACACATCACACGATTTAGCTGAATTTTTGTTTTCGGATAGTATACCACTTGACTTTGTTTTTTACGTTTTGAAAACTAGATTATGCTATTTTAAAAATATTTTATACGATCAAATTTTTATGATTTCATATATTGATAACTGTTTCGGCAACGTGAGTAATATACTAAAATTAGCTTTTCAGTGTTTTATAATTCTTTTACAATATTTTGATTCAGCTCAGATCATTTCGCTAAGAATTATCCAGTTATTCTGTTACTATGTGATTCATCTAACATACAAATCTTGTTCTTAATCTTTTATAACATAAAATAGTATATGTTTTGATATTTTTCAATGATTCGATTGGAAATGTTCGGAAGGAGGAAAGATTACAGAAGTACGTTGAGGCACTCGACATGTTGAAGATCAAGAATTCAACGCAGCCGCAAACGCAACTGAAACCGCAAACACAACCACAATACAAAGAACAAGATTTGGTGACGTTTGAGGAGGAAACGTCGAGGAAACGCATAGCCTCCTTCCCAGCTCCTCCGGTGATCATAACGACGACATGGGAAAACTTTGACTCCAATTCCACTTCCACCACCGAGGCTAAAACGGTTAAACCTGCCCATCCAAAATTCAAATGGGAATTATTTGATTAAGCTATATATTATATACTTACACGATAGTATTAAGTATGTTTTTCAGATATCTATGATATACATATGTGGAGTCTTTTTTGCCTGTAATCGTGAATAATTTGTGGGGTTGATTGGTTGATCCTTTTTAGGTTACCCTATCAAGTTTTTTTTTTTTTTTTTCTGTCGTGTATTATAGGCTTGTAACCTCTAGGATAGCTTTAATGAATTGTGATTATATATTATCATCATCATATCACTGTGTGAGAATGTTTTAAGCAGTGATACCGGCCAATTTATTTATTATATGTTTTTTTCAGTTTCCGCTTCACAAAACGAGTTCACCTGAAATGAAACCCATATTAATCATGAGAATGGTTCAATGTTTTTCTTTAAAAATTGCAAATCTACGATAGACATATAGTTTCCTCTTTTCATGGTTCTCGTATTTATTTAGAATGTAGAGAATCACAAAAAAAAAAAGAGCAAGTGTTGAACAACATGCTAATGAATTGCCACAGCAGTAAGTAGTAACTGCGGTGGTGTTGTAACAACGACAATTCAAATGCGAAACGGTCCATGACAAGACAGTCCTCAATTTATAGATAGGGACAAACCACCGAAACAAACCATGCAGTGCCAAACAAGCGTTTTAAACCTAATAAATACACATTGCAGTTTAACCAAAAACATCATTCATCTTTCAATTATAACCTAATTCAATTAATCCCTATCTAACTAAACTCTAAGAATGGTCAGGATATCTGTAGTCTAGCCGATTGTGATAAGAATGGTCACTATCCAAACTTAAATCTACAAAATGTATGTTGGAAAAAATATATTATAAACTTATCAAATTTTAATTAAATTCGGATTCATAAATAAAAACAATTATAACAGCTAGAAAGTCAAATGTTCATAGCTCTTCATGTTTATAACCAACTAACATATAAATTAATCCATGAAATAGCAGCGAAGTTTGAGATATGATGACTAAAACAATATCCAAAATTTAAAAATATAGCTAGTCTTAAACAACACCATACCAAAATTATAAAATCAATGTAACTTTTAAGCCAAATTGGGAGAACTTAATTGACGTCAGGATCGATCAAACCCTTCATGAAGTCTTCACCGTCAAAATCCTATATAAAAATACAAAGACAAAACAGTAAATTAATTTGATATAAGAAGTTGGATGTACTATAATTCAAACGTAACATTTCTTATAAATCAAAGATAATAAAGACTTATCTAAAAAATGACAGTATTAGTATTCATAAAATTGGAATTTTACCCTTCAGTTGTAAATTTGGAAAAAAATACTTTTTTTGTGTGCTTGGGCAATAAATATAGAGAACCATAAACAAATTTTTTTGTGCGGATTTTAATTTTTGACCTTATAGATTATAAAATTTTAATAAACTATCAGGATAATAAGTTTTCAAACAGCTTATATTTAAAAAACATCTTAAAGTTCAAAAAAAAAGAACATCTTACCTGATCGAATGAAAATAGGAGTTCCGTCAAATCCGCAATACCATGTTCCTATATATGCAATTAATGTTTAAATTTTAATTATGTGTCATGTCATTTTACATGAAAATAATGTAAGGTACACAAAAGGAGTTCTCATTGCAAAAATTAGATTTACCTGATTTATGATGTTTATGTCTCCAGTAGGAAAACACATTTCCGAGTTAGCAGCAATAGGGTTGAATGTTGTTTCATTATTGTTACCCTTCGAATTTCAGTTATGTGTGCATGTCATTTTACATGAAAGTAATGTAAAGTACAAAAAAGGAACTCTCAGTGATAGAAACTAGGCTTACCTGATTTGTGATGTTCATTTCTCCAGTAGGAAAATACATTTCCGAATTAGCAGCAATTGGGTTGAATGTTTCTTCATTATTGTTACCCTTCGAATTTCAGTTATGTGTCATGTCATTTTGCATGAAAGTATTGTAAGATACACAAAAAGAGCTCTCAGTAATAGAAACTAAACTTACCTGATTTGTGATGTTTATGTCTCCAGTAGGAAAATACATTTCCAAATTAGCAGCAATTGGGTTGAATGTTTCTTCATTATTGTTACCCTTCGAATTTCAGTTATGTGTCATGTCATTTTACATGAAAGTATTGTAAGGTACACAAAAGAGCTCTCGGTGATAGAAACTAAACTTACCTGATTTATGATGTTCATGTCTCCAGTAGGAAAATACATTTCCGAATTAGCAGCAAGAGGGTTGAATGTTTCTTCATTAATGTTACCCTTCGAATTTCAGTTATGTGTCATGTCATTTTACATGAAAGTATTGTAAGGTACACAAAAAGAGCTATCAGTGATAAAAAATAGACTTACCTGATTTGTAATGTTCATATCTCCAGTTGGAAAATACATTTCCGAATTAACAGCAAAAGGGTTCAATATTTCTTCATTATTGTTACCCTTCGACCAAATCATAGATTGTGTATACTTGGTTAAGAAATTTTCAATCCATATAGACGCACACAAATACATATATGGATATATATATATATATACACGCAATATATAGCTGGTACTGAATAAAAAGTAAAATAAACATGACTTACGTTATTCAAACTCCCAATACCAATGTCTTCAAGAGGATAAGCAGTAGAAACCCCAAGATTTTCACCAGCCACTCTACCTTGATCCTGCTCAAAATCATATATATAAAAAATGAGCTTCATATATGTACAAAAAGGGTTAAACTAATATCAGTTATTAATAAATCTACCTGATTCTTATCAAACTGGGATTTGGATGTATTGCGGAAAATCTCGTTGAGGCCTTGATGAGGATCAACAAACATGCTTGGATTCTCTACTACAGGAACCATACCATCGGTTTGCACAATCAGATTGTTGGGTGACTTATCCTCATTGTCTAAGAACGCTGACAATGCAGAAGGACACCACGAAGTTGAACTTCCATGGTTACTCATGTTGTTGTTATTGAAATTCCAGTTCAAGCCACCCAAATTATTTTCACCAAAAAATCCGTCAGCATTACCATTAGCAGTGCCTTGAACTCTTATTCCACCAAGAGACCCATTACCATTACCGTTACTAGTACCATGAACTCTTATTCCATCAAGTGAGCCATTATCATTACCACTACCAGTGCCTTGAACTCTTATTCCACCAAGAGACCCATTACCATTACCGTTACTAGTACCATGAACTCTTATTCCACCAAGTGAGCCATTATCATTACCACTACCAGTGCCTTGAACTCTTATTCCACCAAGAGACCCATTACCATTACTAGTACCATGAACTCCTATTCCATCAAGTGAACCATTACCAGTGCCTTGAACTCTAATTCCACCAAGAGACCCATTACCATTACTAGTAGCATGAACTCTTATTCCATCAAGTGAGCCATTACCAGTACCACTACCAGTGCCTTGAACTCTTATTCCACCAAGAGACCCAAAACCATTACCATTACTAGTATCATGAACTCTTATTCCATCAAGTGAGCCATTACCATTTCCACTACCAGTGCCTTGAACTCTTATTCCACCAAGAGACCCATTACCATAACCATTACTAGTACCATGAACTCTTATTCCATCAAGTGAGCCATTACAATAACCAGTACCAGTGCCTTGAACTCTTATTCCACCAAGAGACCCATTACCATTACCATTAAGAGTACTATGAACTCTTATTCCATCAAGTGAGCCATTACCATTACCACTGCCAGTGCCTTGAACTCTTATTCCACCAAGAGACCCATTACCATTACCATTAAGAGTACTATGAACTCTTATTCCATCAAGTGAGCCATTACCATTACCACTGCCTGTGCCTTGAACTCTTATTCCACCAAGAGACCCATTACCATTACCATTAAGAGTACTATGAACTCTTATTCCATCAAGTGAGCCATTACCATTACCACTGCCTGTGCCTTGAACTCTTATTCCACCAAGAGACCCATTACCATTACTAGTACCATGAACTCCTATTCCATCAAGTGAGCCATTAGCAGTGCCTTGAACTCTTATTCCACCAAGAGACCCATCACCATTACCATTACTAGCACCATGAACTCTTATTCCATCAAGTGAGCCATTACCATTTCCACCATGAACTCTTGTTCCACCAGTAGAGCTATTCCCATTACCATTATCATTAACTCTTATTCTACCAAGTCCAACCAAATCTCCATTTTCATTTGTTCTGTTCCCAGCGTAAATACTACCCATAGTACCAGTGCTAAGATTAGAGTTCATACCCAAAACATCGCTTGGTGTACCATGATGTCCAAATCTAGGAGCTTGAGACTCTTGAGATGTTCCAGAAATGCTTCTCTTTTCTTCTTTTAAAGGAAACCCACCATTTGAAAACCCGAAGCTACCTCTCATAGGCAACAAGTTAGATCCGGTTTGGCTCAAATCATAGGTGGCTCTACGGTTTATGACAGAGTCATGTAGACCAGCATTGTTGTTCATCAGGTGGCTAGATTGACCAAGACCATAGCTAGGTTGGGAATTGAAAGGACTGTTGTTTCTTAGGCTTGTGTTGAAGTTGTAAGAGTGTTGTGGGTCAATGATGTAGCTTAATGATGTAAATCTGGGGTTCATAGCTCTTCTTGCCTCTTCTATGGCTTCTTCGTTAACTCTTTTCAAGAACATTCTGTACTTCTGTGAAGTATCAACAATCAACATTGGAAGTTATATAATTCTGATGTATATGAGATACGTACACACATACATAAACTACTTCCTGAGTTTCTATTTTTCTCACAGCATATATATATATATACATATATTTGTTTTATATAATCAATTCATATTTTGTTAGTCTTTATTTGAATATATCCTACAATTTATATTTAATAATACTAAACCGATGTTAAGATTTATTAGAAGATTTTCTTAAATCCATAATCTGAAAAAGAAAGAATGAGTCTATAATTTTTTTTTATAAATTTGCAAGTTTGCAACTATAACATCATACAGTTTTCATTAAATTTGCTATTAATTGATTGTGTATTTTTATACTATTCAAGAATTAGGGACAAGGGTAAAAATGAAGTATACTTGATATCTTTGAAGTATGGTTAAATGACATATGGTCCTGACTTTGTTTTTGATATAAAATATGGTCCTGATATTAAGCAATGTTAGTTAATAGAAGATCGAACCTGTAATTTGCTGGCTATGTGTTCTCTTGTTAGGAATTTCACGTTCATGAACTCTAAAATCTTCTTAGGCGTAGCCTCTTCAACATTATATCAAACACGAAGTAAAAGACATAATATTAGTATATATATATATATCTCCAAATGTACTTTGAAAACAACAAGTAATAAACGTCAGTTAATATTTTTCTGAGAGTTTAGTAAACTGTATAAGTATCGTTCAAAAGTATAAAGTTTTCAACATTTTTTTAGTTTCGATTTTTTGCTAGTTCTAAACAACTACTAAAAACAAATTTTCACATGGTAAAGTAATATTTCAGTGAATACCAACAATATATATCTAGCAAGTGAAAAGAGAAGTTACAGACTTTTTTTTGCTAAGAAATATTTTAAGAACTTAAATCACGATCGATGTGGCGGATGGCTTGTAAAAAAAAAGACTATGAATAGAATCTGACCAAACAATCTTAGACAACTTTAAATATAATTTTTTTATCTAAACTTATAAAATGAATTAAGAATGTTAAAACTTGAATTATAGTCACTAGCTATTTACGTAATTAATATAAAAAATATGGAAAACAAAATTTCCCAAGATAAATAATATTTCTATCTACACAGCTAATAAATGAAAACAATTAATCTAGCATGTGAAAAGATAAGTTAGAAGAAAGAAAAAAAAATTAAATACTTACTATGAACACCAATGTGTTGAATGGCCTTGTAAAATAGACTCTCAAGAGATCTCGTCCATTTGATTTTCGACTTGGCATGTGGTCGAGAATCTCCATCATAAGGATTGCAGGTTGAATTTGTCTTCTGGATTTGCTTTGAACTGCCTGTATCGTTTATATATGTATCGTTCAGATATCGTATCATAATATACATATATATTACCCAATTGAACTGCAAGAAGGAGAAACAATATGAATGATATTATTGTTCACATCATCTTCTTCATTAAAATACGAAACTACCATTCATCTTGTAGTTTAAAGCATGTTTCCATATGATGTTGAGGTCGTTTGCTTTGATCGGTTTTCTCAGGAAGCACATTGCACCAGAGGATAGAGTCTCTCGCTCAATTGCATTGTTCATGTCTGCTGAAATCACTGTAATAATCAATTAAACAGCAAAGAAATCGAAAAGGAACTTGTTAGTATCAATCAAGACTATAAGAAAAAGAGTTCAGAGAAAATAAATTAAGAATGCATTAGAAAATCTTGCATATCAATAGGTATTGGCTTCCAATGTAGTTTTCTTCTTCTGTTTCGACACTGACCTGAAATTCTTTATGCTTGGATAACTAGTTTTTCCTTGCAAATATTTTCTTATCGCATTGTGTTTTTATATGTGACATGTGTAGGATTACGTTCGTTTATCTTTTCTACAAATGAGTATACAATTACTTAGCTAGCTGTCATGAATATGTGTAGACTATGTTTATTAAGAAAATTTTAAATATTTCTCATTTTAGGCTAATCACTGTTTTATAAAAAGCAGAAACTTTTTTAAATAGGAACAATTACCAAAAATAAAATACAGGTAATTTTTATCAATAATAAAATACGGTTATAACAACCAATATACAGTTATCTTGTTTTCTTTGTAAGTCATTGCTCACCACTTTTTCCTTTTTTTTCTATATATTGTAGAGATGCATAATTATCTAATTAATATTATATGTCAAATATATACAAAAATATCATAAGAGGTAATATTTCAAATTATTACTTATTTTTTAATTTTAAAAAAAAACATTAGAACAACTTGTTGACAGAAAAGAGGATTAATTAACATATCATAACTGGAAAAAAAAACCTTACCAATGACAGGCAAATTTCCAAATTCTTCATCAATCCTCTTTTTAAGTTGAACTCCATTCAGACCAGGCATGTGATAATCGGTGATTACAAGATCAATGTTGTTGCGTTGGACTCTAAGCGTAGATACTGCTTCTGACGAATCATTAGCTGTCATTACTGTAATTTCCCCAACTGATTTATCTACAAATAAGACAGTGAATTAAATAAAAATGAGAAATTTGTGAATATGTATATAGACATTTGAAATGGACGAGTTTTGTAAGAATTTCTTTTTTTAAATCAAATTATTTTCACAAAGAAAATAAATAACGTGTTGTTTGCGAATTTAAAAACACTGCATAACTTCGAACAATAGAAGCTTTTGTTGGGCGTTATATTATTGGCTTGATATGTATCTGCCTATGAGTCATATCATTGGCTTGATATGTATCTGTTTATGTTTATATAAATGAGTTAAATATTTCTCAAAGTGTAACTAAGTCTTTTTAAAGGATAATAAAATATTCGAAGTCCTTCTATCCTCCAAAGACATAATTGAAAAATAATATAAATCTAAACATAGATTTGTCCCTCAAAACTTATAAGCTTTTCATCTATTATGTGAGATACTTACATAATTTTGAGAGATTAAATTAAATTAGATATGTGCATATCATTGAAAATATGTTGTTTATTTGAACATTTTAAATAGATGTATATTAATGAGGGCAGGGTCAGGTTAACTGTGAGTAGGACGATAGTGGAATACTGGAATGGTCTAGAATTCCAAACAACGAGTATAAGAAAAATGATTTTTGTTTATAAGAAACAAAATTCCACATTTACAACAAAATAATGAAATTATATATATATATATATATATATATATATAGTGAAACCCAAAACCCACTATAAGAAAAGTTTTTTGTTTATAAAAATCAAACGTACGTGCAGTTAGAAGTTCACAAGAAAAAAAGAATTTTGGCGACAAAATACCCTAGAGCACCTAGCTAGATGATTAAGCTGGCATGGGTGTGATAGACAAAAGTAAATAGTGTAAATTTGGTTCGATCACAACTTCAAATTTTCTTAAATATATAGACAAGAGTTCTAATGACATTAATAATTTCATGGAACGAACTCACAAAGTGAATAAGCAGAAATGGATTCAAATGTTCGGATCTCAAAAGCAAAAATAAAATATATATTTAATGGCTAGAAAAATATTTAAAACTCGTATAAACATATATGCTCAGAAACGAAAAAAAGCTAACTCTTGTGCGAAAACGATCGAGGAATTCAAATTGTAGCCAAAACATATTTTAATAGTCAGAATAATGATTATACCTTTGTAGCTCGGGTTTTCAAGCATAGTGGGGATGATAGCGAGAAAAATAGGATCATCATCTACAACCAGAAGTGTGACATGAGGGTTTTGGTGGTGAAAAGGTAGATCAAAGGCCATTCTATACTTTTCTTTATGAGCAATTTGGGTTTGACACTATGATATAGAGTTTTTTTTTTTGGACAAGACACTATGCATGCAATTGCAATATATATAGAGTTGGAACTAAAAAAAAAAACTAGGTCGTGAAAATAACCCTTGAAAGCATATATATGGATTATAACTGTGACATAATTAGCTTGAGTATCTCTTTCTTTTTTGTATTTATATTTATTTGGGTTAAAGTATTTAAGAGGGGAGACAACTTAGAAACAAAAAGTTACAATGGGCAAAACAAAGAGTCTTTGATTTAGATAAACCAAGTCAAAATGAAACGTATCAAAAGAATAAAGGTCGGAATGGAAACCAGATTAAGCATACCACTACTTAAAATATACTTAGTGCTAATTTGTATGCAAAATCTAGACAAACTTAAGAAAATTTAATGATATTTACCAATAGATTTGGTGATGATTTGAAATTATTTTTGTTCAATGAATTATTAATAAGATTTTCTTTCATATTTGTTAGATTTATTTAATAAATGTCTAATTCTTGATAGATGTCATATCTAGTTGTTTATTTTTATCTAAAATAATTAAACTTTCATTTTTTTTTAACAAGTAAATCACAAGAAGGTTTGAGAGTTGCGTGGAATAGTATTGGATTTTAGGACGATTTTATCTTTTCTCATTTAAGGGATGGTGATTTCATATTGAAGGTTTCCTCCCAAGTAATAATAATAAGTCTTTGTCTGCTAGTTTGCAAATTAACTTTTTTAATCTACTCACCAGAACGAAGTCAAGGGAAAGCAAACAGATAAATAGAACATATTTTTTTTACATTGAGAAAAATGAAAAAGGATCTTTTTATGAGTCATCATCATAAATTGTACAAAAGCAACAAACTGGTGATCCTAAAAGGTCAATTCCTCCCCGACGGTAAAACTCTCCGGCCGACGAGCCTTGAGAGAAAAAAAAAAAATCAAAACAAACAAACAAAAAAAATAACACAAAAAGAGAAAGAGAGGAAAGACCCGAAAACGCTAACAAGATTCAGCACAGAAGAGCAAAACATTGCTTCTTCTGCGAAAACACACCTAAAAAAAGCAACTTTTCTGAACACCGGAGAAAGAAACTCGCCGGAAAAAAGAGAGAGAAAGATAAAGACTTTTGAACCATTTTCATCACTTTGATTTCTTGAGATGAACGGTGGTTCTGAAAACCGCGTCATCACGGACAAAACTCCACCAAAGGTAAGAGAGAGGGATCCCTGCAGCTCGCCAAAGAGCGTGAGCATCGACGTAGCCTTTGTACGGAGGGAAATCAAGCATTCTAATACACATTATGAATATGCTCGAGACAAAGAAAGCTCTTAGCTTCCACTTCGATGGATGCGACGTTAGAGCCGCCCATAATCCCCACACCACTATCTCTACTGCTCCTATTCCGAATATAACTTTCCGGTGAAGCCCTGTACTTTTTGTAATAGAGAGAGAGAGAGAGATGCATTGGAAGAAGAAAACCGCGTATAGTTTCAGAATCTAGGTAAATCCATGAAAAGATCATACCTTCATCGAGGTTGTAGAAATTGAGGTAGAGAATATGAGTTGCCACAACTGCAAGAATAGGTACAGTAACCATGATTTTGGCAGACTGGTCGTGTATACTGAAAGACCTGAATATTGCTAGAATAAGGGAATATCCGGCTAATAGTGTAGCTGAGGAGTAATCTAGCCTCTCTGTCAATTCAACATCTCTGCAATTGGAACATCGAAAAGTTTGAAGAATTTTGATAGATTCAAGTGTAGGAAATGGGAACATGGAGAGATAGACGAAATGTTACCTGCTGTGACAGACACCACTCCAGAAGAGTGAATTCATTACAATGGTGGCATAGATATGCAATAATCCGTTGTACTCGTAGTAAGTTTTCCGGTTTGGCTGGAGAGGCAAGTTATAGTAAACGAGGATGAAATATGAGACCCATCCATGAAACTGTATGGCAAGGTCGAGAGCAGAGAAAGCAACAGAGACAGGTTCCTGAAGTTATATATATCAACAAATGAGCAACAATACGTGAGAGCTAACTTTTGTTTCCTGAATCCTAGACATGCAGAGATTGCAAAGAGAAACTCACCTGAATTCCATAGACATGTTTGAGTGGCCATTTACCGAAATACTTGGTAGGTTTTTCTCCGTTTCTTCTTCTCTCTTCTTCTCTAGTCATCATGCACTCGTACTGGCAATCACTTTGGCAATCCCATTGTTTCCATCGCAGGTAAAGTGGCTCTTGCATGTACCAAGGACCGTCAATGGCTTTTCCATCAGCTGAAAATTTACAGTGCTGGAAGCAATTATCCCCCACGCATCCAGTTTTCTGACACTGATCAACACATGACCTGGAAACCGATCAGCATTAACTTTGCTTTGTTCTTAACCGGAACAAAAGCCAAAACTTTAAAGCAGCCACCATTGATCGCCACCGAAAGAGTACACTAAAAACAAAACTTTAACCAAGGTTATGAGCCAAAACAGAGTAACCTACTAAAATTCTCAAACTATACCATCGTAATAAAAGTTATCTAGCTCAAACGTGTAACCTATTTCACTGCCTTGGTAACAATTTCTTCATTTTATCCATCTTCCCAGTAGGCTCAAGACAGATTTACATGGTCAACAAAGCAAAACAGCAGAGAGAGAGAGAGAAAGAGAGAAGCTTCCACTCAACTTAAAAAGGAAACACCTTAACTAGACAATACCAATTGCAGACCCAAAGTCCCTTTCTAGTTGTTTGCCTTTTTCATCTTTTCCCACAAAAACAATTGACCCTACAGTTGTTACATAATCAAGGCTTGTGCAAACACACAAAGATCCATGCCTCTAACGTGTCACGACTCTGACCACAAGACTTGCAAATTTATATGGAAAAGTCAACCACATAGTTCTAAGCCTTCCCCACCATCTCCGATTTTGTGGCTCTAATCCGCTTCACCAAAACCCTTTGAAAATCATCCAAATCTTTACAAGGAAAATCTGGAAACTTTTTTGGTTCCCTAATTAAAAGGGATCATCAAATTCCACAAAACAGAAAGAGGACTACACCTGTTAAGTTCTTGTATAAACCCAGAATTTCACAATAGTCGAAATCATCACAACCGAGTTCTGCAATTATATTGAATCTAACGGTCGACTCTCGAAGTAATCCAAGACCTAGCGCCGCATTTCTAAATTTTCAAGCTTTCAAAAGAGCTAATTTTAGATAGGAAAGTTTGTCTCGAGTAGCCAAATGAGGAAACTAGAGAACAATCCTGAATTAGAAATCGATCTAGGAAGAGACCAAACAAACAAGAAGAAGCTTACTTGTAAAGAGGATCAGCGTCTCCTTCACTCGCTTCAAGTGAAGAGACAAGATATGAGACCGCAACAATAAGCAGAACCCATCGCAGATTTCGCGCCATCCGATTACCAAACAGAAGAAAAAAGTAAGACAGAGAGACAGAGAGAGAGAGAGAGAAAGAGTAGAAAAAGGCGAAGAAAGAAGAAAGGAGAAGCAAAGAGAAGTGCTTCTTCTCGGTTAGGAGATATTGTAGAGGTTATACAAAGAGTTAATAAGTCGGTGGATGATCGGAGAAATTGAATAGGCTTCGGTGTGGCAGCTTCTTCTTGTCCATCAAATCGCGGAGACAGGTGGATGCATAGAGAGAGAGAGAGAGAGAGAGAGAGAGAGATCTCAGCTGTGGCACAAATTAGAGAGAGAGAAATCCCGTGAGAGCGTGAAAGAGAAGGAGGAGGAGGAGGAGAAGCGCGTGGCGAAAGAGAGAGACGCGTGGAGTTTGGAGTAAATATCACAGACCGTTGATTCACCTCGACTTCCTCTCCCGTCACTTGTCTTGTCTGTATTGATAGAGAGATACGTTTTTTTATTTCCATTTTCTTCTCCTCACATACACTATTATTTCTCTTTTCCTTTTCGTCTTAGACGTTTACTGTGATACTGTTATAATTTTAAAAATGCAATTAGTAGTATTTAGGTTGCTCATTTTAATAATCAAACACCCGCGAAATCGCTGAAAAATATATGGTTTATTTAATTATAAAAGAGCTCAATAAATATATAAAATCTATAGAACAAATACCAAAACACGAATAAATCAAGCAGTAATGGATTAATGCTTCTCATTTGTCGATGAATTTCCATGTTGCTCAAAATCAATAATAATTGATTTCCACTAACCATGATTTGATCATCTAAACACTTCCATTCACCTAGAATGATGTTAATTATGTTTTGGATTTATTAAAAAAAACTAATGAGTATACTAGCACTTGATAACTATACTTACTTTTAGATGATTAATTTGATGATCAAAATTTAGATGATTCGTTAGTTATAAAAACACAAAAACTCGTATCATTTTTATTACTGTTAAAAGTGAAAGAAAAACAAGATTAAAAAAAGTTAACTTTCAAAGCATTTCTAAATCCCCCATCCATACATCCATATAACCCAAAAAAATATCAAATTTAAATAAATACATGCTTTGGGCGAATACATGACAGCACGAAGTTTCACAGCCTCACGTTTGAGTTCTGCGCGTGTGAAAGAGAATTAGTCCCCGAAATTTTGGGAGGAAGAAATTTTCTTTTGATTAAGCTGTTTTTCGTAATTGTTTTCTTTTAAATAAAAGTTAATATGTCCTAACACTACAATACACACCAGTCCATGCCGAAATATATAATGAATAAAAAGTCAAACAAATCAGGGATTTTTGATTTTAAGTTGCGATCAATCATAGTACTCCATCTTAAGCATCGAGTGATACTACGAGACACACACAAACCCACTATTATCATTGATTCTCTTGATTAATTTACTGTATTATCCTAGAAGAGAAGAAAGCTTTTCTGAAACGCAGTAAATGAAAATCGAACATGATATTATGTTACACGTGGTAATTAGTTATTTATGAGTACGAGGAAGATTTTATTCCACTTTCCGATACTCGTATCTTTTCTGAACGATTCTATATGAGTTTTTCTTTTTTTTTTCTTTCTTAAACATCAAATTTACCCCAAAAACCAAATTTCCCACCTTAGAGGGAATACTCGGAAGGTGGAAAAAAAAATAAAAAATACATTGTGATGATGTTTTTTCATAGGAAAATAATAAGCTGAAAGTTAGAAGAAAAAAATACTTTAATTGGTTGTGGAACGATCATCAACTACAACGTCGGTCAAATAAATCACTAAATTATATAGTATTTGGTAATCACATTTCAGAAACAAACAAGTGTGTGTCAATTCAACATTTACTTCTTGTAGCTGTAATTTGTTTTTATATGTTCACTCCTTTTTTTAAGGCCGCCCATCAATCTTCCATAGTCATCTAAAACAACTTGAAAATATTTCAATTAAAAATGACAAATGTCTTCAATCAATTTGTACTTAAAACTTAGATTTATTTCTTATCATCAAAATTGATAATCGGAGACTGAGATTACAGCCTGTAGATCGGCGAGACACTCCGCCGGGAGAGAAAGGAATGTATTCATAAACAAATCATCAACAGTCTCCACTTTCGCGACGCCGACGAGTCTGCATTTTCCTTCTCCGTCCATTCTCTCTCCTCTCCCTCTCTTCCTCTCTCCTCTCGATTCCTCCGTCGTCAACACCGTTTTCACCACCAACGCCGGAGCTCTGTAAATCCCTCCTCCCGCCGTGAAACAGAACTTCGCCGTGAACTCCAGTTCCACCTTCAAATCAATCAAATTCAAACCGGTTTCTAATAAAATCGAAACAAAACAGAGCATTTAATCATCGGATCATGAAAAGAAAAAAACTTCACCTTTCCGGATTCTGGGTCGATAGTTCCTTGGAAAATCTCCGGAGAGATATCGATTTTAAGAAACGGCGGCAATGGAAAGCCGAGAAATTTCGTGGTTTGGCTCGTCAGAGAAGGAATGTACAGAGTAGCCACGTCGAAACAAACAGACAGTTCGGAGTTTGATGCTCTGTTTTCGTCGCCGATGATTTTCCGGGCGGTTCCGGTGCCGGAACCTCCTTGTGGAGAATACTCGAAATCGGGATATCTGGAGATGCCAAGCTTACCTGTTCCAATAGTCTTGAAACTGACACCGTAGAGATTATTGGGAAGCTGTCTTGTGTTGGGTTCAGGGTTTATGGAATTCGAAATTAGTTTGATTTGGTTTGGGGATTTGTGGTTTATAACGTCTCTTTCTGGGGATTTGTAGATTGTTGTTAATGGGTTTATTTTTGTTGAAGCCATGTCTCTCACCTTTCTTTTTTTACAATTTTGTTATGATGAATCAATTTGATTAACGAGTGACAAACTGAAGAAAGCATCATCAATCTTATCGTCACATTTTTCTTTTTTGGGTGTGTGGCTAGTTTGTGATGTTCATTCTTCACCTCGCAAATTGTATATTTCAATGCATTATAGGACTGTATCATATCGACTAATGGGCTGAAAATATAATTGTATATATGGGCCCAATACAGAGACTATGTGTCAATTTCATCTTCTCATTCATTTTCGGCCAAGTCTTCCGTTCATGCACACTTGTAAGTTGGTCTGTTAAGCAAAGAAATCTTATACAAATGGAAAAAAGAGATATGGTTTTATTTGGGAAAATTATGGCTGAGCTGTAACTTGTAAGTTGTAACTGATAGACTAATCACTACTTAGACTAACAGTTGGAAATTGGCTGTATGGATAATTTAGAGTAATCGAGTTTTTTTTTTTTTAATCAAAAATCATCCCCGACCGGGCTTATCTAAGCCCACAAAATCCATTCCCTTTCTTTCTTTTTTTTTGTTTTTAACAAAATCCATTTTTTTAAAAAAGTTATCAATATTGAAACCTTTTTTTTTTGAACAAAATCCATTTCTTTAAAAAGTTATCAATATTGAAACCTTTTTTTTGACGTATTACACGGGCTTTTAAAACAAGGTACTATCGTCGTTTTACAGGTCATGACTTTTATGAATTGATACTGATAGATGGGTCTCTGAAAAAACATCCTCAAAGCATTACTTTTGGCTAGTGCTGTCAATTTTGTGACGCGTTACTCAGTCCGATCCCATATTCTATCTGACTTTTCAAATTTATATTTGTACTCGGTCATTTTTTTAACGAGCTAAATATAATTTTAACGAATACGAAAAACATGTCGAGTAAATGCATTAAAAAAAATAATATCTGAGTTGCGTGAAATAGTTCCTAAATCTTACCCATACCTGACTGATTTAATGTTTGGACATTAATTTTAGGTATCGGAATATGTTGAATTTTCGATTTAGCATCTTATTAGCTATACTTTGTACATGATTTTCAAGTATAATTATTTTTTTCTGATTCTTATCCGCTACTACGGTCTGTTCGGCGTGTCGCTGCTGCGTCAGCTATGGCGACCAATAATTACAACATCATCACAGTCAAAACAAATAGTGGAGAAGTAAAATAGATGATGTAGCGTTTGTGTTGTCGACATCGCAGGTGACAGCTGAAAAAAACAGCGTCCACTTTAATGGTTGTGATCGGGGCTGCGTCTTTTTCTGTTGATTGGCGTTCTACACTCACCACAAATTTGGAGCTGTGAAGTACGTTATAATTTTGTGTCACTGGACGCTGACGCAGCGACAGCTAACGAACAGGCCCGGCTGAACAATCATCCAAAGAAAATGAGAGAGCAAGGAATTGACCAAAAAAGTATACAAATCGCGGCTTTTCTAACCGACCAATTTAACGAACTTATTGACTCTTGCATGTTTTACATAATTTAAATTTCCACGGCTAATAAAACCCAAAAAGAAACAGCAAATGGTATAAAAATGAAAGCCAAAATAATGGGCTGTTGGAACTATAAAATTTTCTAAACTCTTAAGAAAGAGCCACATCCATTTAAAAACAAACTATTTTCAATGATTGATACTTTTAGAATGTTCTCGTGCGCAAAAAAATATGTGTACATATGAAACACTTAATGGATGCTTATAAAAAGAAGTAAGACTTTCGGCCGTTGTGGAAAGGGAAATATAAGCCTATAGAATTGGGACTGTTTTTTGTAGAATATGGACCGATATCTGACTTTGCCAAAATTCATTTTAACCGTTGGTCCTCGCTCCTATCGATTACTCATTTTTCCGCACGCCATTAACGATAAAGATTCCCATTATTTTGTTATCATCAATCTTTTTTCTAATCTCAGCCATACCTTCCTTACACCATCTCGCACGTTATTCACAGTGTGAAGCCTGAAGCAGAAAAAGATTGGATCATTCCCCGAGTTTTTAGTTAGAATTTTCTCAGAAAAAAATCAATATTTTACAATTTTTAAAAAACATTACTACTCTTTAGATTTTTACAGCATATATGACCTAAAAAAGAGGTATTTTTTTTATGCTTAAGTGAAAAATATTATATCCTTATCGCATTCTTTTCTTGTCAATGATCACATTTTGTAGTTTATATCATTTATGAATTGTTTTTTTTTATATATTGTTCGTTATTTTCTAAAATAAAATACCTTTAATCGGTTAAATGAATCAGATCCACCATCTGCCATGTGTCTATTTGGCTAGATGTTTCATTTTCACTTTTATTTTTGTAAGGTTTTTACGACGTACTCCTTACGTTATTGCTGAAAGGATCATCACTAGAAACAAGAGACTTTGCTACGCATTTTTCCAATTCAATAAGATGCGCCATACAGGAGAAACACATCTTTTTCATCAAGCTTATCATCGAAACGTGTATAGCTTCATCAGGTTGCTCTCCCGTCTTCAGTGATTCACTGATCTGATTCATATAATAAATTTTAACTTTAATGTAAACAAAATTAGATAGTTGAACCGTTTCGATCAATTATATAATTTCCTAAATCACCTGCTTTCATCAAATGTTATGACTGGTATATACACGACAGGACAACCGATGCGATGAGTCATTCGGTTCGGATTTTTAATACAAAATAGACGAATAGTAGAGTCGAAAACACGTTGACAGAAAACCAAAAAAATTGATTAAATGGATAAACCACCTTTTTCAATGAATAGAGTATTTTGTAATTTGAGATCTTACGAAAGTCATACATAAATATCTGAGGTTAATTAAGTAATCAAAAAGATAGTTGAACTGTTGGACGTTGGCTTTTGTGGAACAAATATTAACTTTCGTGACATTCAATGGTGGCTGATTTGGAAGTCTACGTTTTTCTTGTTGACCAATGATTTTTAAGGCTGCGTTTCTTTTAACCTCATTTACCATTTTCCTACGCTAATATGATATCTAATACCCATCCATATATAATATAATTTGTAAATGGACGAATCTATGATATATGAATTTGAAAAATGTTAGACATCTTATACATACAGAGGTTCTATAATTTATATTTTTGGAAGTTAAAATTCATCATATACTTGGTCAACTAAAAACTCAATATATAATGTTCCCTTAAAAAATATATTAAATAAATAAAGAATAACATTTGCCTAGATCTTAAGATTCTTAACTACTACTAAAAGAGAATTTAATTATAAAAACTTTAATCCAACAGAATCTTCATATCGTTTTTCTCTGTTAAAGAATCCTCACATTTACAATCAATTATGCTCACTTCTTATAAGTTTATCTAAGATATAATTTTTGGTCATTTAATTTTTAATAATTTTATTTATTTATTTTTGGCTGAAAAAAATTCTGCATAATTATATTTTTTAATTTGTATTATCATTAGAGCCTATAGATAAGAATTCGTGATTTATATGTTCATCTTATATTAATATTAAATACTATTCTCTAGCTATCTCTATTTATCATTATCATATTTGATTTTTCTTAGACAAGTAGCTAAATACACTACACGTCATAGCCTGTTTAACTTCCCAGTTATCACCTGTCCATTTTAATTAAATATACTCAATTTCTTAACAATAACATTTTTAAATTTATTCAAATATTTATTCACCAAGGATATAGTCACAAATTTACAGGGAAATAATAAAACAAAATAATTCTTAAAGGATATTATGAGTCAGAGGAATAGGTTAAGAAAGTGGCTAAAAAGAACTATCTGCTTTAGTGGTCACGACCGTTGACCTGCACCACAAGAGACTAAGTCTCTAACCCAACCAACACAACACAGAACCCCTTAACCGAAAAGACGAAAACACCCTCACCTCCCTCACCAATATAAAACCCTACTCGAGCGCATCTTAAAAAACCCCAGTTTATTGTTTATCAAAAAAAGATCAGAGAAATCCGAAGAGTTTTATAAATTTAAAAGGCATGAGAGGTTCAAGAACAGCATCTTCAGACATGAGTGCTTGGTGTTCTGCTGTTGTGTTGTTGTCTTTAATACTTTTGTTATCAGTCAGAGAGAACAATGCTTCTGATTCCGTTAGAGGGTCTCAATTCTCAGAGAAACCTTGCGAAGAGATTTACGTCGTCGGAGAAGGAGAAACGCTTCACACCATCGGCGATAAATGCGGCGACCCGTTTATAGTTGAGAGAAACCCACATATCCATGACCCGGATGATGTCTTCCCGGGTCTTGTTCTCAGGATCGCACCTTTTTACTTCTCCAGAAAAGTGTCAGATATATAGTCTTAAAAGTTTTTTTTTTTTCCTTTCAAATTTTGGTTTGAAGCAGCGTACCTTTTCCTATGTAATTATATATGTATCTGTACATGTATAGACTAAAGGAATTCCAAAATAAATACAGAGATTTTTAAGAAACAGAGCAAAAACAGAGTATACCGTGATCTATTTTTTATTCGGGTTTCGAGGACTTACATGTTCATTTTGAAACGTGTTTGGTGTGAATAGTAATTAGTGATAGTTTCCTTGCTTTAAACTGCAAACTCAATTCGAAAAAGAAGTCGCTGATCTATGCAATAACGAAACGCCAAAGTTAGAGTAAACAGGTCAACGACGTTGACCTACTAATGTTACTTTGTCATCTATTCTATTAGAACAGAAACATATTTTAGTGTCTGTTTCCAAACACACCTAAATTTTTAGTATCTGTTTCTAAACACATCTAAATTTTTTTATAACATTATATTTTATATTATAATTAATTTTGAAAATTGATTACTAATTTAGATATTGTTAGATTTCCTTAAATATAGGTTATATTAATTTAAATTTTAAATTATTCGAAATTTTTATTACTTAAATTTAATTACAAAAACTTAGATTCAATTTAATTTAAAATTCAAATAAAAATATTAATAAATTTTCTTACAAAAATTATATAATAATTTTAATTACTTTAGAAATCCTTAAATACAGGTTAAATTTTTAATTTAAAATTTTGAATTTAAATAATATTTTTATAATAGCACAAGTGGTAAACAAATATCTTATTGTATTGTTTATCATAATTAATCCGTCTAAAGCATTAAATATTTAATATTACTATATTTTGCAATAATATGATAGAACAAGTTAAAGTTATATATTTATAATAACAATTTTATACGGATTAGTTTATCAAAACATGTAAGATATTAAAAAATGATTTGAGATAACTAAATGGACAGGTTAGCTAATTCATAGATGTATAAATTTTTTATGTGAAAATCTAAACTTACATAATAATAAAGTTCATAATTAACATTATAGATTAATATATACTTAATTAACTCATATTCTTATTCTACTAATATATAAATCTATACTATTCAAAGTTATAACATGATAAAAAAAAGTTCTTGAATTAAAAAAATAAATAACAAAAATAAATTCTATTAAAAATTATATTATAAAGAAAAAATAAAAAATTCTCGTGCAGATGCACGAGGTTAGAATCTAGTTCCCTTTTAATTATTCTTCCACCTGCAGAATTCTCGTATTGAAAGAGTATATTGATTATTTGATGAATCGTGCTATAATGAATTGATGATGCTCATAAATCTTGGACGCAAAATAATAATGTATTTGATATAATGCATTTTTAACGAAGTGTAATGATAATTATACGTTAGTTGGCCAAGAACTTATGAGAAGCATAACTTTTTTTTTTTGGCAGAATCCGATGTCCTTTTGAAATCTACGATTAAATTTAGCAAATTTAACAAGAAGAGTGCGGCTTTCGATTGATTTGTGTTCACTGTTCAAGCTCGAATTGTATTTATCAAAGCTGCAATGATTTGTCTGTCTACTGTCTTGTGACAACCCAATAAGCATTGAAGAAAATCATGCCCATTCCCAAGTCGGCTAAATACATTTTTTTTTTAATTAATTCTTTTGCATTATAGACAAAACTTCCAAAATTATCTCTAACTTAAATTCTAGACTGTAATTTTTCTTTGACTAATACAATTTTAAGAAACTAATAACCACACACCTAGGCTAATTATGTCGTCATCTCCGAAAAACAGCTTCCAATCTAAATACAATAAAAATTAGAATAAAAATCGAAAACAACACTATTACTGTTCATGTCGACATTGTCTCCAAAAGAATTACACGATATCTCCAGAATAAATAAGCAGCGTGAGTTGTTCACTGTTACAAACCCACAAAGGAAGAAAAGAAAAAAAAAAACTAACGATCCTCAAAGGCCAAAGATGGGTAGCTTCCAAAAACCCCTAATCTCAGCTTTTGTTCTCGTTTTGGTGATTCTACCTCTTCTAGTCTCAGCCACAAAGGAAGAAAACGAATGTGGAGGCTCCATCGGAGAAGGCTCTGCTGCGGAGAAGGCAACGGCTCTTAAATACAAGATCGGAGCTTTCTTCTCCATCTTAGTCGCCGGAGTGATCGGAGTCTGTTCACCTATCTTCGGCCTCAATTCAGAGAGCAATTTCTTCATGTTTGTGAAGGCATTTGCCGCCGGAGTAATCTTAGCCACCGGTTTCGTCCACATTCTTCCCGATGCCACCGAGAGCCTCACAAGTCCGTGCATTGGAGAAGAGCCACCGTGGGGAGACTTTCCGGTGACGGAACTCGTAGCTATGGCTGCAGCAATTTTGACCATGTTGATTGAGTCCTTTGCTTCAGGGTATTTGAACAGATCTCGGTTAGAGAAAGAGGCTAAGACCTTGCCGGTGAGTACTGATGGAGATAAGGAGGAGCATTCTCATATTGTCTCTGCTCATACTCATGCATCACAAGGACATTCTCATGGCTCTCTTCTCGTTCCCCTAGATGATCACATTGATCTGAGGAAAAAGATTGTAACTCAAGTAAGTACAATCACAAAAACCTAGTTGCCAAAATCCAAATTTTCCGTAAAGATTTAGAGGAATTCTCGTTTTTGAACAAAACCCTGTTGCCAAAATCCAATCTTTAAAGCACATGTTTTTCTTCTTCTTATGGTGTTAGATATTGGAATTGGGGATTGTGGTTCACTCAGTGATAATAGGAATATCTCTGGGAGTATCTCCAAGTGTGAGCACAATAAAGCCTCTCTTGGCTGCAATAACTTTCCATCAATTGTTTGAAGGTTTTGGTCTTGGTGGCTGCATCTCTGAGGTAATCTTAACATCTCTTTTTTATGTTCTCTCCTATTTCTGATTTTATCAACTGACTGAGAATTCAATAAACAACTTAACATCGTGTTTGCAGGCAAAGTTTAGAGTTAAGAAAATATGGGTTATGGTGTTGTTCTTCGCACTCACAGCACCAGTAGGGATCGGAATCGGTATTGGCGTAGCCGAGACATACAACGACAACAGCCCGATCGCACTAAAAGTTTCCGGTTTTCTTAACGCTGCAGCCGCCGGAATCTTGATTTACATGGCCCTTGTTGATTTGGTCGCTCCACTATTCATGAACCACAAAGCTCAGAGTAGTATGAAGATACAATCAGTCTGTAGTTTTTCTCTTATTCTTGGTGCTGGTTTGATGTCTCTTTTAGCTGTTTGGGCTTGAAAAAGTTTGGATTTTTGATTTTGTTTCTTGAGATGTTGTAGAACAGAGAAATAAGGTTTTAATTCAGATTTGAATACAATGATATACCGGTCAATTCTTTACAAGATGCTATCAGCTCTTGATGGCAAAGTAATGAAGAAGTTATGAGAAATAGAATCTTTACAAACAAAAAAAGTTATGAGAAACAGAATGTACATCGAAAAAACATAAGCCTAGGATGTCTAATCTAATGACGTAGAATGCAAGGAACGTAAGCATGATCATTCGACAACCTGCAAAACAGGAAGCGAGATTGTAAATGAGTCAAATGTCTCTCACAACGTTGGCTCTTCATGAAAGCATAAATCAAGAGATCACATTCTTCTGGAAACGATCCGTTTTCATCTTCTGGATATTCATGGAATAACCCATTGAAAAAGGATATGCCATTATCAGAGCTTTTTTTTTTTTTGTTTTTTGATTCGAAGTGTTCCACTTTCACAATCATCATCACTCTACAGATTAATTATCTTGAGACAAAGATAATTAAAGCCCAGATTCTTTTCTTTAAACAAGGAAAAAATCATTCCAGTACTCGCCGCATATGAAATCATGAATATGTTATACACGTGTATGTGTGTGGATGTATAACATAAACACTTAAGAAGTTAAAACTTAAAATGCTTCACTAGTAGAGACATATATACGTTCGAAGCTGGGTGGGTTAAAAAAACATCCTTGAATGGCTTCATTATGAAGCAAAATTATGAGAGACATGAGAAGCAGCATCATCAAAAGGCAAACACTTCAGAAAAGGAAAATAGGGATGGATATCCATGGAATAACCCATCAAAGCATCTCTTCTTTTCTCTCAATCACTCGAATGTCAAAAAGTCAGATTTTTTTTATTTATTATATATATTATTAAGACTTATATATATGCTGATCCAAGGAGTCCATGAATAACCAACCAACCCTCACTCATAGCACAAAAGAAAAAAATCACAATGGAGGAGGAGGACAAGTTACAATAAGCAGAGCAGTAATAGGGCATCTTTCTATTGGCAGGCGAGACTGCAATTTTGCTCATTTTGTGTTTTGTTGTGTTTGGCTATTTGCTCTGTCACTTGCCAAAGGAGAGTTGCCCTGTCACTGCTTCCGCTTAAATACAATCTGAAGAAACCAAATCTTCCTTTTTCAACATTTTCAGAACTGAGATTGAAGGATACACAGCTAAGTAAGTTTCACTTTTCCCATTTTCCTCTGGCTTCTATGAGTAAAAAAATGAACATTTCACCAAAGAAAGGAAAGAAAAAGCAATGAAAGAAACACATTTCTGTTTCTTATAATCACAGAGCATTTACTTTCACATTGCCTCTTTTGACATATTAATATTCCATTCATCAACGATTTTAAAACCATTCTCACATATTATTTATAAACAAGTGAGTTCTGCAGCAAATTTTAATCACCGATTCTTGGATATATTTTTTTCTTCTCCAATGCCCCAAGTAAATGTTGGATATGGTAAATTTAAAGCGTATAACAGGGAAACTAAAGGCACATCAACGGAATGCGATTTGTGGTGACTTCGCTTCGGGATTCAGAAGCAGAGGTTGAGGAAAACGCCGCTCAACGTGAACCTTCTGTTTAACTCGGAAGCTTCTGAAAAAGTTTCTTGGGGTCCCTGTTATTTGTAACCTTCTATCTAAATGGGCCTTTGGGCTTAATTCGTCGAAAAAATCGATATGCATTAGAGAAAAATAACTATGGATGAAGATGAAGATGAATCACTATGGATGAAGATGATCGAACAGATGTAAAACCAAATAAGTGCAAGACACGTGACAAAGCACTGACATTGTACGATGATGTCGATACTGTTTCTTTTTGGCGTGCTCCTTTCTATACTGTTTTCCCCTCTTTTATTGTCCTAAGATTAAATTATTAATAGTAGAAAGATGAAAATTTGTACTAATTTTAGTAAACTATAACCAATGAGATAGTGACACGTCGCAGTCCCTCTAGTTCCTATGTTGTTTTTTCTGTTAATGACTCTGTTCATTAGGAACTCGTCACAATGCTACGGCTAATACAGTCATACTATCATTGGTCACCATCACGAATATCAGTTTTGTTTCAATATTTAATAAGAATATCACTAATTAAGCATTTGGATTAATATATCACTGAATATTTAACTTGATTTCTTCTCTACACTGATAATGTGCTGTTTTTGTTCTTTATAAATATTTGAATAAATTCCTTTTTTGGCATAAATTATGTGTTTACATTTTGAATTTATGAATATATATATATATATGTCTGTGTTTGTTATACACTCTTAAGAGAATTCACTCCCATTTAAACCAAAAAATAAGTAATTTGCACAGTACTTTAGCTAAAAGAATTCGGACTATCCATAATTTTAGTTTTTAGAGGTCTTGCTACTGCAACAATAAAAAGATACAAACTTACAATTTTATGTTCAAATGTGGTGTAAGCAAAGCCGTGCCTACGTCGAAGAGATTGACATTAGTATTTGACTTTCATATAACAAGTAAAGATTTAGAGTTTGCATCTATATCTCGCAAAAATGTTTAAGCCTCCATTACTTCATTTTATTAATGATATTAACGTTCATAGCCAAAAAGAAAAAGAAAAAAAAAGATGTACGCCACTGTATGGAAAAAATGGTTTACGGTGGTCGCCAAATATTACGACCATTTTGGGCTACCAGTCCAACCAAGAATGCCAATGCAAAAAAGAATGTACATCAAAGAAAATGAGGAATACAATTTATATACATTCATGATTAATCACCCATTTTTTCAATATACAAACATTTCAAAATAAATCTTACAATTTGTAAAATCAATCAACTCGATCTAAATCCAAAACTATTTGAACCAAACTCTTTGTAAGTAGTTTGTTTTTGAGTAACAACGACGTAGTTAAATGTTCAAATCCAAACAGTCAAATAATTATTTTTCTCTTTTTAATACTGCTCACATTACATCACTCTTTCTCTCTCCCAAACTTATCTATTTCAGTGGAGACTTTCCAATATTCGTCTTTCTTTCTTTCCTCGTTAATTTTACCAAAACAGGATAAATAAGTTTTTTTTCGTAGACCATAAGGCACAAGCCATACGGACTTTCCTAATGCTTAATATATATTATATTTTTCGTTATATCTCGTACGGCCACTATTTAATGTTACATTTTGAACCTGCCACGATTGTCTTTTTCTCAGTTATTTATCAGAAGTTTGAAATACTATAATTGGTTGGGTCACAACTATACTTATTAGTTATTATTATCTTTACTTCCGTCGTTTTGAGCTCATAATATTAATCTTCATACTGTTTTTCCACGTAACTCGAGGGAGAAATATCTAATATAATAATATTAAGTTATATAATTTATACTTTCTAAATGTTTACTAATTTTTTAAAAAGAAATGAAAAGATTATACGGTTTTAATTAAATTTAATAACAGTATATAATCACAAATGTAGTTCAACCTTTAATTTTGTCTGCTGAAAAATATGATTATTAAAGAAAATCTGTTTTTTTTTTCAGATATATGAAAGAAAAACAAGAATTATCCTGTTTCTTTTTTTGTTAGCATCTAACTATTCTGTTATGTGGCCAGGAGAAGATATGGACAGATAATAGTCTAGATTATACATAATTTTTACTTTCAAGAATAAAAATAAAAATAAGAATAAGATCATCTTATTGTGACCCATACCAAAAGAAAACAAATAAAACATTAAGAAACTTGCCCTTTCCTTCCCTCACAGATCATCCTAGGGTTCCTCAAAAACAAAAACAAAAACAAAATACTTTTTCTCTCCATTTTTGCTGTGTTTCAGCTCCTTTTTCTCTTCCTCAACTTTGATTTCTCCTTTGAAATTATCCCCAAATCTTTCATAATTACCATTTCTTGAGAAAATCTTGATTTGAAATTAAATCTTTCTTTAGTACTGGCTTATCTCTTCCTCAGTTTCTCTGCCGACATTTAATCTATCTGTCTTTCTCTCTCCGGTGAGATCTCTCTCTCTCTCTCTCAATCTCTCTCTTTTATGACTCTGGTTATATTGACTTGTCACTGGCTGGTTTAGGGTTCCAATCTTTACAGATCGCGTATCGACAGAACCCAAAAAAAAAGTCAAAAGAAGAAAAAATGGTGAGAGGGAAGATAGAGATGAAGAAAATAGAAAACGCAACGAGTAGACAAGTGACTTTCTCAAAAAGAAGAAATGGTTTGCTGAAGAAAGCTTATGAGCTATCAGTACTATGTGATGCTCAAGTCTCTCTGATCATCTTCTCTCAGAAAGGAAGGCTTTACGAATTCTCTAACTCTGAGTATGACTTCTTCAATTTCTTCTTTATTCTTTAATTTAGTTTCTTTTACGTTTTTTCCGTTAATTAGGCTTTTGGGTTCTTTGTGTGTGTGTGTTGTCTGTATTTTTTTTAATCGTAATTGATTAAAGCTGCCTTCTTAGATTTTGGTACTTGAGAGATTCGATCCTTGTCTGAGTCCTATAGATTTCTTCTTCTCTTCCCCTATTAATATGATTTCATTTTTTTGGTTAGAAATCTGGAGAAACTCCTTTTTCTGATCTACCTGAACTTTTCATCTAAGCTATATATATATATAGTGTGTGTGTATCATTTATGTGAGTGTGTCTAGGGTTTCCGAAAATTTCTTGAAAATATGAATTTGAAAACAACATCGGAACTAGCTCTAACTGGGATTTAGACTAAAATTTCGATGATTGTTTAGTGTGATCCGTACCAAGTTGCACATTTTTCCCCCCATTTATTTGGTGATAATATAAATTAAGTTTTACTTTTTCTTGCCCCTAGTTTAGGTTGTGTACTATCGTTTTTGGTTTTCGTTATGTCTTTATTTGGGCTCTACTTTTGTAGTCATGCTAATTATGCGTGCTCTTCTTCATTTGATTCAGGTGTGCAGAGAATACAAAATTTTCTTGTCTATACACCCAAAAAAAACTTAATTATTTATTCAAGAAGAAAAATCAAAAAGCTTGTTCTGTAACCAAAGATAGATCGAAATAGATGAGGCTGTGATTTTTTTTTCTCTATGCTAATATAATTTGTTAATTATCAGTTCAGATGTAGGATACTCACCTGGTATGTCCTAGTTCTTTGTTCATGCTGCTAACTCTGATACTATTGTTCCTATTTCTGCTTTTCGTTTTCGTATCATGGACCTTGGTTCCCGGTTCAAACAAAAATTGTGAAACAACCAATGTGTTGTTATAGTTTTGCAAATGGATTAATGGTTCTACATTTAATAATTAGATTTTTGCAAAAAAAATTGCAAAAATAATTGGAGTTCAATAAATTTAGACATAATAGGAAAAAACCATGATGAATTCATAGGGCATGGGTTTAAATAGTTATCCATAGAGATATCATTAACCAACAGCCAAAAGACATTGTAGTACAATTTGAGAAAGATGGGGCGTTAGGGGAATCTTAACTAGAAATCGAATAAGTTAGCTTTTAATATTTTGTTGCTGTTACCCCGTCTTATCTTTAGATCTCAGATATGATAGACTTGATTAGAGATTAAACAATGTAATTGCGAAGATTGGTAAACGAATTCTAATTTCTAATAAAATATGGCTATGTTTGATCATCAGCATGCAGACGACGATCGAACGTTACCGCAAACATACAAAAGATCATGAAACCAGTAACAGCGACTCAGAAATTTACATCCAGGTTTGTTACCAAAACGTTTTTTTTTCATGATATTTACCATTTTATTTTTCCTGGGACTAGCAATCAGACTTAAGTTACATGAAATCTTTTGGCTGATGTCCTAGAGATTTACATGACTTCATGACATTGATTCTTATTTTGACTTTTCATGGCCTACTAAACCAAATCATGAGAGATATATATATAAGCACTACGTACAAATTAGTAGAATACTTGTTGTGAACTTTTAAATGATTATGTTCAACAGTCTATATATATATATATATATATATGATCGATGGCCACAAATATTGCTCAACAGTTGATACTTGCTATATATTCAGAGACTATATATTGATGTTCTCTTTGCGTCTTATGATTTCATTTTGTGGGCGTAATGTAGCAATTGAAGCAAGAAGCAAGCCACATGATCACAAAGATTGAACTCCTTGAGTTTCACAAGCGGTATCATGCCTTAGCCTTTCTTTTTCATTTTGTGTTGCCACCTTCTTTTACATTAAGAACTTGATTATATTAGCGCTTGCATTGCACTTTTAATTTACTTTTATTTTAAAGGTACTTTTCTCAAATGAATTTATCACCTTAGGCCATGCATGAATATTTGTGGTCTTTGAAATCTTTTTTGATTTTTGGTTTTTGGATTTTGGTTTTAAGGTATTTTATATTCTTTAAAACATTGAATGTCAATTTGTTCAAACTTGAACACCAAGTGCAAACAGAAAAAAAAACCTTTCGTTTGTGTTTAATGTTTGCGTTCATAGTTTACAAAAATATTTCATAATACTGAAAATATATTATATGAAAATTGAAATTTTTTATATTACAAAGAAAAAAACGCAAACGTAATAATTTCAGTATAAAACAATTGAAATTTAAAATTTAAGCAAAAATTAAGAAAGTAAAATTTAATCAAATACTTAGTATACTATGCAAGTAACAATCAGTAGTGGTGGAAGAAGGATCCAAGAGAACTCTATATTTGATGTCAAATAAAAGCTACTACGGAGATTTTTGCCAAAAAAAAAGAAAAAGTCATCAACTCCCTTTTGCGTGTGTACAGGAAGCTATTGGGTCAAGGAATTGCTTCTTGTTCTCTAGAAGAGCTTCAAGAAATTGATAGTCAACTCCGAAGAAGTTTGGGCAAGGTCCGAGCAAGAAAGGTATACATAATGCATCACTATCTGATGATGATATAATGCTAATAATCACATACATACATGTTGAATGATAACAAGAAATTGGAAAAAATTATTTATAGGCTCAGTTGTTCAAGGAGCAGTTGGAGAAGCTCCAAGCAAAGGTAAAATACCATACATTATGCTTGTATAGTACATATATATATATATATATGCTATTTTAAGTTATTTCTCTTTTGTTTATTAGCATTGTATATAAAAATGGTGAGAGAGTGTGGCTTTGTTTCAGGAGAAACAGTTGTTAGAAGAGAACGTCCAGTTACGTCAAAAGGTAATTCATCTCTCTTTCCAATTCACATATTTAATTAGACATATGCTGATATTAATCCAACTAAAATTACATATATTATGAATTGCTAATTTTTTAAGATGGTTGAAATACTACCTAAATACTATTTTGGGGACTGAAATTTTAAATTCAAATATTTATATAACAGAGATTCGATGGTTTTGTTGAGTCAGTTTTGACCTTAGTTTAAGTTTTTGTTTAAATTTAGAGTTGTATTGTGATGATTTTATTTTTAGTCTTATGGATTTCAAAGAAAATTTATTTTTTATTTCTCCTGTTTTTTTCCCTCCAAGAGTTTACAGTTAATTTCGAATCTAGCAAATGAAAATATTTTTAAACATAAAATAAATAATAATTTGCGTATGAATATAATTTTATCGTCTTTTTCTAAAGCTAAAATGTATAAAATACGATTTCTTGTGGTTGATGAAATTCAATCTATTTTATGAACAGACTGCTATAAATCCATGTAGAGAATCGACTGAACAACAAAAGAAATTCAAAGTTATAGATCTGAATCTGGAAGTACAAACTGATTTGTTCATGGGTTTGTCGGACAGACACGACTAACGACATTATAATTTTTTTGTGTATTGGTGATATTATCCATTGAATGTTATAGCCTTACACAATTAAAGAGAGAATAATGTCTATATTCAAAATCCATTTAATCCATCAAAATTAATAGTTGGATGGGATTGGGTTACTCCATAAATTTTAACACATTTTGACACTCTTACGTCCACATAAATAAATTTATTGATTATCGTGTGCTTCTTACATGATGAATGCGACTTCCTCTGATGGTACGTGATTACAAATAGACGCGAACATAAGAGTATATTTGGTCAACTCTTGCCACCAAAATGATTGTATTATGTATACTTATTTACAGATTTGCATGGTTAAGTATTTCAGTCTAAAATATACTTAATCAGATATTTGATGCATATAAAGAAAAATTATAACCATGCCTTACTGATTTATATTAGATTCAGTTTCATTTCGGTTATATATATTTTCAATAAAATTATAAAAGTGAGGGTTAAACCGAACCACAATTTAGATTGCACACTAGGAATTGTAAACTTATAATTTTTCAAAATATTATATTTTTTCCAATCTGTTCATCAAGTCTCGATTTCAAGCCCAATAAGGACCCAATAAATTAGTATTTTCTTGCCGGGTATACACAACTAGCCGCCCACCCGTCTCTGTTGCAACCACTCCTTTGTGTATTATAAATTTATAACAAGAAGATACACATATAGTTATCTTACTTTATAATTAATTAATTATATAGTAATACTCTAATGTATAGGAGATAAATGCATCAGCTCGCGGTTAGCTGCTTATTCTGCTGTATTTGAATTTTGAAATTCAGTAACTTCGCCCGTTGCTTCTGCTACAATATTTTATTCAGTTAGATACTTGTATTATCATGGGTAATCATCAGAGACTCTATAGTCAGGTAGTAATAATAAAACGTCATTAGTCATATCTAATTAATTACTAGCTATATTTTTTTCCACCATGCATCTCATTTAATCTAGATTAATTTGGTGGTTCAGTTTTGAAATTGAAGTTCTAGCGATCTATATATCTATATATATAGATAGATATATAGATATATATATATATATATAGATATTGATTTCTAATGCCAGAGGGCCATAGTTTTTTGGAACCTTTTATTATTGTGTTCTTAAACTTGCACTATTATGTCTTCAGATTTACTGACAAAGAGGTATAAGTAGTATTTTACAAACTTTCCGTGTGAGAAATCGTATTCTCATATTGTTTGAACGGTGAATCAATGGTGATCTTCGGTAAAAAGCTGGTCACAAAAAAATATTCTGAAATATGAGATCTTGGAATACTGGTTTGGTTTGGTTATAAAAAAAATAGAATACTGGTTTGGTGTCTTTTCGAGAATGATCCGACGTTTAAATCAAAAGGGAAATCAAGAATGAATTGAAAGCTGACTAAATGCCAATGAAAGATAAATACAAAATTACGGTATGACTTGTTGTAACCATGCATGAGCTGACATACTGCTCTCGTCTTTGGAAACCCCTCGGATGACGTTTTTTACAACTTCACATTGTGATTCGTCTTTTTTCATCATTGATAATTCATCCCTGAACACAACATATTTATCATTAAAAATATGACATATTAACCAATAATATATATTTCGGGTCATTGATATATAAATAGGTGTATATGTTTCGAAATATTTAATTGAGTACATTATCGTACGTACATAGGAAAGAGGAGCCATGCAAGGCTGATTCGGCTTTTCCAGTCTTTCTAAGACTTTTACATAGTATGTTTCTAACTTTACACGATCTTGATTTTCTGTAAACCCTTTTCGGTTTTCTTTTGGATTATTATAAACCAAGTATGTAATGGGCACTTACATAGTAATAATAAAAAATGAAAAGTAATTGGAATCAAAACTAAAATATTATCTTCTCTTAATTAAAAGGATCACCTAACTGCATTTCTTCTTCCCTGACAATGCGAAAAGTAGTAGAAAAATATATGAGAAAGGTACAATATATGTAATCAAATAAATTATCAAAAAAATAAATTTAAATAATACTCCCCAAACCGTAATATATATATATATATATATTTATATAATTGACAATAGAAAGAAATACTTTATTTTCATTTCAACCCAAGATTTTAGACAGAAAATGCCACTATAACACTTGCAATTAATATATAAATAAAAAATATTATGTTTTAGTTTTTACAGTAAATTTGTTATTATTAAATATAGCCATCCAGAAATTCACTGTAACAGAACTTCTACAGACCATAATTTCAGTTTTAGCAAAATGTTATCGTTGATCAAGAAACAACTTTCGAACAAAGGACGAATGTCTTTTTGTTTTACACATAATAAGTTTACGTAAAATATACTTTCTCTATTTGTATATAGTATATCTTGGAATATCAAAATTTTACATTTATTATATAAAAACAAACTGTATGCTATGGAGCTTGAGGTTTACCCATTTAATTTAATTTTTATTGTTATACTTTTATGTTTATATATATATATATATATATAGAAATATTTTTCTTTCTTTCCCATATGAGAAAATTGCATCTGTCATAGCAAGGGTGTCCATTGTCCAACTAAACTGTCGACCGTTGAGCGGGAAATTCAAAATAAACAGCAAAAACTATTAGATAAGAGCGAAGTCACATGGGCGAGAAATTTTAATAATACTGTATGATTTTCCTTTGCTAACCGTTTTACGAAACCAAGCTATTGATAGGGTTGACCAAAATCTATTAATGGTGTTCATAATAAAATAGTTAATATCTTTGCATCTTTTCTTGCAAATGTTAATTGATTGCCCAGTTTGTGGGGATTAAATGTGTTTTTTTTTCAAGGGTATATTAAAAAGTTTTCTTGGTACGTAATTCTATGATAAATATTCAAGTTATATATAATTTGAAGTTTTAGTCTTTTAGATATTGACACTTTTAAAAATTAATTAGTTTCGATACTACATAAATATATATATATTTTTTTCTTTTTTGCCAGAGACATACATAAATATATTTCAAAATGAGATATGTCAAGTCCTCCGTTCTAATTTTATTTGTTTTTTTTTTTAAATCGAACGGCCTAACGGGCGTATTAATCTTATATGTTTTTTTCCTCATCGTATATGTTGTAAAAGCATTATCTGAAAATAGTTAGATCTGTAGATAGTAGATGATAAGGCTTCATTATCTATAGACTATAGGATATGAGGATCTTCGTTAAATAAAATTAGATATGATGAACTGATAAACGATAAAACTAAATGTATGGTTTGATCTATTTGATTTCTGCAAATCGGTTTTTAGTTAGGTAATGAGATTTTTAATGCTGAAACTTATGTTGAAAATATGGCCTTAATTGTAATCACCATGAGAATTCCATGATGATTAAGTAAGTTTGCATGTCCAATTATGAAAGTAGTACTCAGTAGTCACCGCAACCACACAACCTCTTAAAGGTTTTAAAATGACACACACACACACATTGCACACACATATATAGTATATGTGTGTCATTATTCATGCAATATTGTTTTTGCGACTCATGCAATATTATTTGTAACAAACTATACATATATATATATATTCTAAATTGCATGAGTGGTCTTCGTCACGACAGATGTATCTTTAATCTTCACGTAAATGTCTCGGGTCCATGCAAAATCTATCTTTCGTCTTGTCTTTTTACTACTTTACAAGGTTCCCTTCTCCTTTTTCACTTTTCCTCCGCCTTATAAATATAAATTTATATTTAAAGAAATATTCTTCGCTTACGCTCCTATACTATAATTATTTTGGGCAATCGTCAGAATTATTTAACTTCTCTGAGATGCACAAACTCTCATGACATGATAACAAAGATACATAAGATTCCTCTTGAAATATACGTACGTTTTTTTTGTACTCATCGTCAACGTCATAATCGTCAAAGGCTTTTCAAAATTTGTTGATTCATGGCTGTATGTTAATTTATTATTATTAATTTTCATACTTTTGTTTTATCATTACGTTTAACAAAATACACATAAGGTCAAACAAAAATAAGATAGTCCACACAATCAAGTATACAGTATTTGAGACATCGAAATAGGAAAATTGAGTCATAAAAAGCGTTAATAGGTCATCATTTTTCATAAAAATGTAATCTATCAATATATATATATATATATGTATATAGCGCCAAATAGATTTATTTTCTAGCTCAATAATTCATCAAGACAATTATATTGACAAATGTTTTATTCATTTACAAAATCAGAAATTTTGTCACATCACGGTAACGATAATGTCATATTTCTTTTGGAATGAATAATTCTTTCTGTAAAAAGTGTGAGTCACATCGTGAGAGAGCTTGAAACCCTTAACCTGTTGTTGCGCCAAATTAAGCGGGACTGATATATAGGGTAGATTCCAAACCGATAATTATGTTTTATTAGTTAACCTTTGTAGGTTTATATCAGTTTTTTTAGGTTATGTTAGACAGTCTCATTTAAATATTCTTTTCTGAAGCTAAAGTGAAACAAATTTTTGGCTAACTCCATTAGACACATCGCATAATACCTCACAGGTGATTGTATTTTCATCACATTCATAGTAACATTTTTTCTTATTTTTCTAAACTTAAACTGAAAAGATCTTTAGTTTGATTTGATCCTATTACATATTATAAAAACGGTGTACATGTATTACATAAAACATCGATATACAGTTCCCTGCATCTATATCATTTTAAAAACAATAGTATAAATTCACTTGTAAAGCATAAAATTGTGACGAATTATAACTTTATAAGCTTGAAATTTTTAAAAAGTTTACATTCAAAATATGTAAAAAACAAAAATAATCAAACACTATGGTATCTAAAAAAACTAAAAGATTTTAAGTTATTATGAATAACATTTTCAAATTTTCAAAGTAAGACATGAGGCTAATTTGGCAAAAAAACATAATTCAAACAATCAAAATTCTTCGGCCAAAACCATTTTCTTGTCGTAGATCCTTAAAATAGTATAAGCTTCTTTAGTATGCCTGTATAGTTATTTCAAACCTATATAAGACTATCCGAATCTAGGTACGATATTATTTCACATATTTCCGATAGACCCATTGATTGTGATTCAATTTCATAAACTATAAAATATAGACGTATATTAAACCTTTTTAATTTTCAAATTTTCGTTACAACAAAATTTCAACAACATAAAATCAAAAGAAAAATATTCAAAACATAGATGAATACTATTCTTTAGTCTACCATAGCATATGCAAAACCCATGGGATGTTGGAATACACGGGGGACAAAAACATCTGAATTTGACAGATCTATCTCACAAAGCACCATACCGGTCCACACCACTCCACATTTCAAAATTTTATCTTATTTATTTATTTATGTTTAACGGCTACAAAAGTATTTGGAAATTAATATTATAAATAACTTTAAAAAAGATCTATACAAGGGAAAACCAATAAAAGGTAGCCATGTGGAATACTTTTATCCACGTGGATGCCTCAATCTCCTTTGGCAAAACAAAGAGGACGAGTCGTGGTGGGACCCCACATTTGAAGAGTATCTCGTCACGTGAACTCCCCACGTGCCACTGACATCATCGCTCTTCCTAAGCGGCGCCGTTTTGATCCACGTGTCGTAATAGTCCGTCGTCGTTTCAGTCACGAGCGTTTCGAGAATCCCTCGCTCGATCTCCGTGACGATTCCTTCGCCTTCCTCTTCAAACGCTTGTGTCGCCGTCTCCGGGAAATCTCCGGCGACCAGAGTATCAATATCTTCGAGAACTAAACACTCGGCTGACGGAAACTGTTCGATTCTCCGACTCAATTCGTCGATCAGCTCCGATCCTATAAGATTCCTCCGAGATTTAATCGGGTAACGGCAAACCCACGGTTTCAAATTGATGTGCGGCTTTAAGATATCGGCGAGGATTTCATCGACTAAATGGAACAGTAGTTTCCGATTGCATCGAAGAGCTAGATCTTCCTTCGAATTTCTAGGTCTGCTCGATGTAATGGCGAAATGCTCGAGAAAGTAGAAGATCGATGGATCGAGTGGGTGTGAAGGAGAGAACCATTTGGCGTATGAGATTGGTGTATCTCTGTCGATTCCAGTTCGTCTTAGGGTTCTTGTTATGTACTCTAACTCGCCGCCGGCGATTGGTGCAATGTGCGTTTGTGATTGGCTCGGAAAACTAGAAAACTCTGATGATGCTCTGTTTCTCGATGATTGCGTTTCTCTGAGCTTTGACGCATCAGCATATACGTTTGACTGGAAAATTTTAGAATGAGAAAAAAAAACATTAAAGAAACTTGGTTAAACATTAAATATCCAAAAGGATATGGGAAGCATTGATTACCGATTTCTGTGGAGATGAATATTTCTTCTTGATGGTGTGAAGAGAGGGAACACTAGAGAAGTTTATGAGATCATTAATGGAGAGAGGAGTTTTCTTGCAGGAGGACCTGTCTCCTTGAATAAGAAGAAGACCATTGTTCTTGTTACTTGTTGCTGGTGATCGAACAAACGGTTCCTCCTGCATTGTCTGTGGCGGCTTCACTAACCTCGGCTTGAAGTTCTCTGGTTTCTTGCATTTCTTGGCAGACTTGCTCTGTTTTTCTTTCTCTTCACCCTGGGGCTCTTCTTGAACTGTTGGTAACCTGGTCTTGTCTTGAACCTTCACTGTCGTCTCCAGAATCTTGGGAACAACATTATCTGTCTGAGGTGATGAGGTTGGTTTGGTTTTGGGGATTTCAGTTAATGCTAATCTCGGGGATGGTGAATCATGAGTGATGATTGTGATCTTAGAAGCTTTCTTAGAGTCATGGAGCTCTTTTGATTGTTGTTCTTTGTTGCTTCTTGTGGTGTTGGTTATGTCAGTTCCCATTCTTCTTCTCCTGCTAACGTTCTCCTTCAACTGCATCACTATCTGTCTAGCGTACCCTCGTGGACTCCGATTCTCTTTATCTTCGTGTATCTTCATCTCTTTAACCCTCGTGAACCTGACATTGTGAACACCAGATTCTCGCTCAGACGACATGTTGATGTTGTTGTCTCTGAGATGAAGTGAAGAACGTTGGTGTTCGTAACAGTTGACGTCGACGGATCTCCTTCCGAGTGAAATCCTCGGTGTCTCGGGAAGAGATCGTGTGCCTCCGTCGATAGAGTTTCTTTGGAGAGAGTAATGTCTGTGTTTGTTGGTGTGAGAAGATCTTGTTGGTGTCTTGAGATCAGTTAAGGAAGAAGAAGAAGACGATGGAGTAGGAGATGATCTGTAGTTGTCCGGAACAAGATCAAGACCCATGAGCCTAGCGACCAAAGTTGGTGTCTTTACACTCGGAGAATATGATTCAGTGGCTGCAATAGACGATGACGACGATGATGATTTTGCTTGTGGCTTTGTCTTGATTTTAATACCCATCTGGAATTTTATGATTAAGGTCACTCATGAGTATTAGAAAGAAAAAAGAAAGAAACTTTTGAGGAACCCAAGAAGATAACAAAACAGAAAGGAATTTTTAAAAGTTTTAATCACTAACCGAGATATTTAGATTTCCATCTTTTCTTGAAGGTGAAAATGGAGTCTCCTCCTCCTCCTCCGTTGATTCCAAGCTGTTTCTCGGTGCATCTACGCCTGAGTTTGGTTTTATCAGAAAATCAAATAATGTAGATATATAGAGATTGAAAAGTGAAAGAAAGAAAAAAAAAAGATGGTACCTTTGGGAAGATGAAGATGGTGGTGGTTAATGGGAAACTGTAAATGCTGCAAATCGAAAATGTTAAATACAGCACTCATGCATCCCGCCGCCGTTGCAGTATTCCCGGCGGGAGACGGCGGCGTCGTTGTGATGTCTTTCTTTGACTTGCTTGAGGATTTCTTCTTCGCTCCTCCTCCTCCGAGCCAAGACCAGTCTCTTCCCATTTTTTTTTTCAGCTTAAGGATTTTGCTCTGTTGTCTGTGTGTAAAATTGGTTTTGTGACTTGAGGAGGAAGAAGGAGAAATATGGAGTGGGGAAATGGTTTTTTTTTTTAAGATTAAATTAAATTTATATAGACATAGCTGAGAGAAAGTAGATCCAATGACCGCATAAATAAATGTACAATCTCTATTTGTATAATATTCGGTAGGCTTTTTTTTTTTCCAGCTATATTTTTCTCGTAGGCTTGTTTTTTTAAGGAGAAGTTTGTCAAATGTAAAATCAACCAATATTTTGAAAGAATACAAAGATGAACAAACTGTTTTTGGTTAAAAAAGGGTAAGTAGGGGCCTGCTGGTTTTGGCTTCTCTGAAATTTATACGCTTGGTATTCTGTCGGTATCACATAATTTAAAACACCAATCCTGTATGTATATTTTTTAGCGAGAAGACAAAAAAAAAAACACATTTCTAGCTATTTTCTGAAATTTATACGTGATGTAGAACTTGAACCAGTGTCGAAAAAAACGCGAAAATGATTTTGTCATCGTTTATTGTTGGCAAAAGCAAAACAAATCACATCACTCGTTGATATCGTTATCACTATAGTCTATCGTGATCAAACGAACAAACAAGACCATAATCTACAATAACCTGCATATTTGTAGCTTAATTTCATGTATTTTGTTTTTTAATAAACCATATTTTTCAAAATATTTGATCAAGTATGCTTTCACAATATAGACAGATTCAGACCCACAATCATAAGTCATATAAAGATATGTCATGGAGTGTATTCGAATGATAAAACTTATTCATACCAATATAATTAATAATACAATCTGTGTAAGACTCGCAACTATAACACTACTCAGGTTTTATATATATAGAAAGGTCCTCAAAAACAACTAATTTAAAAATACTACTGAAAAGCCCAAATTACAATAAGATTCGTACACAAACTCCATGGCGGTGTTACCGAACAACGAGGGGATCTTCAATCGTGACCCTTATGTTTCAAACCATGACGTCTTCCTCCTTTCAAAAATTTTATCCTATCTTTTATTTTGACTTCCTTTCTCCCACTTAAATACCATCCATTTAATAACCATTAAACAAGTGCAATATATATGATCTTATCTATCAATAAATGTGATGTGAATATGTGATAATCACCACCTATAGAATAGAACCATTTAATAATGAGTAGAGTAATAATTTGTAATTGGGATCACAGCTACCGTAATGACCGTTGTTTGATCGTCACTCGTATGACTATTAATAATTTTCATTATAGTTTTACGTATATAATGTTCGAATGTATTGACAGTATCATATTGGTTCCACGCATACGGATACCCATAATTACTCTTCCTTAGATTGTATGTATATACAGTAAAAGAATTTCAGCTAGCTGTGAAAGTAAAACAAAAATAACCCATATTTGTGTATAGCGCACATGGCACATATAATTAAAATGATACTATTTGTGTACAATGTAAATTCATAAATGAAGAGAAGACTGGACCATAAGATGACTAAATTTAATTGAGTGTGGCCAATACAAATCACATGAATTTTTGTAGGTATGGTCATAGTACGATCCAAATTAAAAGTTGTCCTGATATTTTAAACAAAACTAAATACAAAAAACAGAGAAAGGACTGATTTTCTTATGACCGTGCTTAAAACAAACAAAACGAAGAAAAGAGAAAAGAACCAATGCGATAAATTGTCTCTCCAGTCTCATGCTAGTTATGAAAGCTCCCAGTTCACATTTCTGGATTTTTGTTCTATAAACATCAATGCAACCTTCTGCAATTTGCTATCACCTATAAAGGACCACACCTTCTAATATATATATGGACCATTTTATGATATGGTTTTTTTTTGTCAAGATTCCAAGTAGTAATCACCATTCAAACCTCATTATTAATATTTATCTTATATATCCAGCATTTAATGGATTTTTATATTTGATTAAAATTTCGGTAGTCTCAGTCTTAATCCTAGAGTTAATTATTAGAAATACATCATCGTGCCACAAACTTATAATTGTTAACATGTATAGAAGATTATATTTATTTTTGACTTGTCACTGTTCTCAAATAAAATACATGATCATGCATGTGAATATTGTTAACATGTATGGAATATGCGATGATCGTTTGTTAATCAGTCTAATTTAGTGGTTGTCACTAAAACAGTCGAAATCATAAATTAAAAATTTTTGAATATTTTATATAGCTGTAAAATCTATTTGGTTATTACATGTTTAAAAATAGTTGGATCTTGATTTCGAAACTTTGGTTTAGAAAACATGCAATGATTGTTTGTACGTATTTATAATTAAATGCCGAGTGAGTGAGTCGAAACTTAGGCAAGATTGAAAAAACTAATGAACAAAATGTTGATATATATATATATATATATATATATATATGCAATTTGATATTTATCTTGATGGATTCGAAAGTTCAGAGCCCAGTGGAACAGTACTAGAATGTGATAGCGAAAATAATAAGTTTGTAGAATTAATGTTGTTGCATCGATCATTTCTTCCGTATGGTAGAGTGGTAACATTAATGTGCTAAATAAGCAGTGGATGCTATAAGGAGTAGGTCTATATTGTAAAAAATGGAACATAGCTCTTGCAATTAAATAAATTTCATGTAAATGTGCACTGTGAATCTGTGACTAAACTATTGTGCCCACAAGTTGGTTCTTCCAAATCTATACCTAATTTCAAGACGTGACTAGATCCTCAAGACCGTACAATTCAAATTCATATTCCAACGATGTTAATAAATATTAAATCACGAAAACCGATGACATTGAATCATAAACGAAAATAAAACATAGTCGTTTAACTAGAAAAATATATATATATACTCAACGATTGGAACAAAAAAACAGTACTAGAGAGCATTTAGCATTAATTTGGAACTTGTTTGACGATTATGGTTTTGATATTGAGTTGCACTAGAGATTATAGGTTTTGATCGGTAAGTTGTGCAATAGTGAAATTGTGATTTTATACGATTCCACAAGTATTTTATCAATTAGTCAGTGCAAAATAGAAAGTTAAACGCAAAAAACGTAAATATGTATGCTGACTAGGAAAGCAAGTTAGCATCCTCTTTATGATGTATAGCTAGCTTCCATTGAATCAACGATGCTCAAATAAGCTTTTTAAGGTTTCAGACAAATTTTTGTTGTATAGAAGAAAACACAGGGTCTTGTTTTATGTAGCAGATATAACATTTTTTCAACAAGCTTTCTTTTCTCTAGGGCAAAATTTTTAACTTCCACACTTGTTAGGGGAGATTATATATCATCTGATTGATTATGGAAACTAATTAAGTGTAAATGCGTAACGTGAAAGAAGTCTAACATATGGTGTCGTGTCATTGATCGTTAGAGATGCTATGTTGTCTTTCACACTTATGATCACTTATTCACTTTGGTTTGAATATATTTCATATATTATTTTAACTGTTCACATTTCTTATTATAGTAAGTTATTAACCGTAAAATCTACGGCCAACACTCATCTACGTATATATCCTCTTAAGTCTTAATTATTCAAGATGACATTTCATGGGTCCAAGATATTGGGCTTTTTGTATATATTATAATCTTTAAGGACAGTCATATTGGGCCTCCAATATAACTTTTTATTCTATGAATTGCTTAAAATAAAAAACTGGAAAAGAAAAAAAAAAACAAAAAACGTTACAGAGAGGTGGAAATGAAATTTCCGATGGAACTAAACAGAGCATGACGCTTGGAAGGATCTCCGATCTCAGCACCGTGGACGTCGCCGTCGGTAAAAAGCTCCACCACTTCCACTCCCTTCTTCTTCATTAACTTCGCCACATCTCTCTGCCGATCTACCATCGGATCTCTCTCTCCTCCTATCACCATCACCTTCCATCTCAACCGTCCGATTTTCTCCAACTCCTCCGATCCATCTCCCACCGTCGGATTCGAATACTCATGATCCCGATCAACGCCGACGGGGAGACAAAGATCCCAGAAAACGTCGGTGACTATAGGCGGACAAACCTGATCGTTCACAAGTCTAATCTCAGATCCGCACCGCTCTTCTCCGCCGAAGAACGGATGGTGTAGAATCAATCCACGGATCTGTAACGGACTCAGATCCGCGACGGATTCGGCGGATCTTAACCCGACGTTGTAAGCCAAGTTCCCTCCGGCGCTCGTACCCATGAGGAACACATTAGAGAAATCGGCGTGAGATCTGATCCAATCCTCGCCGGAGTTTTTGATCCACTCTAGCGCCTCCGCACCGTCGTCGTATGCCGCCGGGAGTCGGTGCTCGGGAGCTAGCCGGTAGGAAGGGGATGCGACGATCGCGTTGAGATCTCGCGCCATGTTGGAGCAGAAGTCATGGAAGAGCTGCAAGTCGACGCTGCAGAGGATGAATCCGCCGCCGTGGTAGTACACCACGAGAGGGAGTTTTTGAGACGGAGCGCCGCCGTCGAGGGCGGTGGTTGGAAGGTAGAGACGAATCCATGTTGACTTTGACTGGTTCACGGGGATGTCTTTGGATACGACGGGGTTTAGTGGGGAAGGATCAGGTGTGGCTGAGGCGCATGGGAAGTTGGTGAGGTCGCGAGTGATGGAGCCATCTGGATTCTTGACGATGTTGAGATAAGCGTAAGGATCAGTGACTGGAGATGGATTGGACATTTTTTTGTGGTCTTTGGATCTTTTTGGAATTTTTGGATTATGTAACTGATTCTTCAGTCTCGTCTTTTATATAATATTTCCAATAAGACAATAAATCTACAATAAGATAATGACATATTGACATTGCAAGTGGAGAAAACGTAATGCTCTTTATTTTCTCTTTTAGTGCATTAAACAAGACCCAGGTTCAGAAGTCGTTAACACGTTATCACGTCTCTTTTCATTAATCGAGAAGTTGCAGATTATTCAAAGGCCAAATCTAATTTGAAGTTTGACAATTATATATCAGGGAAGCACAAAGATAGTAAACAAAAAAAAAATCTGTTTCACAAAATTTGATTTTTTGGATATTTCACATAGATGAAGAAACTAATAATACTTAATTATAAATATTTTTCTTCTTTCATTACACACTTTTTTTCATAGCTATAAACCAGTAATAATTCAACAATCTCAACTAATATCTCTTAAAATTTATCATTTATCATCTTCAACTTATAAAAGAAAAATAAAAATTCTAGAAAATCAAACTTTGTGAACAAAATAAAAATCTAGAAAAGTAATTAAGAGAAATGTGAGTGAGATGAATTAATAATTTTATCATCATTATCATCCAAATTACACAAAACTGATAGGGTAGCGAGGACAACAGAAGCTTCCCCTGGAGTTGTTTATAGAAAAAGAAAAAGGAAAAACAGAGATAAAAGGGTTTAAATAAGAGTGATCACCATCTCTGGCCTCTACCACCACCACCACCACCACCACCACGGCCAAATCTGCCACCGCGTCCTCCTCTGTTGTTACCAAACCGATTATTTCCAAATCTTCTTTGCATTGGTTCTCTCTCTTGAAGTTTAGGCAACTCCTTAACAACCTCCAAGCTTACACTTCCAGCATTCTTTTGCCCAGCAGCAATGAACAGGTCCACGTCTGATTGTGCAACATCGAAAACCGCACCCTGTCCATCTGCTGTTAGAGTTAACCCTTCAATCGAATTTACCTTGTCTTCCGGTAAGAATCTCCTCAGTGTAGTAAATGCAGCTCTGCGGAACCACAAATCATCATCTTAGTATTTGCTTTGAATGTCAGCAAAAAAAGACTTACACAAGCAGAGTAAGAAAGAGAGAGCAACTTACGATGGACTGTACATGGGTCTGCCTGCTTCAAGAAGTAGTGTGACAGAGTTCTCCATTGATGTTAGAACTGACCTTTTCTTAATCTCAGTGAAGCCCTGCAAATAAATGACGATTCATAACTCTTGAAAACTTGCTTTGAGAGAGAGAGAAAGAGAAAAGGTGCTTCAAAAGAAAAATCATTGTGAGACCAACCGCAGTTTTTGCAAGAGCTTTTGCAAGGAGTACTTCTGCTGATAATCCCGAAGTTTCTAACAATTCCTTGGCAGCCGCCATAAACGCAGGAACCACACTGCATTTAACATTTTGTTAGGCATATATATATATGTGGCATTTCCAAGTGGTTTATTAGATTTTACAAGAAGACTCAGGTGTAAATGTGTCAGCATACCTGTCACAGACTTGTGTAATTTTCTCAGCTGCTTCCATACCAACAGCTTTGGCAATATCACTAGGCTGTGGCGCAGAAATTCGCTCAAATTTTATACCAGCTTCTTTTTCAATCTTTGATATGCCCGACTTTCTAGAATCATAAAGCATAACCGCAATTCCAGTGTTGCCTGTAACAAATATAAATAAAGATCATGACAACGATCAAGCAAACCTAACGCTATCAAGAAACTGCACATATTATCAAATAGCCTTCAAAATAATATCTGTGCTTTACCAGCTCTTCCAGTTCGGCCTGAACGATGGATATAATCTTCAACATCACGTGGAGGCTCACACTACATAAGAATCAAACAATATGTCAGAACACCAACGAGGGGAATTAAACAAGAATGATAGAGCTCACGGGCTGCCACTAACCTGGATAATTAACTGCACGTCATTGATATCTAGACCACGGGCAGCAACGTTCGTAGCAACCAATGTCGAAAATTTACCTTTTCTAAATCCAGCAAGAGTAACCTACAATCACAGGACTCAAAGTTAGCAAGATTATACTGCTTTGCCTGGGCAATTCAACAGGATAAGATGAAAAAATTCATTCTCCCTACTTTACATTACCTATTAAGTATGTTTGAAATGAAAACAAATAACCTACCTCACGTTGTGATTGCTGTATGTCACCATGCAAAGGTCTTGCCCCAGGCAACAAACCAGAAAGCTCAGAAGCTTGATCTTTAGTCTCAGTGAAAATTATGGTATTACCCCCACTGAATTCCGAAAGAAAAAGTTGGATAAGATTTAAAACAATTACAACTCCAGAGAAATAATTACGCAAGTATGAAAAGATACCTGCTATAGCAACTGATAATATCAGGAATCAACCGAGACATGGCCTGCTTACTACAGGGAAGACAAATGTGTCTAACACTATTACTGGCCTTCATTTTATCATTACCAACAAGATCAATAGTCTTCTTTTCTGGTTTAAGAAACCTAGCAGCAATCTGGTAGTAGCAAGAAAAAATATCAGGCATATATAGAGAGAAAAGGAATGGAGCCGCAAATCACAACAGCTTAACTCATGAAAAAAATAGTAAAACGAAATGTTTAAAAGGGACGAACTTTTTGCACCCATGATGGCAAGGTAGCACTGAAGAGAAGCGTCTGGACCTTCTTAGGGTCCTCCACCTTCCCTGAAGAATAGAGAAATAAAAATATCAATATTTGAAGAGTTAGTTGCTTCATAGAATGAAAAACAGAAACCAGATTACATACCTAATATAAGTTCAACATCATCAACAAATCCCATTCTCAACATTTCATCAGCTTCATCAAGAACACGGAATTGTAGATAGCTCAGATCAAGGTTTTGCCTTTCAATATGATCCTGCAATGAATATCAATACAAGGTCAAGAGAGCACACAAACAAAAAAATGATGAGTTGGTTTCAGGGAAACTACAATTTCGCTCCAGAAATTTGAGTTAAGAAAAGAGCCAAAGACATACCTTGATACGACCAGGAGTCCCAACTACAATGTCAACACCTCTCTTTAATTTATACTCCTGAGGTTGGTAGGGATCACCTCCATAGACACAGCACGAAGTTAACCCTACTGCTCCTCCGTATGCCTCAAAGTCAGCAAACACCTACAAAAGAACACAATGACATCAATGAAAAGTAAAGAAGCACAAAACAAATTTGCTCCAAATCTTGTAATATAAATACATCTGCTCAAAATCCTTACCTGCTTGGCCAATTCTCTGGTGGGTAAAAGTACCAAAACACTTGGTGGCCTGCCGTATCCATTCTTCCTCTTGCTTTGAGCAGGTCCATTGATCAATGATTCCAATATAGGCAACACGAAAGCCAATGTTTTACCCTGCACCACATATGATCAGCTCAACTTAACCAAGCAAGAGATTCACAATACTGAGGCAGAGAGTCTCGCAAATTTCTAATTAACAGGAAGCTGAAAACTCATAATGATACAAATATTTTGAAATTTCGATAACTTTCAGCTCAGAAGAAGAAGTCATTGGATAAATTTAGGCACTTTTTAAGAATCGACTTCCTCAGAAGTACTCAAAAGCCTCGAAGTTGGACAAAACATAAAATCAACTGAACAATTCACTACAGAGACCAGCACATTATAATTTAAAATAAATAAAAAACTAATTGCAAAATCAAAATCAACCAATACCTGACCAGTGCGAGCGCGTCCAACTAAATCAGCACCATCGAGAACCATATCAAAAGTCATCGCCTGAATCGGGAAAAGGGCTTCGATACCCTTCTGCTTCAGCTTCTCCCTCAACGGAGCTGAAATCCGAAACCTGGAAACGGCGTTGGGGTTATCGACCTCGACATCCTCTACACCCAGCTTCACCTTCTTGCTGCTCTTCTTCTTCTCCGACTTGGAAGTCTCCGGCTCCACCAACTCCGAGCTTGAATCGCTCTTCGCCCCCTCCGATTCATCTACATCCGCAGCCTTGCGCTTCTTCTCCTTCTTCTTACTCTTCTTCTTCTCAGACTCATCTCCATCAGAATCGGAGAGTTTCAGCTTCGCCTCCTTCTTCCCCTTCTTGGAATCCTGCTCTGGGGTGGCTTCCAAGGCTATCTTCTTCTTCATCTTCTTCTCCTCTTTCATGTCGGATAAAGCTAATGAAGGCATTAGAATTTTTCGGAGGCGAAGGTATAGAATCTCTCCTGCTTCTGAGAGGTTGAGGCGGTGGAAACTGAGAAAAGCAGGGAGAGACTAAAGAGGAGGAGTAAGCGTAGGGTTTGGCCACTTCTTATAGTTTCGCGCTTTTCAGAGGCGCCGTTGATCCAAAACCCTAATTAAGCTTTAACTGCAATCTAGTCCGTTGAGTTTAGGTCTAACTTGCCGTTTTTTTATTGGCAAGGGAGAATGCGTGTCGGCTTCCGATCCCCCTGAATAGGTCAAAAATATCAAATTATACCTTTTTCTTTTTACTATAGCTAATGGTAACTTTTCTTCTCCACTTCTAATGGTAACCCAACAAATACACAAAAAGTTAATTCATATTTGGTTTTTACATCTTTTGGTCTTATGTTTCTGGAATTTCAATTATTCCGGTATTTCACCTTGTATTTCGCCTTGTTAATATTATCAAATTCTGATAACCAAAAAAAGAAGAAAATGTGTTCTTTCCGGTTTTAATTTCGATTATGTATGGACACAACAAGATCAACACCTGGTGTGGAACCAAATGACAAACAAAATCTACACACTCTGTAAACTTGAACATAGCTTTATACTAGTTATTACAGATCTGAAGGAAATCTTCCGAGGCCTATATATAGACCCAATCTCCAAGGAACAGTACACATTTATTTATTCTGCATAAGTTCCCTAATATGTTCACACAAAAACCGACATTAAAACCAGAACCATAACAGCTTACAAGAGCAAGCTTGAACCGGCGACAATAAACCCGAGGAGTATGAGCACGATCCTTCTCAGACTAATGGCTAGGACACTAGAATCCGAGGCGCTGTTGCAGTAATTGAAACCATACCATATACTCTCAGGGACGTGCGTGTTATAAGGGAAAGTGACCGCTTTGGAGCCATGGCTATATATCTTAACATTCTCTGGGATCCAACCATCTGGACCAGACCTGTAGAGATACACATAGCATATTTGGTATGTGCATGGTCCGTTTATCTGAAACGTATCTGATGAACATTGCTCGAACGTCCTTGTAGATGGATCGTCAAGCCTTGGTGCGTATATCTGTTTAATGAAACCCGAGCTGTGAGTTTAGCAGAACCAAATAACAAATACAATAATAGACTCGACGAAACTAGCTACAGCCAAACTAATCCACTGAGACTTTCATCTAATTCCAAAGATGTGTATATTCATCTCGAACTCAAATGTTCCAATAATAGAACTCAAGACACCAAAGCCAAATTACCGATCGTCAAGCCTTGGATGCTAGATTTTTCCTATACCAGTGAAAATGCTATGCATATTCAGTAGCTAACTAGCTATCAAGAACTGACCAGGCCATGCTAGATGAGCTCCTACATACAGAACAATTCTGACCAAATCCAAGAATCAGATACAAGAATCAACCAATTCTGTGAAATTAACTTTGTATTGGGATGAAATATTCAAATGGAACCCTAGGCCTAATCGATTGAAAATAAAGGTCTTCTAATCAAAATCTTACCAAATCAAAATCAATTGTTCTGAAGAAACCAAAATTGTCACTCAGGCGGGAAATCTAACCTGGTTTCCGTATCCATCTCCGAAAGCGATGCTGATCTGGTCGCGCGTGTACCTCGATGACGAACAGCTCGTCGAGATGATCACGGTGTAAGAACAACTAGTCCCCACTCTCTGCATCCTCGAGCAAAATTTTACACCAATACAAGGAAAAACATAAGTTTCTCGGGAAAATCCTACACCGGAGTACGAGAAACCCCTCGAATTTCTCCGGGTGAAGTTCACACGGAGATGGAGGATGAAAGAGAGCGAACCTGGATGAGGCTGACATTGAAAGATTCAGCGGCGTGAGGCTCCAAGACTTTCGATTCGGAAACAGAGAGATAGGTTGAGAAGACGACGAAACAGAGGAGAGTGAAGAGACGTCTTGAAACCATTTTCGTGCTTCTCGAAATCGCTCGCAGAGACGAAACTAAGCGAAACGAAACAGAATTCGAGAAGATTAAAAAAAAAAAAAAAAGGGTATCGAACCAACTCGAGCTGAACCGGATCTGACCAAGCCAAATTCAAACGATTTCACTCGCGGTTTGAAACATTTCCGCTCCAATAACCTGCGTATTTTTTTTTCTCTTAGAACCGAATTAAATGGAAACGCTCACATGTCACGAGCCACGTCTCGGTGTCATATGTTAGCTGTTAGGTAGGAGAAAATGTAATTTATGGTACTTTGTTTTTGTGTAGAAAATTGATTAGAGGTTTAGACAAATATCTGTGGGTTATTTATGTCTGAGTCACTGCTTCTAATAAATTACGCATCGACTATATTTATTGAGAAGCCATAGATCTCACATAGTCACATTTTCCGGTCTTCCCTTACGGGTTATGAATTGTCGACTGTGAATGTGTTTATATTATATGTTTCCATGAGAATTATGTTTACTCAAGAAAGTTATTTTTAGCTACCTTTACGTGTATACGTGCAACTGTTACAGCCGGTGCAACCATTTAGATTCATAGTCAAGTTTTACCTTAAAATTATCGAAAAGAAGTACGGAAATATCGTGTCAAATTGGAAATCATTTTTAGTAAATCTCTAGTTAAAGTTTTGAATGATATAATTAAGATTTGACAAGAACGTCGTTGTAAATCACAAAAAAAAAAAACACTGATGCAGCAGGCTTCATATGGAATAGTACTATAAAATAGAACTCATACATTATTAACTAATTAACGTTTCCACAAACTCCAACAACAAACTAGAACAAAGGGATTACACGATACTCTTAAGTCATTAAGTAAAATACTTAACTAAAAGTCTAAAATCTCAAACAACCACAGCCGCAAACGCAAAAACAATCGCAGCAAACGCAACATTAACCAAACTCTCACGACCTCCTCCACGCCTAGAGGCGGCAGACGGCGGCGGCGGAGGCCTTGGCGGGGGGATAGAAGGTGTGTGGGGAGGAAAATAAGGTGGCGTCGGCGGTGGAACGGAGGGAGAAAACGGAGGGAAATCCGGCGTAGGCGGTGGCAAACCGGTGTTGTTGCAATTGTTGTGGCCGTACCAAGTGTTTTCAGGGATGTTTTTGTTGAAATCGAATTTCACGGATTTGGAACCTTCCTCGAAGACCTCGACGGTCTCCGGGATCCAGCCGTCAGGACCCGAACGGTAGATGTAGACGGAGCAGATAGTGTTGAGACATTGACCTTTGACTTGGAATGTGTCCGATGAACATTTCTCGAAACCTCCTCCTTCACTTAACGGTTCGTCTAGTCTCGGTGCAATTACCTTAAGAAAACCCAATAATATTAACATATTTACAATCTTCCTAATGAATTTGACACCTTTATTTATGGAGTATTATTAGAAAAGTTACACATGTGTGAGAGTATATCACTCAGAATGCACACATGCGGCTTGAAGTGTGCAATCCATTTGTTTTTCTTTTTCTTTTTAGATATAACCGATGTAACAACTAATCATCTAATATAAATCCTTGTGCTATACAAACTCGGTTTTATATATACATATATATATATATATATATCATATACTATGGTTTCGGTTCATATTTGATTTCATATTTTTGACTTATCTAAAATGAAAAAAAAGTTTAATCAAACTAAGCCTCGTTTCAGTTCGAATGGCTTTTGGATTATCCGGATTTAACACGCATCCATGGTAGCAACTAGCAAAGAAGATGGAATATGTTAGGTTTTGAAATTGATACAAACAGAAAGATTTGGACCCACACAGGAGATAGAAGAAGAAAACACAAGCAGAGATTTGTTGTAATCGAACCTTGTTACCGTTGGCGTCAGCCAAAGCAACAGTGATCTGATCCCTTGACCAATCAGGGGAGAGACAGCTTGTGGTGACAATCACAGTGTAAGGGCAGCTTTCTTCTTCATCATGAAGAACAGAAGATATTAGTGGCTGGTCAGAGAGGGAGAGAATGGGATTAGTGAAGGAGAGGAAAAGGAGGAGGATGGATGAGAGAGCGAGGAACTCCATTGTAGTGTTCATGAGAGAGAGAGGTGAGAGTTATAAGAAGACTTGAGGTAAGTTTGTGTATTATAAATTGGCTAATGTTACCTTCTTACTTATAACACTTGGCACAACACAACCCACTAACAAGCCTAGAGCTACAACATAGACCAGGAAAAATATCTTCCTGAAGAAAAGTGATAGTTAAGTTGGTAGACTTTTTTTCAGTACTACTAGTTTTGAGTGTTGGTATTAATATCTGAGGAACAGAGATATTTACTTCTGAAACGAAAATTATATTAAATAAAAGGAGTATCACTTTACTTTATAATTTAGACTATTTAGTAAGTAGTTTTTAGTTATTGGACATGAAAAAATATATTTCATTAGCAAATTTAGACGAATAAATATAGTTAAATAAATATTACACCAACCCTTACCCTCCCACCCTTTATTTTCTGAAGGTCATGTTTTTTGGGTGTAAAAGATTTTGAATAGTGAAATCTTTCAGAAATATTCTTCATTATTAATATTTTAGAATGATGCTAGTCTCTATTGATTTTTTTCTTGTTCTATACTTTTGGTATCTCCACACACACACAAAAGAAAGAAAAATCAGTAAAGGCGATATATTGTTAACATGTCGTCTTAACGATGGAAAAGTGACATACACAAACACCACCAGACTAAGTTAAACCATAAGAATGGATCCACCTTTTTTGTGGTTACAAATGTTGGATTGCTTAGAAAACATAACATTTTTTTCAATTTTTCTGCAATCATCAACGTGTCACGAGTATTACACTATTATCAAACCTAACCCCAAAATTAAAAATCTACTTCTCCTACCTACCTCCCCAAATTATATATCTTATCAAATAATCCCTGTACGTGCGAAGATGCGGGCCTCTGCTCCATTTTCACTTCACTTCCCACCTACCTAATTAGCCCAAAGATTCTTGGTAAGGGTATTTCTTCAAAGATGTAGGAAATTACTTTGGACCATGCTCGATCATGTGTTCTGTATAATAGCGTCCATGTGTACCAACCTCCTGAGTTTCAACAAAACCGCTTGGACTGCTTGTGGATTTTCAGTATGTTCCTGCTGAAAAGTTATCTGAGATTGTAAAGGCACTGATCCTCTCTTTCTCTCTGTCTATCTCTCAACAGATTTGACTTGGTCTTCATAAAGTCTGAATTTTTCTGATTCAGGCTCAAGCTGCTTTGAGTCAACCAGGTCAAGTAATCTCGTATGACGAAGAGTCTTCCATGATGAGGAACTTTTTCGTTTGCTCTTTCCATCTTTGTGCTAAAGATGTGAATATGTGAGGAAAGCTTAATTTTTGTTGAAGGCTTTTTTCGAAACAGGGTCTTTTATATCCAACCACTGCAGACGTAGATACGAACCAAGAAACTATACTCATTGTCTCCAAAAGAAAATTTATAAATGAGAACTCCACACATATAGAACAAGTATTTTTGACTACTCCATGAAGTGTAATAACAAAATTCAACTAACCAACTTATTAATCTCTCAACAAAAATCTTAAATTTACAGTGTAATCATAACTTTACCGTAGCTAAAATCTCCAAAAACCCTTATTAATAAATAAATAATCATTTGACGTGATCATCTTCCTCCTCATCTCCATTTATACCAATTCTCTTGCTCCTTGAATCTCCTAAATACTCCATCTATCGCCACATCGAATGCGTCTTTGAAAGTCTCTAACCCGTGTGGAGACTTCGCGTACACCAAATTCGGTATCAAATCGATCACTCTTTCTCTCATCCTCCTCACATCCTCTTTGCTGTACCGTTCCAACACTTCCCTTATAGACGTCGTCCCGTTTTTCACCTCGTTCCGGTCAATAAAAACCGAGTAACTATCCGGTTCGTTCGGTAAAAACCACTGATACTGCATGTAAGCGGTTCGGCGCCAGAAGAAAACCGGAATCGAACCGGCTAACATGCAGTCGAAAATCGACCGGCGAGTGAAACTATCTCCTCGAGGCTGCAAGCAGAAATCAGAGCCGAGAAACGTCTCCAGAATCGCCGACGAGCCGTTCGAGCATTTTCCTCCGGTGCAATCCACCGTCCGGCAAGCTCCACGCGACTCCTCGCAGTGACGGAGAAGCAACCCCCTGAAATCGTTCTCAATCCCGGCGCGAGGCGCTCCGGCGAAACAGAAGAGCGTTTCGCGACGGCGATTCCTGACGAAATCTTGCCATTTAACAACATCGGAGTCCGATCGAGGGTGGAATCCAGTGGGGTAAGGTACACCGACGTCAAAATGGTCCCAAGAGTTTCGCTCAATGAGAAGACGAGTGATGTTACGCATCCCCGGAGTGTAGATACAGTTAGATCCCCAATCGTCGTCTTTAGACCTGCGAAAATCCCATGTGATGCGACCCATGGTAATGAAATGATCCCAGCCGTTGGATCTATTCCAATAAGGTTGTTCCCGGACCCACTCGGTCATCATTTTGCAATGACGGTCACGATCAGTCGCCGCGTAATTGGACCAGAGATATTGACCGACGGCGAGTCCAGCGTAGAACGGGATGTAGAACGCCGTAGCGGAACCGGGATCCAAAGTCCGGCACGGGTGGTTAAGAATCCGGTTATGGAAAATGATCTCCGATACGAATTGGTCAGTCCAGAACCAAGAGGGAACCAAATCGTCAGGGATCACGCCTTTCAACGACGTCGCTTCTTTGCCGAATCCGTCGTTGGAAAGCGCGTCGCAGCGAGAGCTCCAAGGATTGAGATTGTCGCACTGTTGGAGAATCACTTCGTTGAAGATCTTGGGCATGTCGTAGACGAAAACCCGACCCGAATCGCATCGCTTGGAGTCGTCGGATTCGGGTCGGATTCGGGTGGAGAGAGGATGGTTGGAGGCTGCGGCGGCGGGGGAAGGGAAGTTTTCAGGAGAGCGACGGTGAGGGAAAGGGATGGATCGGAGAGTGAGGAAGAGGAGGAGCTGGAGAGAGAGGAGAGAGAGGATGAGCCATGTGCAGTGGCTCCGGGAGGTTGGGATGAAGGAAGAGCGGTTAACGGCCGAGTTTCCGACCGAGTTGAGCGAGTTGAAGGAGTTTTTCCGATCAATGGTGGTGGTGGTGGTGTCGGGGGTTCTGGATTTCTTGAGGAGACGTTCAGGACTTGAAGGATTTGAGACAGGAAGCATAATTATGAATTAGAGGGAAGAGGCGAGAGAGAGAATCTGTCGCCGGAATTATTGGGTCCGTTACGAAGACGGAGGTAAATCCTCCGGGAAAGGAGAATAGTTATTTGGTAGTTTGTTCTTGTGTGGTTCTCGTTAATGGCATAAAGTTAACTCAGAGAGAGAGAGCGAGAACTTTAGAGTGCTCGAAAAACGGGGAGATTCTGTTTCTTTTTTCTTTTTCTCTCTTTTTGCAATAAAACGGAAACTATATTTAATTGGTTTCTGTTGCTATCAAACTAAAATTCACGATTTTTTCCCAAAACTTTTCCGATGTCGGAAATTCTTCCCTAAACGTTGGCCAAGAAGCAGAAGTGTGATATTATTAAAAAGGAAAGCTTCTATATTTGTCTTTGGTGATACTAATTTGCTAATAATCAGCGACTAATCCATGTCTATATTGTTATCGTTAATTTTGCTTTGGTCGTAATACTAATTGTAGCAATTACATTTTCTTCGTTGTTGATATTTAGCTAAAAATTCAAAATTTTAAAATTAATTTTTGATTGTTCATCTTTTAGTCATATCATCAAAATTTATCTATAAATTTACTCCCTTCGTTTTATAATAAGTGTCGTTTTAGATTTCACTTTTTGTTTTAAAAAGAGTGTTATTCTACATTTTCAATGTAACTTTTTATTCTTATTTTTTTTATCCTTTATTTAAAGATAATAGTCTTTATAATTAAATGTTATAAAAGTATATTAATTAGAGGTATATTTGTATATTTTATTAATTTCTTAATCTGTATAAAATATGTCAGAATAACACTTATTATAAAACGGAAGGAGTATAACTTAAAATAAATATGATTCAATCATTATCATCAATCATTATAAAAAACAAAAGTGTCGCTGTTGTTTTTGAGCAAGTTAGAGGTATAGTGAAAGCTGGGAAACGAACATATGATTTTTGGTAAGAATTGATGTACAGTATAAAGAGATCTAATTTCATTGTTAAATTGGGTCTAAATAGGATAAGTTAAAAACTTTGGAAACAATTATAGAACCGATGATTAACCTCAAGGAGTTGGAGACATTACGGAGTTTGAAAGAAATGGACACGTGCCTGTGACATTGACCGTCTGTGCCGGCAACCGACAAGGGAAGACCAAAAGAGCCGGTGAATAGTGAACACTTGGACCTTAGTGTTTTAGACAACGTGTCATTGTAGAAGCAGAAACTATTATTGTAGATTTTTTTATCAGACTTTGTGTCAGAAACTAACTATTGTCTCTCTCTAACCACGTTTTTAATCCAGTATCTGGGAAATAAATCACATTAGTATCTTTCATTAAGGAATTTTATAAATGACTTTACCAAACAAATCACCGGATTTTGGTATACTAGATATTTATAAACTTTAGTATAGTGATTTCTTAGGAAAGCTACACAATTATAAATAAAAAAGGTTCTAACTAATGGAAAACAGAAGAAAATCGTGCTTATGGGACACGTGGCGATAAATCAAAGGTTTCAAATTAGCAACGGGCTACAAAGGGGGGGGGAGCTGCGCCGAAACGGTGACGTTTACGTGTAGGTGACAGATTAGAGTGAATTGTTTCGATGTTGAAAGAATTAAGTAAGCGTCATGTGAGCTTTGTGGCCATGCTTCTTTAATCCACGAGTCATGCCGCATGACGTGTCACTTACTCCAACTTTTTGCCGACAAAATTTGTTTCATTAGATTGATGATGATATTCATTTCTTTGTAAGTACTTCGTTCGATTGTCCAAACCGGTGAAAAACCGTATATAATGAAATTGAATTTTTATTCGGTTTGTGTTGATCTCAACCCAAGCACATAGTGAACTAATATTTGTTCATACCGTTTTATCAAAAAAAATACAGATAGAGAAAAACTCTTGATCGAGAAGATTTCTCAAATCCTGCTTCAAAGCAATTTGAATCTGAAAATCAAACCACTCAATCAGATTGATTGGAATGATCCAGATCAGGAGAAATAAAATTCAATTTGGTTCGGTTCAGTATTCGCCCATCTATACTGGAAAACATATCAATTGTTTCTTTTGTTTTTTACTTTAACAATATTAAGTTTAAATTTTAAAGTAAGAGCTTGTGTCAGGGTGATAATTAACAAATCACAACAAGCGTTATTTTATGGGTCAGAGACTAATACTTTATGTTAAAATTTTCGGTCAAGCGTTCACGAAAGTGTAGGCTAGTAAAGTAAACATATAATTGAGTTTAGAAGTATGGGATCGTGGTATGTGATAATCAAGAAAATAACACAAACAATTAACAATGTAATACTATACATTAATATACACTAGTCACTTCTTTTATACAACGTACATTACATTAAAGTGAACTAGTCAATAGTAAACTAATAACATTTTTTTGGCTAGCAAAAACGAAATTATTCCCGGACTAAAACTATAAGTAATATTGTCAACGACTCAAACATACATGGATACAACTCCAAAAACAAAGTTAGTATTACGCCGAATCGAACGAGCTTTAAGAGCATGTTTATCAAAGAAATTTATTGAAATTTCTTGATAATTATTATATTAATAAAGTTGAGAGAATAAAAATAAAAAAAAAACTATTAAAATCTAAAAGTAATCTCTATCCAATAGAAAGGCGCCACATCAGCATATCAGCCACAAGGATCGCTCCTTCCAATCCTTATATTATATAGTAATCGATCCTTCTCATTTAGTTTACTTTTTTAATTAAAATTGATTTTTTTATTAGAAGAAACCTATCTCGGTTTCTTTGATAATCATGGTCTTAAGTCAACGTTTATAAATAAGCATCGAAGTTCATTGTTCTTTTAGACGTCGAATCGGGTTCTTTCTTTCAAAAAATTAATGTCATTTGCCTAAAAATACTGTACGTTCCACTTGGCATGAAGATTATTCTAGAGTCACCGCTACGCCAACGCGAGAACAAGTACCGGCGTGATAAACTCTCGTGCCTGTTAGTTGTAACACTGTAAAAAAGGTTTAGCTAGGACCGTAGGAAAATAATTAACAAACATTTAGACAATTTTCTGTGTTAAATAACAATTTTTATGTTATCTAATATAATGTTTTTTTCAAAAATAAATAAACTTATATATAAAAATTTATTTAATCTCAAATTAGTCCACATATTTAGTTAAATACATTTTTGTTAATGTTTTAAACTTAAATATTTTATGCAATACATAGTAATATGTACACCACAAGATGACACTTACCGGGAATCGAAAAAGATGATACTAAACCTACTCGTCAATCCATAGTAATATATAGAGAAGGAACGTGTGAGATTAAGTTATTCTTTTATGATGTGTATAATGCTAGCTAGGTGCGTCTAACATAGACAACAAAAATTGCGTATGATAACGAAGTCGCATGGAAACACAATTTATGATAAGTTGACAAAAAAACAAAAACAAATGAAGCCAAAATATTGATAAACCATGAAAGTGTCGGTGTGAGTAAACGCGTTGAATACTGTGATCATTAGTTCTTTATTTTGGCCTCGACAAGAATCATATTTGGAAGCGGTAAAGAGATCGTTGAACGCAAATTACCGCCTTTCCGGTTATTAAAAGTATGGATTGACGAACCAAATAGTTGAAAACCAACGGTGAAATAAGTAAAGCAGGATTGCAGGAAGTTATATCAGCTGGTATCACTTTTACCGGGACGAACTTATTCATTGGTTGTTAAACCTAAGACATACCCGAACTCTAATTCTAGTACAGTTCAGTATTATTCATCATTCTAAACTAATAATGTAATCAAATAGTATTTAATTAAGTCGCAAAAAGGGTGCTTACCAACCAAAAAGTGTGATAAAAAGTGGATTAAATTGATGGAAAAGTTACAAAACCTTAATCATTACTCTTGTACGAAAGACAGTGGTGAAGCACTAGCACTAGACAAAAAAAGATGCACATTTAATAGTTTAAATACACCAAAATAAGAAATGACAATTTCTTCAATGGTATCAAACTGATATTGGATTAAGGACTAAATTATGTAACTTTGCTATAGTCTCGGATTCGATTTTACTGAATACAGAGTAACAGATATACTGCATTTTGCTATAGTCTAGTCTCGGATTCGGTTTTACTGAATACAAATATACTGCACTTAGAGCATTATTATCGCTGGTTTCTTATGAGTTTCTTATAAATATTTAATAATAAATATAATTAAATGAAATATTTAACTGAAGAAAAGTTTCTTATTTGGGAATCATAAAATAAGTTTCTTCTGTCACATGTCTTTACTTAAATGGTTAACAACATATAATAATAAAATATATTGAATTTTTGGTTCTGTAGGCCACGTTTTTAAACAGAATATAATAATTAAAAATTAAATAAGAAATCTATATGGTTTCTGGCGATAATGATGCTCTTAGAGACTTTAGTTTAGGTGTTTGACCTAGCCTGCTTCTAAGACCTAAAAGTGCTTCATATGGTAGGTAGGGGCCTAATTGTTGAAAATCATGGTTTCTTAAATTTTCATTATAAACTGACGACATATAAAGATACAATTGGGTCAACTAGAAAAATAATGGACAAGCCCAACAAATGTATGAATCGGCCTCGTTTAAACCCATAGTGGATTTGCGGGGACTTCATATTAAAAACAATGTTTATTTCCAGAAGGGAATTAAACGATTACAAGGGAAAACAAAGAAACTTTCTACGGTCGGCAATCAAATATCATACTGAAAAAAGAGTCTGTCTGTTATAAATAATGTCCCTGATTCATCTGGTTAGTGTGATGGAGAAACATGCCGAGAAAAAACATAATAAGATGGAGAGTTGACAAACCAATTTGCAAGGTTTACACTTTACACTGAGTGTATAAACGGCCCAAAAAGATTGGGATTTTACACACTGAACTTTTAAAAACTCGGAATACGAACTACTTTTTCGTTTTTTTTTTATAATAGGAAGTGTAAGATTTGAGAATGTTTAACACTTGCTTGGTAGGAAATATGCACAAAGCAAATATATCCAAAATGTAGGTTCCTTTGAACCAAAATTCTCTATATATATATGAAAGGTGAAACCAGAAAAGAAAAATTACCAACTACATATTACACATCAAGGAAACAGTGATCCGTATTTCAAAATCAAACCAAACCAAAAATAGAAAAATTTGCAAAATTAAAACCAAGTTACAAACGGTTTTGTTGTGATTCAATTATTTTCTTATATAAAAGTAGTATGTGAAAAAGAAATCTAGATTGGGAAAGCTCTAGCGAGCGAACAGTGCCTTCAAAACTAGTTTCAACGGCTGAGATCGGATGGTGCATTGCCCACCGTAAGTTTCCTAGGGATGCAAGCCCAGCCCAAAAAAATGAGTTACTACTTACTGCGACAACCATCGTCTCAGCTTTTTGTCCCAGCTTTTTTACTAATGAAGTATACATGTCTTGGCCTGTCACATCTTGCCATGTGTCCCCTATTTCTCTTCTCCCATTGGCTCTCTCATCGTAGGCTTATGTTAATATATTATCTCTCGGAGAGATTATAACAGCATTTTTTTCTATCAGATTTTCGACGCGTAAACAATTGTGACTTACGAGAATGCAAAGCCAATTAAGTATTTTGTATATTGATTTTTTTTTTTTTGTATATTGATAATTTAACCAAAAAAAACAAATTATGTGTAATGTGTATAAAACTCTATCCTAGCTCTTTCTTTTATTTACCAGTTTCAGTTAAAAGAAAATTCCATTTTTGGTGGTGGGTGGAATGTGAACCAATTATATATTACTGTTTTTGGTTGTTATTGTCAACTACCTCTTTTGTACTCCGTAAATGTAAAAGATAAGTGCCTAAAATGTTTATAACATCAATAAGGTATGCCCACGTAATAGAGGCATGTCACAGTTAATATACGCAGCGGAAGCCTAGGAGCACGAGCTTTATGAAAATATAAACTCGCTTTTTCTTACAACTTGTCAAGTAAAAAAGCATATGGATAATTAATTATTGCACAAACGAGACAATTATAAGATGAATAAATGTAACAGATTAGAATTTGATCTGTGTAAAACTCTAAAAGTGTGGTGAATCCATGCACCTTTAAAGCCTAGAGAAACTTAGAGACGCTTGTAGCTGAACCTATACCAGCATTCTAATCAATTATTTATTGTATAATTTTGAGGTGGTTTTTTATTCATTTATTAATTCTTGGTGTCTTGGTCGTGGATACAACTTTCTCTAACGTTATTAATTTTGATTTTTTGGTCACAATATTCCCCAACATTTATTAGAGCAAATAAAACTAGAACGATGATTTTTCTTGGAGTATTAGTTTTTTACTTTGTGGTGAAAACATTAACGAGTAGTCGAGTAGATACATGCAACTAATTCTCAGAATACTCATTTGATTTGACATAAATCGATATCAAAACAATTTTCTAAAAGAATACTTAGTTTTGTATATTTTTAAGTCTTTCCTATATATTTTTTCCAATATATAATTCAAAAGTTTGACCGATAGCGCGGTCTAGACTATGCACGACTGTACAACAAAAGGGACAGTGGCCTATCGATCCAAACCAGTGCAGAAAGAGATATGCTCGGACCAATTTGATTTAAGAAGACCAATCCCTATACTAATCTATTTTCCAATACATTTCGATGAAATACAACATTTATTTACACATTATTTTACTTTTTGAACTTCCAACTAATCAATGGTATAAGCCTATGAAGTTTATTTTCGACATAGATTCCAATTCAGCATGATATGTATTAATCGCAAGGTACAATTCCACCAATTTGTTTCGACTCGATAGTACAATTTTCGTTGTGAAATAACTTAAAAACCAACATGTGACATGGTCTCTATACAATAGTCATAAAATACACATCAATTTGAAAAAAAAATAATCCTGATGCGCCAAAAAAACGAACGGTCGATAATAAGGATAACCACAAAACTCAAACCGGTCCAACCGGTTTCCCCAATCACTATCAAAGCATTAACTAACATTCACAAGAAAAAGCATAGTCTAGTCTTTCTACATCGCGTTCCACGATATCAACCATGCACGCGAATTATCCACCGTTCGATCAAACTTGTAATAACGAGGCGCGTCGTTGATATAGTCCATAGTGGAATGTTCGTTTCTCTCCCTTCCCCTGCATTGGAAAACGGCGTCTACAACAGACGGCGGGTCTTGTCCCCGTCAAATCAACTTTTCTAAATTCCTAACACCGTTAATTCTCCGTTAACCACAAACGTTAATTTTATCCTTATGATCAAATGTACTAATTCGAAGTTGGGGTGGCTAATATTTCCCAACGTGACATTATTATCATTCTTAATGTTCGTTCGATCATAGTTTAAAAACCTTATCAATTGTATATAGATATGGTAATTGTGTACATATATACTCTCACTCTGACATATTTGTCGTGGTCTAAGTTTCTCTCTCATGAGCTCAGCTATCTAGTTATAAAATACTGTACATTATCTCACTATATCACTCTCAATCTCTCTCTCTCTTCTTTAACATCTCTGGCTCTGCATTTCTTGCAGTTCACGCTAATTTCCTGTGCTGGTTCCCTTCTCTCTCCAGCAATGGCAGAAGGAGCCTGAACTTTCGATTTTATTTTTTGTTTCTTGTCTGCTTGGTTGTTTTTGAAGCTTCTCTTTGGTTTCCAACTAGAAAAAAAACTCAACGAGATTTTGGCTTATTACTACTTAAGGAAAGGATAAAAAAAGAGAGAATCAAAGACGAAGGGATAATGAAGGAGACGATGCAGCGAAGGAGTTTATGTTTTGCAATGGTGGTTTTTCTGCTTTTTGGCGTTGCTGCTCCTATGAACGACGAAGGTTGTGACTCTTTGTCTTGTCTCTTCCTGTGATATATGTTGAAAAAAATTGATCTTTTGGGTCATATTGTTTGAAAAAGCTCACTCTCATTTTTGTTTGGGTTGTCCAAGAACAAATGTTTAAGCGGTTTTCTCTTTCAAATCCCTGTTTTGATTAGTTTTCGGCCTTCTGAAACTTTCAATCGAAATTTCGTCTGTATTATTAGAAGTTATCAAATATTCAAAATTTCGGTTTCAAATCTCTCTTTAGTTCCTAAGAAGAAATTCTATCAACATTTGGTTTACCCGAGGAAGATAAAGCTGAAACCTTTTTTCCTATCCAATACTTAGCTCTGGCTTGTTCTTCAAAAAATCCAATCTTTTATCTCTTCTTCCAAGAAATATGATTATCATTACTGATCAGTAAACACTAGAATGCTTGTTCCAGGACTCTTGAAAGATTGTATTTTTCCCAAACTCTCTCTGTTTTTCCCGAGAAAAAAAGGAACTCTAAGCTTGCAAATCCCCAGTGTGGGTGCCTCAGCGAGAATAATTGTGAAAATTCGACTTTGGTGTTATCTAATTTGTTTATGTATGTATAACTATTTGGCTGATATTTTTCGTTTTAACGATTTAATTATTATAATTTGAATTTACGTATTATTAATTAAAAAAAAATGTTTCAATTGAGCCACAGGGAAAGCTCTGATGGCGATAAAAGGGTCTTTCAGCAACTTAGTGAATATGCTTTTGGATTGGGACGATGTACACAACACGGACTTCTGTTCTTGGAGGGGTGTCTTCTGCGACAACGTTAGCTTATCCGTTGTCTCGCTGTAAGAAGATTCTTCTTTGAGCTGAAAGTTCTTTCTATTGTTGAAATGTTTCTCTTCATTTACTCTTTCATGTCTTAATAGTTTTTTTTTTGTTCTTCTTCACTTTGAAGGAATCTGTCCAATCTGAACCTTGGAGGGGAGATATCTCCAGCTGTGGGAGATTTACGGAACTTGCAGTCAATGTAAGTGTTTCTTTATGTGGATTTGCATGTTTCTAAAGTTGTAGATTGTGTTTATTGAAGGCTCTATCCAATTGCAGAGACTTTCAAGGAAATAAATTGGCTGGCCAAATTCCAGATGAGATTGGAAACTGTGCTTCTCTTGTTTATCTGTAAGTCTTTCTTATAAACCATATTTCAATTTTCCAAGTCTTATATTTGAGTTCCATATTATATGCTGTACAGGGATTTCTCTGATAATCTGTTATATGGAGACATACCCTTCTCAATCTCTAAACTCAAGCAGCTGGACACTCTGTATGTAGTTCTACTGTCAACATATTTTTTATCTGATTTTAAGTTCCATATTTG